AACCAGACAGCCTGTTTGTTTTGATCCAGGGGCCTTACGGGGGATATGGTACCAAAGCAGAGTGACCGTCCTGGGCCTTGAACACTGGGTTCAAACAGTCATTAACAAATAGTTAATGTTGTGTTAATGTACCATGTTAGTGATATGGGGCGCCATTATTTCTCTCCCGTCCGCTGTACACCAAGGAAACGGCATTGCAGAGAGCAACTTCTGTTAAATGAAAGATGGAGATAGTTTAACAAATAAACTAAGATACAAGATAACAAAATTCTAAATGTTAAGAGTGTGGCCTGTTTGCGTGTGATGCCTCTGCAATCTGGTTTTTCAGTTCCCAGTAGTTTTTTGTTCTGTACGTCCTCATTGTATGTCAATTACTGTAATCACTGTAATTACTCTCTGCGGGCAATCCTACCAATTAGACACGTTTATGTGAAATCAACAGCATTTACATTTTTGATGTTTGTTGTTCGGGGCTGCATCACAGTTTGGCCATTCATTAAGCCTTTTAACCTCATTAAACTCCCAGTTTGGGTTCTATGGATTCTAATAGTTTGATGTTGACGCGTGCCCTCTGGATGTGGTGTGTGGTCCTGCTGTTTTCTGGCATTAGCCAGTTGTATAATGTGATCGTACGTCAGGGCCGAGGGTCCGGCAGCTTGTCTTTGAGTTCTTCTGCCCTTTATTGGCTAGACATTTAATTCGGCTTGATAAATACAAATATTTGGGTTTTCTAGTCATTTCTTTAACGGCAACTGGTGGGAAACCTCGAAGGTGCCCTTACACAGCTGAGTTATTGTTGGACCCTCCAGTCTATGGACTGTCCCTTTAGTCTTTTCACTGAGTTATGCTGCTAATGGCTCTGGGGGTCACAACGATACGGCTGGTGTCTGTGATGGTCCGCCTCCAACAGACAGATTTCAGCTTGTGGAAAAACCTGCTTCTCCATCACTTTACCTTTTATGGCGTCTCCAAACAAGAGCGTCGTAATTACATTATAATGACTAACAATAATGGGACATAATACAGCATATCTGGAGAAACCAATTTAAATGAGGAATGTTGCTGCATTAAGAACCAAGAATTATGAAAATGATGGCGGTCCCTCATGTCGGGTTCCCTCCTTTTCTGAGTGTAGGATTTTTCAACACAAAGGAATCCATGAACTGAGAGGATGGACTCTCTGCACTCTGTTTCTTCAATGTGTGTGTAAACGTTCTGTCCACGGGGGTTTGTTTGTTGGCTGCAGCACCAGCAGAAGTTAATACAGTGTATTTAGTCTATTCTGGAATGTTCTGCTTAACTCCATCTTCTGTTTGTCGTGACGACCAGTGTCAGCTTGCTAAAAATAGATCCTATTTTGACATGCTGGGGTTTTATTTCCAAATGAAATAATCAGAATCTCCAGAACAAACATCCAATGCAGAAGATTTATAAACTGCACTGCACCTTTTGTTCATTTATTTATGGTGAGGGACCTGCAGAGGGGGGAGTGTGTGTGTGTGTGTGTGTGTGTGTGTGTGTGTGTGTGTGTGTGTGTGTGTGTGTGTGTGTGTGTGTGAGAGAAAGTTTAATAAGGCTCTCACTCAAGAAGTCTTTCTTTCATAATCCCCGATATTTATCTCAAGCTCACTTATTTTCATTGAACCAGACTGCTCATAGTGCTACTTCAGCATGTGGCACCTCGCCACAAATCAAGCGAAGGGATTCTACTGAATAAAAAGTCTACAGTAGGTGGCCAGCTACAACAATTGTGGCTGCAAATATTGATCCATGAGTCATATAGTCTCTAAAAAGCCCTAAAAGTAGTAAAACACATAAATCACACCTTTCCTCGGCCCGCCGTCCCGTGTTCAGATTACTTGTTTTGTCCGACCATAACTAAAAAACATTCGATTTACAACGATGCAAAGCAGATAAAATCAGCAAACCCTCACGTTTGATTTGCAGTTGTGTCTTCTCCACTTTGAAAAACATCTCCTCGAGTGGAATGCAGACATGTTTTTGTAAATCCCCGCTAGACAAATAAGCCTCTCACTGAGCAGGCTGCATGTGTTGCCTCCCAGCTGTGTGTGTCTGTGTGTGATACTTAGTTTTGTAGAGAGTCGAGCTCGCTGGCACGTGATGAAGAGGGTATTTACTGCATGCATCGTCGTCCTCGTGCATTTCTTTTTTATTTTGCTCCTGCTGTGGTTCCCTTCCACCCGCGTACGTCGGTGTGAGTTAGTGTGTTTCATCACGAGTCAAAGCCGGGCCGGGCCAGTCCTCCGTGTCGGTTCAGGGGCGGTCCGGTGTTTGTAAGGTAATTAGAGTACTTGCGGTTCAACCCGGGTTACTGAGGTCAGACTAATCTATGTCTAGATTTCAGGGAGGCCCCGGTGGAATGGTAGGCATCACTGCTGAAAGGTAATAACCTTTTTTGATAAAAAAAAAAAAGAAGGCACAGGTGGCAAAACAATCCAATTGTCTGTGAAGTGCGCTGAGCAAGTGCAGGTGTAGCGCGAAAAGCTGGTTTAATGTGTGTGTGTGTGTGTGTGTGTGTGTGACTGTGGAAACTCATTGATATTCCTCGTAGAAAAGGGTCACGAATGCTTCGGGGACCCTGCGCCCCACCTCTTGTCCTCTCACTCATGAATATGAATGAAATCCACATGTGTTTTCAGTTTGGGTGCTGATTAGCACACGAGTCCACGAGCACCCAACACGCTCGCACAGCATCGTACCCCGAGCATCTGTGGTGCGACGTCCTCGGCCTGCGTGCGCGATGACTCAGCGTGGTCTGAGCTCTCTGATTACCCACGAGTAATCTCTGATAGGATTTATTCTATTGGATGGCAAACCAACAAAGGCCCATTCATGCGGTGCTCTGTGAGTGTCCCCCGGTGTGTCACAGTGAACGACGATAATTTAGATCTGAGCTGTTTCTGCTGTTCTAACATCAGTGGGAGGAGCTTAGCGCGACTATTAAGGCTTATTAAGAATCAATGACAGATGTCATTTGGATATAATCAAAGCTGATGGGGGACAATGCTTTTAGGTTTAGCATTGGCGAGTTGTAGCAGAGGTGAGACTTCACACTCATCATCATCTTACCAAGGTGCATTTGGACAGAGAGTAGTAATTGCAGACTTAACTAGTTCCACATGTCTTTTGACACAAAGATTCCAAAGCAGCCACCGGTGTAACTGCTGTGCATTAGTCTTTTTTACCTGGACTATGACATTTTTAAACAAATTTTATGAAAATGTCAGCGCTACCACAGCTACACGTCTGGTATGTGATGACAATCTTACTTACATGTATCAGCCGTGTAGCTCTGAGACTGAACAGATTTTCCTCCCCTTGACTATAAATCGTATAGTTGGTTTGAGGTTATTTTATTGCTTTAGTGCGTTGACCTCCAGCCCAATATCTATCACACAGTGTCTTTACAAGACATGTTGCTTTAACCTGCAGTTCATATCATTTCCATCTTGGTTTTTTACGTGTCCACCGCTCTCCTGCTCGGCCTGTTTTCATGTCCAAGTGTCAAAATAGTCAAGATAGTCAAGGTTACCAAAGGGACAACATATGAATGCAACTATTACAAATGAAATCAATTGATCTAAAAGGACAATTCCAGATAAAACTGAAATTTTGTTTTAAAAGTGGTTCCAAAAGATTGATTTATTTATAGATATAGGGAGATAAAGTACAATAAGACTGAATATTTTTGCGCTATAATGAGCATTTTGCTGAATGATAATCGAATAAAGATACAGTTCAGTAGAACATGAACTTCAGCACAGATATGAACCCAGTTTCCATGCGATGTTGCCTTTCTCATGATCTGCTGGAGACGGACACAGATGTTTGTTTTCACATGATTGTTCAACTATCCTTGGTTATTTTGCTAAGCTGGTTATTTGCTATAAGTACCTTCTGTCTTCGTGGGGATGTTATTGTGACATGAAAATATTGGGTCACACAGGAAACCATCCTCAGATCAGGGCTCCGTCTCCCATCCACAAACAACCACAACTGCCCGCGCTTTTACTGTAGTTGTGCACATGTATGTGGAGAATGTATGCCTCCTCCAAAACAACTACTGCCTTTTATCCGCAGCTAAGGACAACCTCTAATTAATGGTTCCCCCAATACCATCCGTCATGTGTGCAAATACACACAGTTTGTGTTAAAGCCTTTGGCTGCTCTGCATCCCGTGCCCATGAAAATTACTTTAAAAGCCCCCGACTGTAGAAGGTAAATCCATTGGATTGAAGGGTGCAGAGTCGGTGATTTTCTTTGTTTTACCAGAGTTAAATTTCTGTGACAATGTATGACCTTTATTAAATGTGCCATTTGATTCGTGAACACAAGTGCAGTCAGCAAATGGAACATCTTAATTAAAGTGAAATGAAGAGTGTGATGCACCTTCTTTCTGTTCCGAGTTACTAATGGATAATTTTGGAGAGAAATCTCAAACGTCTAACTGTCAGTCTAACTGCCTTTCGTTAACATAATCTGTTTTTCTTACCCTCGTGTATGATTTGGATCTCTTTACCTCTCCTACGGGGTGTGGCGTTCACGAGCAGCAATTCAGACAGTTTTGAAGCCACATTAGCAGTGACTTTGAGGATGACGGTCAGTCCACCACTTTGGTACCGACAGAAATATGGCAACTATTAAAAAACTAAGTAACAACTAGTGGCTTGATTATCATGAGAGATCAATTGTCCCCTGTGGATGAATCATTTGTTGATCTCCTTGCTTTTCCTCTTGCATCATTCATTTGACATTTGTGGATTTTAGTGACATTTAAGGACAACTTTAGGATGGATAACCATAGAAAAATTAGAACATACATTTATGTCCTCTTCTGGATGAATCAATCATTTTGGTTACACTGTAAATGCATATTCAACAAACAACAACACACTACACTATTATTACCTGTCATTATGCACCTTATGCATAAACATGGGACCTGAGACTTTGGCTTGTGTCCATTTGATGTTTTACAGGAAGAAATGTTGCAAGGGCTTCAAGTTTGTGTTGGGCCAGTGCATTCCTGAAGGTAGGGAAACCGTCTTGTCTTGTGTGTTTGTGATTATAATGATAAATCAAGTCCCTTAAGGTTTGATTTGTTTTTAACGTCACGGCGTGTTTAACCCATGGCCCTTTTTTCCATTTTTAATTGACAAAAAAATTGACGCAGAACCCTCATGTGTTTTCTTGTGTACACATAATTATAATGAAATGCCTTGTTGCAGACTATGATGTGTGTGCTGGCGCCCCCTGCGAGCAGCAGTGCACCGACCATTTCGGTCGAGTGGTGTGCACCTGTTATCCCGGATACCGCTACGACCGTGAGCGCCACAGAAACCGAGAGAAGCCCTACTGTGTGGGTGAGGACCTTGCACAGAACCTCGCCGACGAGGACGCGCCTCACATTCTCACATTTGTAATGTGAAATGAAGGCGTGTGTTGCTCGCCCTGTCAGTTAGTGCACACCTGCACTCTTCTGTCTATTTAATAAACAATATTTAAGTACAACAATTTCGGACAAATTCAAAAATGAGCTCGGCAAAAACTTTTGAGCCACTCTTTTAAAATAAACCTCAGCAGAATTATTGATAATATGTCATTTGTCTTCCATTATCACTTACCATAATAACTATTTGCTAACTTTTTATAATTCGATATATGTTGTTGGATATATATATATATATATATTGGTTTTATTGACACTGTTTTTCTTTCTTTTCTCTCATGGTCACTAATACATATAGACATCGATGAATGTGCAAACAATAGCATGACTACGTGCTCTCAGATCTGCGTTAATTCCGCGGGGGGCTACAGGTGTGAGTGTGAGAAAGGCTTTTTCCTGGAAGAAGATGAGAAAACATGCACCAAGGGGGAGAGAGGTGAGAGAACTATTTTTACTCACACATTTTCTCTTTATTTAAGGGCGCATGTGACTGCGATGTGAAGCTGACCACACATTGTTATTTGGTGTTAGAAAAGCAGATGGGGGTGGAGGGAGGGAGGGAGGGGGGGGGGCGGTTGCTCGGGTACTGCAAACATAGACACCTGGTAACCATTACACATCCCAGCTCCCTGTGCATGTCAGAACATTTCTGTCTCCCAAACATACCGCTGGCCCCGCGACTCCTGGTCTTTTCAGATCTGCTGGATGCATAAAAAGAAAACATTACGAAAGGTTCGACCGATAATAAAGTATTTTTTGCCCCAGATTCAGTTGCAAACGAAGCGTTCAGGGGCTGCAGATTTGCTACTTCCTCCCACGAGTTTATCTTCCATTACCTCCTATAACATGTCAGGGGAAGATGTAGAGTGAGGAACAAGGGTTCATTTAGTCATGTTCTTGCTTTATGTCATGCTGCTTCGTAACGTGGAAAACGCCGTTCAGACACTTTCACTCTGCCATAAAATATATGCACTTGTAGAGAAGGGGCCATTTTCCTAGAGGTCACAGACCCGCCAGGCGACGCGGTTCTCTACATTTAATGTTGTTATTTCTTTTATCAGGATTGATGGACGTGAGTTGCAAACATTTTGATGTGGTTTCTGAATAAAGACTTTTTTATTGTAAAAAGTGTTACTGAACAAGCACTTAGTTAGAATCTCACTGTTTTGTATTGTTTGTTTTGAAAATATATTAATTTCCTTATAATCGGATTGCTTTAATACTATTTGAAGTTATCGTTTTTAAGACAATGTGCTTAAATCATTATAAAGTATTTTTTAGTGCACAAGGTGATTTTTTTTTTTTATTCCAAATTCCCAGCGGTGCATCTCTTTGAAAAGTCTGACAACGTGATGAATGTTGTAACTTGCTCTGCCACTTGTGAAGATTTCCACCAGATCAGGGAGTCTGTCTTGCAGCTACAACAGAAGGTAAGAGTCAGAAAAAAAAGAAAAGGAAAATATTTATCTTACAAATATGAAATTTATTCCATGCAGCCTCTGCACCACTTTTATCTAATCCATAGATCTGTTTTATTAATATATGGTTGAGGCCCCCGAGAGCATTAAACTCACTGTCTGTATTCGGCTGAACGTAAACATCTGCAGAACGGCTCCATGTCTTCAAGCCACCTGAAGGTCTCTCTCTTTTACTAGGAATCCATATCTAACAGTATTTCAGAAACAAAAGCAGGCCGACTTTTACAGCTTCCGTGAGATTTATTGTAGCACTTTATTTCCTAAAATGCCTTCACGCACTTCACTGTAGCCAGTAGATTTATCCCATAAGTGTGAATTGGTGGACAGTCTGTGTGAAACTCCAGGTCAGGTTACGTTTACCTGTCTGTAATTAGGTTTAATGTTAATATATTAGGCAAACAAATACCGTACACATCCTACTATATGAGAAAGTATGTTGTCATTTACTCTCATCATGGGAATGTCAGAGCATGAATATAGATCACACCACTGTTCAAACCCCAGCGCCCAAGGTCACAGCATAATGCTCTGATCAGCAGGTGAACCACAACCTGTGTGTGTGTGTGTGCGTGTGTGGACATATGGTTATATGTCTGTCCGCATAAATTCTGATTTGTAGGCCCTCGCCGGACAGCGAGGTCTTTCTTGTGTGTCCCACTGGGTTTTGCCAAATCCACATGATGTTATACTGAGATCCAATATAACTTTTCCAGAGTATGTCGCTTAGCATACAGAGCAGAAACTCTACTGGTCTTACTGAATAATGCAGAGGGGTTGCCCAGACCTTCTTCTGTCTGGGTGCAGCTTGTTCCATGAGGAATATCAGCTTTCATCTTTGGCTTAATGTGTCTTTTTAACCTAATAATGTGTTCCTTCAAGTGTGTGATTCTCTGGTCTCGTATGACACTGCAGGACTTGGACTTGGACACTGCAGGACTATGAATCAGCGTGTTAGGAAATGACAACCAAAGGGATTATTGGCAGTCGACCTGTCATCTATTTCTACATTAAGTCTATATTTTCTGCATCCGTTTTCAAGATGGCCTTGCTGTCAAACAGCGCTGACGTCCCACAGCAGATGACCAGCAAGAAAGTCCTGATTCCGCCCATGTTTTTACCAGGTCCTCCAGGTCTCCCCGGTCCTCCAGGTAAACACGTAGAGCTAAAGAAATATATAACAGTTTAGAAGCAAGACCACGAGTCTACGGCAGAGACTCCACTTTGGAGCGGCTGTGCTTTGAGTGCTAACATCAGCATGCTAACACGCTGACAGGGACAGAGTTTTTTAGGTTTGCCATCTTAGTTAATTGTGAGCTACTAATATTTGCTGATAAGAAATAAATTCAAACTGCAACTGACAATGACGGGAATGTCATCGTTGGAATTTCAGGTATTTGGTTATGAACTTAAGTACCAGCATTTATCTATTTTTCAAAAACCATTATCTCTCTTGCCTGTTTGTTTGTTTTAAATGTGTTCTCTTAAGTTCACTAATACCAGTCTGAATTGTTTTAGGAGATCCAGGACCAGAGGGCCCTCCAGGGCGTTCAGGGCTGTCGGGCCCCCCCGGGTCCCCGGGTCCCAGGGGCTTGATGGGACCCATTGGACCCACGCCTGACCTGTCTCATGTCAAACGCGGCTCCAGAGGACCGGTGGTCAGTTACTAAACTTTTCTCTCTCAATTATCATAAATAGTTGTGTTGTGTCTTTGTTACAATAGAGTTGAAAAATCGCCCCGTATTCACTTTGTAATCCTGGAACAGTAGACAAGGAGAGCTGGGATTGATTTGTCCTTAAAAAGTATTCAACTGGCACACTTCAGAAAAAATGTCCCATCCCGCACGCTCTTATAGAAACCCAAAATTCCACTAGGTGAAAAAGGATGAAACACTTAATGGCAGCAATAACAAAGAAGTCTGAATCCATTTACAGCTCTGGCTGTTTTCTTTGGCTCGCTGTGATTTTGTGCCTGCAAGTGTGAACCCTTGGTGCGAAAGTGTGGGATCTAATTCAAGAATGTGCATGAAGCGGCCATAGAGACATGTTTCTAGTTTTTACAGCTTGGGTATTTATACAATCACATTACTGATAAATCAGACCATCAACACTTGCAATTAGTTACATCACGAGCTGCACGCTGCAAACCCCAGAAGCCTTGATCACTGTTTTCATTGTAGAAATTGATCTATTGCTTGGTGTGCGTGTCTGACATTTCCATTTGTTTAAGTTCACGACTCTCTACGTTCAAGACCTGTTAATACACGTAATCAGTCCACATGCTAACATGAAGGAGAGTCGTACTTCTCTCCACAAAAGAACCGGGATTAGATTCCGAGCACAGCTACGGGGTTTGGCCACCGGGTCACATGTGTTGCGTGTCTGCACGTCGGCGTTTCAGTAGATGATGAATGCGGTGGGTCGTGTGACTCGCAGGCTTGGCGCTGATCTGAAGGTTGGCCCTACTCCCTCGTACAATGTCTTAAGACTTCTTCAATGGCGATTATCCCAGGAAAGAGATCAAAGCTCGATCTGCTATCCAGCTGATCTCACTCAGAAATGTCCTGCATGCAGGCAAAACAGTTAATCTCAGATAATCGCCGGAGTGCAATGAGCATGTCGGTTTTGAAATTTGAAAAGATTAAGAATGAACTCATTTTCTGTGGAAGTATTGATGTGAGCATTAACACGTGGGGTGGCAACACGAGCAGATGGATGGTCACATAAAGAAGCCCCCCCACATAATCCACTTGTATGTCTTTGGAGAGTGAAAGCAAACTGAAATGACAACAATATAAAAGCTTTTTTTCTTTTTTCTTTTTACATTCAACAGGGACCTCCAGGAGCACCGGGAAAGGACGGGCGTAAGGTAAACACAAATCATCTCCTTCAGTGCTTCACGGGCAGCGTTTGTCCCTGCAGATGATTGGATCACTGCAATTCACTACACGTTGAGGGAGGAAGACCGCCGTGCCAAATGGCCGTCGGCACTATTTCCTGCTTGTTGCGACGGAGTTTAATGTGTTGGAAAAGCTTCTCAATGTGAAGGAGAATATTGTACGCCAACATCTTGCTTAATCAGATTTCAGATCACAGATTCTACCAAAGAATCGCCGATTGTTTGGTGCAGTCACGACTGGGTCGGGACCCACAGGTGGGTTGTGGGAAAATGTCTTGTAGTCAATTACAAGACTTGCAGAATCAAACCAGACGTGTGGGGAGCAGCCAGTCAAGGTAGTCTGGGCTTTGAGGCCTAATCGGACCTAAAAGTGACGTGTAGTCAGACAGGAAACTGCTTTCGATGGTGTATGAAAACTAGATTTCAAATCATAATCCCTTTTTAAGGCGAGAGAAGCTGGAGGTATGAAAGCTGAAGAGATTGTGTTGGTGTCACGGGCGTAACGAGGTCCATGAGCCAGTGTTTGGTTAGATGGCGGATCGCGTATGGAACAACTTAGGTGCATCCGCGTTGTTGACACAGCACCTTGGTATTCTTTCACTTCGGCCGGGATGTTTGTGTGGATAGATTGGAGGTTGATGGTAATCCGTCTCTGCGAGTAACAAATCCAAACCATCTGCCAAAACAATCACAGCCCCGTGGTGACCCTGAGTCATAGTCGTGGTTATGTCTGTGTGTGTGTGTGTGTGTGTGTGTGTGTGTGTGTGTGTGTGTGTGTGTGTGTGTGTGTGTGTGTGTGTGTGTCCATGAGACTTTGGAGCCTCGTGCACGGTGTCGTTTGTGCAATAAGAACGAGGCACAGTTTAAAATCTCAGAAATACCCGATTTGCTTTGTTGACTCGAGGGTAGATGAGAATATGGACTCGATACCACTGAAGTCTCTGTGTTGACCGAAGTAAGAAGCCGGAGCAGGAATCCAATTAGCTTAGCTTTGCAAAAATAAACTTGTTTTATTGCGTTGGTTTTATCGTTACACTAAATCAAATCAAAGTGTGTGTGTGTGGTGTTTTTTGCACTTTTGGATTTAATGAAAGAGAAACTACAAGTGAGCAAGTGACCTTTAGAGGAGGAAAGTGTTACCTGTACCTGTTTGCCCCCTCCCCTGTATTAATGTTATGATTTTAATCCTGCACAACACACATTGATGTGATATGCCTGACTGTGATTAGTCTCATCTTGTTCCCAGATTTCTCTCCCTTCCTGTAGCTCTTTAAAAAAAGTTATTCTTGTGCTTTTTCTGTAATTCATATCAGATAAATATTTGTTTTTGGCCCCTCCCCAGGGGGATCGAGGAGCTGCTGGGGCTGTCGGACCACCAGTAAGATTTTTTTAATCTATTTTGATGCCACTCTGGTGTGTATAGTTATATAGTTATTATCCAGAACAACACACTTCAGCTGAAGAATGAGAGAGACACAGAACGTTGAGGACTCTGGACATTAGACGACACAGTTGATGAAACTGTCAAACTCAAGGTAAATAGCACCCGGCGCAGAGTAAGCTTTGTCCCCTTAGATAAACACCAATGGTGCCAATGTTAACAAATCATGAGACGCGGCTCAGCGGCAAGAGACCAGCAGCAAGCGTCCATCGATCAGCTCAGGTTTTATGTGTTGAGAACCTTTAGCGCATTGTGTGGATGAATAGTCAGACAGAGGAAATGTAGTATTTCCAATAAAAAGTAGATTAATTTAATGATATCTCTATAAAGAATGTATAAATTGATCGATTGAATTGAAACCACCAGGGTCCCCCAGGCTCCTTTGACTTCCTGCTCCTGCTGATGGCGGACATCCGTAACGACATCGCTGACCTGCAGAGCAAGGTGTACGGGCGAGCCATGCACTCTCCGGGCGACTTTCCCGCGGCCCCCGACAGCTGGCGGGACAACCAGGACGCTCTGGATTCGGGCTCGGGGGAGGAGCGCAAGGACGCTCCACCTCAGACAGGCGGAGGATCCAAGAGGAACAGGAAGAGGAAACCAGCGCGAGAGAGGACGGACTTTGACTGGAATATTTAATTAATGGGGTGGGTTTAAATTCTTACTGTCGGGTGTAAATATTGAAGGGGCTTGCTGTTTTTTTATTTAAACAAAATGTACTATATGCCTGTTGATCACAGATGTTTATTTTTGTACAATATCCAAGAGTTTGTGTGAATATTTTTTAACTAAAAGTAGACTCTGGAAATGCATGTCTTTGTCAACATATTGTTCCTTTGTGGCACATTAAACTAGTAGCTCTTCCAGTCTCTAAATCATTCACTTCCCCACAAGCGGCTAGAAGCAAGGAGCAAAAAACTAAACAAAGAGATGAACGTAAAGGTTGGACTGTTATGTGAACACACATCAGTAAAGAAAAAGAAAGAAAGGAAGCCTGTGTGGATCATAGGCGATGTTTCCCCACCAGAGGGAGACATTCTCAAAGCTGTAAAAAGGTTTTACAGGACTGAAGCAAACCCTCCCATGATGACAAATGTTACATTACTACATATCTATGTTTTAGGTTGTTGCCATTAACTACACACCACGCCGAAGGAGACGTTATGATCGCTGACAATGATGAATGTAATATTCAATGTAAGTGCTAAATAGGGGGTGTAGAGAAGTAGTTTTCAGTTAAATAATTGATGTATGTGACTATTGGTGTACGTGACCTGTTGGTGTTTAATTTTGAATTTGTACCAATATGAAAACCTCAAAGGGATTATAAGATGTAATATCGTTCTGTCTTTGTGTCGTATAATGTCAGTAGCTGGAACCTCTTTGGGCTCTGAAATGAGAACGAGGTTTCAGCACTTGGCTTCAGGCTATTTTTGAAGGTAGTGAAGTATTTTCTGAGCCTTCGCTTCACCTTCTTTTGCACAGCCTCCCCTCTCATACCCATAACTTACATTTGTCTCACTCGGTCCTTTATTTGCTTGATATGATCTCAAGGAGCTATAGACCAAAATAAAGTGGTGTCATTTTACAAAGAACACGCTCAAGAAACCGCCAGTATTGCTCGACACCTCTTGCCCTGAGACTTTTATATTTACTGGTATGTATTTTTGTATTTACATCTTTCATGATACATATTTTTTACACTACTTTAAATGAAAACATTGTTGTCATGTTACAATGTTCTGGGCTCTTCTTATTGTATCAGTGTGTGTGTGTGTGTGTGTGTGTGTGTGTGTGCGCGCGCGACCCGCCACTCAGTTCCCCCCTCCGACCAGCAGGTGGCAGCCTTTGCCAAGTCGTACACGTTCTTGTCTGCGTGATTACACCTGTTTGTTTGATTGATGCGTATCACTCAGTGTTCAGTGAACTCGTTAAGCTGCACTGCGGTTCACAGAGTAGCACGTGACGATCATCACAACACAGTTATGAATACATCTTTGTGCAGACGTTCACTCGGGGTGGTTAATGTGTGTTGCATTGTTTATTTTTGGACTCAATGCCTGCAATAAGATGTTACACAACAAAATGTTAACATTATTCCTCTCAAAGTTTGGCAATAATGTGAGCCAGTCTCCAGTGATGCACTAACCAGAAAAAAATGTCTGTCACCGTTTTGTGATAACCTGAAACAAACCATTACGTTTAAAACGTGACAAATAAAACGACATCACTGCTGTTGGTTGTCAACCACAATTAACCTTTGCTTCAACATTAATAGTATTACAATTCCAATTGTCATCTCATCGATATCCCAAACTGAAACACATGAGTTAATTCCGTTAACACACCAGATGTCACCTTTACTAAACGCTGAGTCATTGTTGTTTATTTGCTTCACAATCGGCCCATTGTCAGAGAACAGTGCATGTCATGATTCACATTTGATTAAAGAGGGGCCGAAATAAACGTCCCCTGCACATCATTTTAACAAGCTCGGGCCATTTCGTATACAGGGGGGAAAAAACTTGGCAATACATTGCTTCAAAATCCCTTCTGGAAGTAATTAATCACCATCATACAAGGGCGAGCCTTAAAAGATTTCCAATATTTGCTGAAGTGCCCCCTTGTTCCTAATTATATCTCCCTGCTTGTCCCCCCTCATTATTTAGAACTACCCACAAAAAGATTCGACAGTGAATGGCAACACCCTCAGTCCTCTTTCTAGAAAGAAAATGTTTGATAGCAAATGAATGAGTGAGTTACTGTGCTGCGACAAAGGCCTTAATGAGGTAATTTTATTAGTAACGGCTGCCCAGAACTCTTGGAAACTAACAGAGGAAACAAACAGAGAGAGGCAGCATAGAGAAAATTAGTGCTACCTAATTCATTAATTAATGCATTAGTGTGGACAGCAAATTAACTGCCCCAAAAATCCCCCATTCACTGAAGATTGTGATGAGAAAAATACATTGTTGCCCTCCGACGTAATTATAAGACAGTGCCAATTCAATTCTAATGAGGTGAAAGGCACCCCCTTAACATACATCCCCTATTTCCCCCCTCAAAAAGAGCCTGCTCTTGTTGGGGCCTAAGTTTAAGGAAGTATTGAGAGTGAAGGAGACAATAATGAGAGATCGGCCAGGCCTAAAGTGCTTTATGTGCTGCAAGCAGGTAGAGAGGATTGAATGGCCCTCTTTCTGGGACTCCTGGGGGGCCTGTCTTCCCAGCACAACAACACTTGGCCCCGAGAAAAGGGTCCGCTGAGGAGCCTGCAGAGTGAATGGACCTGTGCTGCAGAGGGTCGAACTGAATGGCCTCAAGTTCTTCAATGATTACAAACTATGTTGTGCCAGCCGGGACTACACAAATGCACACGAAAGCGCACACGAAAACGCCACGTAGGCAGCCCTCGGCCTTCCACCTCTCCCGCTCATTGAGTTATCTTTACTCATGCTTTGTCTCCTCTAATTGGAGCTGATGAGAGACTAATTGGTAGCTTTTTTTTTCAACACCCAGTACTTAAGCAACGGCAACCCGAGAGAGGCAGCATGAGCAGAGTTAATGAGAGGCTCTGCACAAATAGAAGCTTTAAAATGGGCCCGTTTCACAGACTGGGAGAAAATGAAAGTTGAGAATATCTTTTGTGTCCCCCTACATCTTTCACTTATGTGCAGGTATCTGAAAAGAAGAGGGAGCGGTGGAGGGCACACAGTGGTTGCCTGAAACGTCGAGCACTTGTGCGCATAAAGGGATCCGTTTTGCATTGTTTGGGGCCCATCGTTTAGTGTGTCTGTTGATAATGAGAAAGGGCCGCTCTTCAAATGAATGTGCCAGAGTCCTTGGTGGACAATAAGTGCCCTCTCTGGGCTGCACCACACTGGACCGTGTTGAAGCAATGGGGAATAAAGGTTCCGTCCTTCTGCATTGTTGAGGGTGAGTGTGTGGCCTATGCGCCCTGAATTGAGCCAGCAAATAAAACAGTCTTTATTGGAAGTGATCATTAAAATCCGTTTAAAAGTATCCTGATCAAAATCTGGTTTAATCCATAATGATTGGGGCTTGTGAATGCACACGCGCGACATTGCTGAATGAAAATCAAACTCATCCAGATGGTAATTTAAACATAAAGATCGTGATCTCCTGGTCCTCCTGCAGGGCCGCGGTGGTGGTAAACTTAAGAGCACAGCTGGTTCAACCGCAGGACGTTTCCTTAACATGCTGTCGTCTCAGCTGACATTTTGTTCGTGTGATAATTGACTGCTTTGTGCTTTTCAGGTATGAATAAACACCATGAGGCAACAGGCTTCATTTAACTAAGCCGGGGTGTCACACCGGGGGGGTGACAAGCCACTCTCCCTTTCACCCTGATGTGACGTGGGTAATACAAACATCTTTAGACAGGAACAAGTAGCACAACTGTTATTTGTTTTATCTGCTTTAACATCCAAAATGATGGCTCATGATGGCTTAAAACACCCACAGCAGTTGGAGGTAATACACTTTTAAAGTATGAATTACTGTGGTCGAAATGAATGAAACATATAGAATTATCCACTTCAAACTCCTCGCGGCAAACAAATGCAGATCCAGAATATGTTTGAAATGTAAATTAAACATTAAAAGCTGAAGCTCCAGAAAACTGCAAACCCAACATACGTTTAGCACAGCATCCTATAATTCACTGGCCAAATATTTGTGCTGACTCATGTGATGGGCTATTCACAGTCTCAGTGAACCATTAACATCCTGCAGGTCCCTATTGTCCACCCCTAAATGGAGCCATTAGCATTGCTATTGTTATTTAAATCCTACATTTCCTTACAAAGAGTGTGGTTTAACTCTCTAATGAGGACTTCCTCAAACAAAGAGGAGAGGCCTCTGTTTTCTCTGCTCTTCAAATCCACTGGAAAACTGTTACTTTTCATAATTTTTTGTGTTTTGCATACAAGTAATCATCTTATTTCTGCTTTACTGTACTTTATGCATTGTCCTGTTCATGATATCATTTTATATCTTAATCGAGATTATGGCCTGGAGATAATTAAGGGTGATCTTTTTATGATACTTCAGGAATCAGGAAACATTTATTAGCCAAAATATGTCAAACATACAAGGAATTTGTCTTGGCGATTAGTGCGCGACAGTAGACAGACAAGACAACAGTGCACAAGTAATAAAGTAATAAGTAATAAAAAAAATGTATTACTAATTAATACTAATTATTAATTTTTTTCTTTTAAAATGTACACACCTCAAAGTTCCTCTGTTATAGCGAGGAATACAATGACTGCACAGACATAACTATTTAATAGTTTATTTATCTATTTAATAACAATGTAAAACACTACATGGAAACAGTTTGACAAGAAGCAGCAATTCAACGTTCCTGTGATGAAATCATTTTTTCATAACTAGGTTATTCATTCTTTAAAGGGAAACAAATATAGGAAAAGTATGTATGTGTAAGTTCTGTTTCAGCAAAGACACAAACCAATTTTAAGACAACTTTATCCCTCTGAGTTTTGTCCACCAACACGACAAACTACATAGATCCTTTTTAAGACAGGCACATGCCATTTGTAGTGACATTTTAAAAAGATAAAGAAATGATTTTGACTATTTGACGGTTAACCAGTCGAATAGACCCTCCCCGTGTTCCACGACTATGCTGTAAGTACCACAGCATAAAGAACCTGAGGAAAATCAGTCTCCGCCATGTACCGACCATTTGCCAGAATAGTCAAAGTCTCCAGATTAGTGTCACCACAGAGGCCTGTTTTGTTCCGGGGTTCGTTCCTGAACCCGTAATCACAGGCCCTCACAGAAACTGATGCTGCAGCTCCAGTAGGAAGAAGCAGCATTAAAGTGCCTGTAAGCGAGTGATGCATAATTGTGTCATCTCCCGTCTCCCACTGAGGCTTTCAGGCAGCAGTGAAAGCCGCAGCAGCAGCCAGCGCAGCGAGGTCACTTAACCTTTTGCTGACCTCACGCGGGGCGACGAGCGTAGCTGAAAGGACTAAAACCTCAATTAGGATTTTGACATAGCAGATAAGTTTGTTGTTTGGAACAGCGTGGGTCACTGATTGCAATTCAGCTCATTTGTGAATCATGAAGTATGTTTCTGTAATAAACTACACGTGGGCCATGCAGCACTAAACATTTTAACTAAACATATTTAGATAACTTAAATGATTTGAAACCCTTTTTCTAATACTTTATGTATGTTTAATCATGTGGCCCATACACAATTATCACTGCAAGACCATCAATTTTTGTACGAATGACTGGATTCATTTTCTACAGTCTGGTTCCTTGATATTTTGTATACATGTCCTGTTTCTGTTCCTGTTTATTTTATTAAACTGAACTTTATTCAGGAATACACAACATGTGAGCTCAATATAAACTGAAAGAATATAATTATTTAAACTGAGTCACTATGAAATAAGTTTATATTTACCTCAGTGGTAAAAACCATCTAACAAGTTATGTAATTCCTGTCATTGGCGTAAAAGAGGCTCTTTTCTTTTCTTCATCATTCAGGATAGAATATGTTGTCTATATATTGTGTATTTTAATTTTTACATATCTTTACTCCGTTATTGCTTTTGCTCTAGGTAAAGGTTTTGAACAGACTTTCACATTGAATTGAATGGAAAAATGTATGAAAACCTTTGACTGGTACCAAAAAATCTCTTTACGGCATTCTATTTTGGAAGTAAAAAAGAAATGAAAGGCTTCACCTTGGGCTTTGGGAAATTCTGATTGTTTTTTTCTCTATTTTCATAGATAGTTTCTTTAAGTGTTATTATTAGTAGAAATTGTTAGTGTTACACTAGCATTTGTAGAAGTATTATGATATTTAAACTGTTGCCAATAGCTTAGTGCTATCAGTCTTCCACGGTCACAAGTTTTAGGATCAGCATTAGCAATAGTCCAAAATACTGTTCATTTTTTGTTTGCTAAAACGTCAAATGCAATGTCAATGTCTGGCATTTTATCGTGTCAGCTGTTTAGCTGTAACCTTAAAAAAAACCGAAGATAAACAGAGAAAACGACCAAAAAAAATCCTGACCAATCAGAAACCGCCCTGTTGGCCCTACAGACTTCCCGTCATGCTCTCGGTTCCAGCGCTACGTCAGCAGTGATACAGAAACATGGCGGTGTCCACAGCACAGCGCCCAACTGCCAGCGCGCGCGCGTTGACATTAACTTTTCTCACCGCGATAATACTTAACCGCGGCGTCGCTGACGTCTCCCCCGGTGCCTCCGCGTCAGAAGAGCTTCCCCATCGCCGATTCGAGTACAAATACAGCTTCAAAGGACCGCACCTGTCTCAGCCCGACGGCGGCATCCCGTTTTGGATCCACAGTGGAAGTAAGTTTCCAGCTGTCAACGTCTCGGAGACTCTCCGAACGCACTCGAGTTGCCTTTTTTCTTACCGCGGCGGGGTTTTCGGTGACGTTTGGAGGGTTTACAGCTGTTCAGAAATGACACTAGGGTTTTCTCTTTGTCCATTCAAAACCGCAACAGGAGGATTCATTCATTTAAGTAGCCTAGCTGTAATGCCAGGTTTTATTGTCCTATTCAAAACGCGTCCCGGGTGGATTTAAAGCAGACGGGTCTATTCACAGTCAGAAGTGTTGAACTTTCCTCTCGCCAAAATGGGCCTTTGGATTCTTGCGTCACCCAGTGAGTTGTTCACTCGCTGATATGAGCAGCCGCTTTCCCCCTTTAAGCAGCATTCACATAGCTGCACCAAAACGTCATCACTCTGCACCTCTATAGCCTACTCTATACTGTACATACGTGTGCAACTGGCCTCAAACACCAGGGACCTTTTGACAACATCTCCAACTCCAATCTCTCTCCAACCGCCGCCACCAGTTTTTCCCTCAACCTAACCAAACCGTAATTGCTCACAAACATTATCCAAGATACAACGATATGAAACTGAGAAAAAGCAGCACGTGATGAGTCTTCTCATTCCCGTTTCAGCGCTAGCATATGTTAACTTGGATGCAGATGAGAGGGTGTGTTAACCGGGATTAATACGCTGTTATTGTCATGGAAACGATGGTAACATCTTACTAAAATCCTGCGGATTCTGTCCATTTCTCCTCTCCCCATTCAAGATGCCATCCCCAGCGCAGACCAGGTGCGCATTACGCCGTCCCTCAGGAGCCAGAAGGGCTCCGTGTGGACAAAAAACAAAGTCAACTTCAACAGCTGGGAGGCCGAGGTGACCTTCAGGGTGTCTGGACGGGGCCGGATGGGAGCAGACGGTTTGGTGAGAAGCGGTGACGTGTCTGAACCATCTGCACAACACTGAGCCAACGTTCATTAAACATTATTTATCGTTTGCCGTGAATTCGATGTCCAAACTTTCTTACTTTTGACTGTTATGTTTCGTGCAGCCAGACCATCTAAGTGAAATTGGTCAAAACATATTCATAGTCCCAGTTAGGCTGCAGCTCTACTGCTATGATGCTCAAATCCTAATCCACACAACCTTCCAGTTTACACTTAATCCACAACCTAACACCCAAATCATCACCTACCTCATAATTGATGAATAAACCAACCTATGTGTAACATATGTGGCAATAAATGGCTTCTGATTAAAAGTCACTTGTAGTGAGAGCTGAGAATTACCAAATTATGTCACAACATTTAAATAAGATACTGCTTACCTGTCCGATGATATCTGATATAAAAAAACTTTCATTCGATGGTCATTTCATTCTTTTTTAGAGGCGTGTAAGATCAAAACACATAAGCACCTTTAGTATTTACTCCCACGTTCACCACTGACCCGACTTATTTGTTGCCCGACCTGAAAGAGAGCGATTGAAAGAGTGCATTTGTAATTGTTTTGGGCTTTAGTTTTGTTGACGCAGAAGCTAACTCCCATTTTACCATCAGGCCGTGTGGTTCACCACCGATCAAGGCCTCGACGGCCCAGTGTACGGCGCCGCCGACATGTGGAACGGAGTTGGAATCTTCTTCGACTCCTTTGACAACGACGGAAAGGTCAGTGTTTTTTTTTAAAAATGTAAAGGAGTGTTCCTGAAAGTACGTCGTGGGAAGCTTGTTCAAACTGGGAATCTGTTTTATCGTCATTAACAGGTTTAGTCAAAGAGGAAAAGAGTTAAGAATATAAATATGATGATCTGTGCACATTTAGCAACATGAAAGAAAAAAAACCTTTTGTTTAAACCTTTGAAACATTCACATGTTTATTATGAATGTTAATTTAAATACTTTTTACTTTACATGAATAAATGTTATGTTAATTTTTCATAACTGGATAGAAGTATATGCATCTACCTAAATAGGTAGTTAAATACATAAAATTTAAAACAAATATTTTCGTAGGTCTGAATATTTCTGTGTATTTCAGGTATGGGATTAATATTAGAAAATGAGATTATAGGAAAGCAAAGCTACCTCTGGTCCTCCGATGAACCAAAGGATTAATTTCCTTGTTTTCTTCCATCTTCGTTCCAGAAAAATAACCCAGCTATAGTTGTTGTGGGAAACAATGGAAAACTTGTTTATGACCATCAAAAGTAAGTAGACTTTTTTTTTTATGCTTTCCTCAGACGTCATCACCAACTCAGATTTTAACTACTTAAAGAAGATTAGGAAATATGATTATATTTGCTTGGAAAGTAAATAATCCTCCATCTTTCCTAATCTCCCTCGGGCCAGTGAAAGCTTTAAATCACTTTTCCAATGCCATTTCAGTCAATCTTAGATTTCACACTGTTTACCACTAAACATGTAAACACAAAAACATACATTCATGTTAGTCACTTATTTAATAAACTCCTTTGAGCGCTGCGCGGAATTCAATTGATGAAATTGGTCTGAAATGGTTGTTTTGATCCAGCGACGGCACCACGCAGGCCCTCGGCACGTGTTTACGAGACTTCCGCAACAAACCCTATCCCGTCCGGGCCAAAATCACCTACTACAAGAAGACGCTGACGGTAGGAGAACACGCGGGACAGCGCTTTTTTTCCCCCTTTTCGGAAACTAAGCCGTCCCCGGAGAGAATAAAATAAAAGTTGTTACGTCACGCGGGTCCGTTGCTCAGCGCAGTCGGCGGTAATCGTCGTTCCGCCTTCCTCCTCAGGTGATGATCAACAATGGTTTCACTCCTGACAGAGACGACTATGAGTTCTGCACAAAGGTGGAGAACATGGTGCTCCCCAGCCAAGGCTTCTTCGGCATTTCGGCCGCCACTGGTGGCTTAGCAGGTACGGTTCAAGCCTCTGTGTGGAAAATCCCTCAAGTTGTGAGTTAAATGTGGGTTTTGAGTAAATCTCTTAGTCCTAATTAAAACGGTTGTCCCTCTTGAGCCACTTAGAAAGCCGACTAATTGGCTGATCTTAAGACGAGCCGAGGTGGAGGCCCAGACAGGCTGAGCCGTGGTTATTCCCAGTACGGACGATGGAATAGATAAAAACAGCAGCATTTATGAACTTGTATTTTGTTAAAGGAAGAAATATGTCAATACAATGATTTCATCATTTCATTTTCTGATTTCCATAAGTTTATTTCTCCATTTCCTGTATGATAAAACAAGATGTTATCGGTGTATTTTAACACTTTCACACTACAACCATTATTAATCTCAAAAAATATTTTAAAATTACATTACCCCAATATTGAGGTTTTACAATTATGTTGTGTTAATGTCATTAATGGTAATTTGTACACTACTGTTCTTTTTACTGACCTTCTATTGCAAAAGAAGGTAGCTGATATTCGCGCTGTTGTAAAAAAGATATTACCAAGTTACTCTGTGATTGCCATGACCCCAGTTTCTCTATTTACCCCAAATTATAAGCACAATAAAACACTACCATCTTGTAGCCGTGTTACCAATTTAAAGTGCTACCATGATTTAAAATATGTCGTCCTGTTGTAACTCAGAATTCCTTTTCTCCATTAGATGACCACGATGTTTTGTCCTTCTTGTTGTTTGGACTCTCTGAGCCGGGCCAGCAACCGGTAACTACATTTTACTGGAGCCCCTGACGCTCTTAACAATCCCGTGTTCGGCTCTTTTGTAGCTGTGTGTCTGTGAGTGCGCATGCATGTATGTGCACAAGTAGCCTAAGCACAGCCGTCTATTGAGTTCACAGACGTTTTTTTATTTGTCTCTCCCACTGAAGCCCCCACCCGATTCCGAGATTCCTAAAGAAGAGAAGGACAAGTACCAGGAGGAATTTCAGAACTTCCAGCAAGAGCTGGACAAAAAGAAAGAAGAGTTTCAGAAAGAGCACCCGGACGTCCAAGGAGAGCCATGTGAGTTCTCCCAAATCAGAGAGACGTCATGAACAGAAACTTTCTTTCTTTACTGTTTTATATAATCTGAACAAGCAAGGTTACATTGCTCACATGAAGCACTAAAAAGGCACAAAAGTCACCTGAATACCTCAATAAATGTTTGCAGATTTGATTTGAACTGCTCCAAATCTTTGCTCCCTCTTCAGTCGAGGACTTGTACGAGAGCGTGAGTGACCGGGAGATCCGTCAGGTGTTTGAGGGCCAGAACCGGATCCACCTGGAGATCAAACAGCTCCACCGGCAGCTCGCCATGATCCTGGACGAGCAGCGGCGGTACGTTTCCGTCCTCTCCGCCGACGTCCTCAAGAAGGGGACCAACGCCGAGTCGGGACAGGTGAGCGCGTCGACAGACGGATGCACACAATACGCCACGATGGTACACCTGGTCATGTTGACGGGAATGCTGATTTAGTCTTTTTTTTTTATCCTCCACGTTTTATGTAGTTTACATTTTTTAGATTTCAACCGACGTTTTAGTCTCGTTTTTTTTTGTTTTTTTTTGAAGAAAGTTCATGAGGTTCTGTTGCCTTTCTCTTTCAGCTGGATACCGCCGGTCAACAACAGTTGGGCTCCATCGTAATCACCCAGCAGGAGGTTCTCAAAAACCTGAATGAGCTGAGGTAAGTCACAGCAGGGTCACAGTTGTTGACGGCTGTCTTTAAAACCACTGTTGTTGTTGCAACAAACATAAAGAGAGATCCGTGATGCTACCATGAAAAACAAGGGAAATCCTGGCAGTTAAATCCCTTAAATCATATTTAATCTCAGTGGTTGCAGCATCACAGGTGTCTTCAAGACTGATAATCCAAATGCAGTCAGTCAGTCAGTCACATGCACGTTCCCACATCGATGCTTCATTTACACCTCTAACGTTTATAAGCAACTTAAACTTTTGCTTTTGTTTTTATTATACCGTTTTTATCGGGAAGATTATTCTACTAGGAGATTGATATTTACAAAGAGGGGGAACCAACACGAAACAAAAACACAGAGCGGCGGTGAAACAAGTTATTTGAAAAGCAAAGAAAACGCGTAACAATGAGGAAGCTCAACAGCACATTAGTATTACTACTCTACCTTTTAATCAAAACAACAACAAACTGTACAAAGATGTAAATAATAATAATCAAGGTAAGTAAAGAAAATGAATTTGACCTTCCTTACAAAATGGTATCAAACCAAATGAAAATGATATCATTGCTGAGCCATACAGCATTATATTGTAATATCCAGATGTAATCTTCTTTTTCTCCTTCCTTAATTATATTTATTGTCTGCTTACCACTGTGAGGAGATCCTGAGCAGCTTTTTAATGCCAAGATAATACAGCTTAAAAGAGATTTCATGATGGTGTGCCTTCCTTGACGGTTTGACTTTGGTACTTATAGTTAGTAAGCCTGATGAGGTGTTCAAAAAATAATGTATTAGTGTTTAGAGCTCGTGTCTTGTGCTTTTCTGTTGCCGGCCTAAGGTGCTTGTAGGCTTAGTCATTGTGAGCATTCAACAGACTTAAAAACAATGTCCTCTTCAAAACCCTGCTCATACATTTGTGGGGGGATTTAATGAATGTTTTTTTTCTCTTTCACCAATAATTAATTCATCTTATTTATTTATAGTCAACCTTTTTGGACTCCTATGTTCAGCTTTTAATTAATATAAGCACTTTGCCCCCTTTTTTAATAGTCACCGTCTGAATGGCTACGTTGCGTCTTATTTATTCAATAAGGACATGTTTGTCCTGTGGCCGCACTTCCACAGTGTGTCTTAATTTTGCACCATCTGCATTAAGAATTAATCAGAATCGCAAGATATTAAAGATTTTATTCTATGTAACATTAATCTCTCAGCCTCATGTGTCATAAAGGAACCAAGCCGTTGATATGCCCTCAATCCAACACGACATTCATCCTCAAATACATGATTTTCTTTATTATATTTGCTGACCCTTGACACACATGGACCCCAGACTCTCACTTACGTGTCTCATTTGCTAATTATACCCAAGTGATTTATATTGAATAAACGGCAGGAAAAGTCCAGAGTTTGTGCAACGAGTCAACTTGCAGGAAACTCATTGTGACGGGTGAGCTGATTGACGCCCTGGCAAAAGGCTGAGGCCGCTCCATCTAATGTGCTAATGTGAGCAACTGATCTGTATTACTTAGTAGATTAAGCTCTCCCGTTTATCCCGGCCCATCTTTTAAACACAGAGTTTATGATAGGACCTCATCTCAGACTCCAAGGAGGGCTTTCTGCTCATAAATAGGTCACTTGTAGCAGATGAAGATTAGATAAAGGCTTTAATAAATGCTCACTTACTTTCTCAAGGGAGCCCCACCCCCCTCCTCTCTGTGAAGTAAATTAGATTTTGTTTATATGTCATCCTTGTCCATCCTTTCAGACCTCGGCCATGTGGCAAAGCAAGAAAAGGCCACCGTCTTAGCAGCGTTTGGCCCTTATCAGATTAGTAGTCTTTAAATACATCTGTCGTACACAAGCAAAACACGCTTTACCTCCAATTGATTTCCTGTCACAATCCTCTCCCTCGGGGCCTTCCTTTCATTTGTCATGTCACTTTTTTCTTCCTAATCGTCTTAGATGTGTTTAAGATGATAAGGGAAACTTATTGCTTTCTCCTTTTAAGCAATCAGCGTTAAGAAATTTCATTTTGGGGGGAAATATGATCCAGGCTTAGAAGTCGTGATTCTCTCCTGAGAATGGTTTACACTGTATTTCATTCACTAATGAAATTGAAAGTGAAGGATACAGATCTTACATTTTATAATTGGTGAATAATGGTTTTTAAATTTGCGGTGAATGATATCGGCACATATTAGAGACCTAAGCAGACAATAGTGTAAAGCAAACGTAAATTCTGCTCTTTTGAATCTCAGACATACTTAAAGGAGAAGTTTAACCATCTTGAGTCTTTGTTGGTTGCCTGGCAACCTCTCAATGAGGCCAGGAATTAATGTTGCAGGTTTTTGTACATTTAAGCAATTAAGTACATTTAAGGGATTTGTTGAAACTTTTGTCAGATCCAAACTGCCAAAACTCACATATGAACATAAAGTAAACCAATAATAAAGTGTATGTATATTAGCTCTACTTTTACTTGTAATCGATTTTGGAAAGATTTACAGCTTCTTCCCGAAAAAATGGTACGATATGTTTACGATGACGATATCCATTTGTTTCCTCTTCATATTCCTTCCCACTTTAAAAAATTTTTTTTTATTCTTTTAGCCTGATGACTAGACTGGAGATAGCGCTCCTCCGCGGTCTGTTTCTTTGCCTCCTGCACTTGTAATCTGTTGTAAGAACATGTTTTCATGAGGGATTAATTCAGCAATCGTGACCTCTTTTATCGGATGGTAATTTTGACTGTTTTTCAAACTTTGACAATATGTAGCCTCCAGTGAATGGGGATTAAGGGATTAATTTTGGACAATTTGTATTACTGTAAATAAATGATACCACACAGCATATTCATCTTATGTTTCCCAACATAGACCGAAATTGTCAAAAGTAAACATTTGAACTACATTTCAGAGATATTTATTTGATATTAAAACAGCTTCTATCATTTCAGTCCTTCGGGGGAAAGCAGCTGAAGCATTAAGGCTATTTGTCAGGACTTGTCCTCTCTTTGTCCCCGCAGAACCTCCTTTCACGAGTCCCTGAAGCAGATCAGCTCGTCCCAGCACCAGGGCAACGCCGGCGGCATCGGAACCTACGAGACCATTCAGCACTTCAACGACATCAAGGAGCACCTGCACACGGTCAAACGGGACGTGGATCAGCTGATCCAGCGGAACCCTCAGGTACGTAAGCCAGCGTGGAGACGGCACTCTGCAGAGTAGATCCCTGTTATCTCTGTTATATGTGTGTGCGTTCCTTTTCACCCGTAGAATCCAGCTGAGAAGATAGTGAAGTGCCCCGAGGCGCCTCCCGTGCCCGCCTGCTTATCCACGCTTCACTTTGTGATCTTCATCGTCGCCCAGTCGGTCCTGTTCTTCTGCTACATCATGTACAAGTAAGACGTTGTTTATTTAGATTCAGCGCGAGTTATGCAACGTAAGAAATAGAAATGAAGTCAACTAACGCTTTGTGTCTTTGTGTCTAACGTTTCTCTCGCAGAAGTCAACAAGAAGCAGCAGCAAAGAAGTTCTTTTGATGAAATCCAGCATGTTTTTGTTCATTTTCTTTTTTGATTATTTCCAGATTGTAAGTTATTGTACTTGAAAGTTTGTTTTAATTAATGACAGATTTTTAATTTGATCAGTAAATCTTTGCGTATGAATGCTCTTGTGAGACCTCTGGATTTCCAACATGATGTAAAATTATCCTTGCAGTATTTTTGGAAGGTCGGATCCTTTTTTGAGTTTGCTTTCAAAAGTCAAAATCTGCCACCAAACCGTATCGTGAAACTGAAATAACAAAAAAACCTGTGTTTTCAAATGTGCAATTTTGTATAAAAAATGAACCATTTGTTGAAGAAACCTCAGAGCAGGAGTCTGCTTCCGTTTGCCTTGTCAGGATCTGACGTATGCTGAACAATTTACATAAACAGAAGACCCCAATCACTGCGTGGCGTCTGCTTATTTCATCATGGGGGACACGCCTCCGAATAATTACGCTTCCATCTGTATTTAATTTCTCATTATTCCATCCTACAGATGTGTAACTACAGTCAAGTCAAATGACGTTTACCAAGCAACACTCAAGTTTTATATTATAACCAACTGTGTACATCCAAGGGGATTTTGCTTTTTGTGTCCTGTAGCTCAATAAGTGACTACAAAGCCTTCTAAAAGTTTTTTCATGAACACTTTGATTCCCCTAATCTGCCCACAACTTTAAATTTAACTACATTACAGTAAAAGCAATGACGTTTTTGAAGCTGGAACCATTTGGGTTATTTTTATATTGAAATTGACATGATTATCAAAATGGTTGATAATAAATCTTGACTCAACCAATTTATAAAACTCAATTCATGTCAGAACATCAAAATTTAAAATCTCTTAATTTTGCTAATTTTTGATAAATCTTGATCAAGTAACAGACTCAAGCTGTAACATGCAACTAAACTTAACACATTAGCAGACATACGGGTTGCAGATGGGCCTTTCTGACTGCATAATAATATCAGGTGAATCCACAACTTCACCGGAGCTCAGAGATAACCATGCAGTGATAGGCTGAAATGTCTCCTCCCCGTCCCTCATCCCCCTGTCAATCATCCCCGTCAATCATCCTCCCACTGAACAATAGCACGACCTTAACGATGGCCCCAGTGGGGGGATGAACAAGACTGTAATCCCACTTCTCTCTCTCCCTCTCTCTCCACTCTGCTGGGTCTCAGCAGCGTAATCCGCACTTGGGCCAGTCGGTATTTTACTAATATGATTAAGCAGCAGTGGGCGGATGGTGTATATGTTTGGCCCCAAACGGAGGACAGCCATCTCCAAAAGAAGACGCGCGATGAGTGCCATACCTCCAAAACGAAGCACAAAGTGTGAGAATCAATAAAGTGAAAGATGAAACAATGGTCCGCATGATTTAAAAATAGACAGAAAACCGGCCATCTGCCTCTAAGCATAGTGGAGCAGGGAGGATTAAATCCAGATTATGGCCGCTGTGTGTGTGTGTGTGTGTATGTTCTCGTCAGTGTGTCCTTGGCTCTATAGACAAGCAGCAGGTTAGCTAGAGAGCTACCACTGGATTTGACAGCTAAAGGAAGCCGAACCCGGTGGGCGCCATAAGGGGAGCGAGCGTCACACTTTCACTTTTTAAAAAGATATTCGCGCACCGTCGCCGAGTGAACAGCCCCACGGCAACTCAAGATGGCTTTCTTGATCAAGAGCATGATTGGGAACCCCCTGTCGGGCATCGGCCTCGGTGGTGGGGGAGACAAGGAAGAGGAGGCCACCCCCACAGATCCGGCCAAAGCAGCGGGGATGACACGCGAGGAGTATGAAGAGTACCAGAAACAGGTGGTGGAGGAGAAGTAAGTAGTGACTTGGACGGAGCTCCTTTTTGAATTGATGCCATTGTTCCCAAGGGAAGCGGTGCGGAAGCAGAACGTGCAATCTGACCTTGAAGAACTGCTTGGTACTCCTCCGTTTACCGCCGGCGCTTTTCCACTACCATGTATTTCAGCCAAAGTCTTAGCTGAATGCAAACATTTTTTCACATCATATACATGTATTGTTTGCACACGGTGAGCAAGATGTGCGTTTTTTATTCGTCTGCTGCAGAAGGTCACAGCACAGTGGATTTGTGTTTTACATAATGACCCACTGAGGCCAACGCTCGTGCCTGAATCAATAATCTCCCATAATCTGTCATCTATTTCTGCGTCAAGAACAATGATGTGTGACACTTTTTTTAGTTGGAAAAACAAACAAGCGTTTGTAAACGGGCTGTTTGATTTGCAGCTCGAACACGTTGCATTTTGGGAAGAAAATATAATATAAAACGTGATACACTAAAAAGCTATGATTGAGCAAAATTATATTTATTTATCTATTTTATTTCAATCTCCATTTGAGGAAGAAACATGGTCAATGACATCATTTTAAAAGATGGACATTTGTGACGGAGTATTGCAGCATCAAGCAGATCCTGTATTGCATAACAAGATTAATCCAGGCTCACCACTCCTCTGTTTGGCAAATGACCACATTTTGAACAAATCAAATTTTAGAAAGAAATTGAAATGTCAGAACATGAAAGTTCTTCTAAAAAATCTGCATCACTATCTGTAAAGCGTGTCAAACTAACAGCAGTTAGTTTGGACCCCCGTCCACTGTGTTTTTGTCTCAGCGCAGTTCAAGTCTCGGTCTCTGAGCTCGATTTCCAATCTGCCTGCGTCAGTGTGACCTGATAATCCCATTTTTAATTAGCTGAGGGAAAGTACGAAAATACGCAGGTTCAAGACTCACGGTGGAGGATAAACATTTGCTTTGGTTGCTTGATTTAAAGATTAAAACTAGAATCACTTACACTTTCTATAAGCCTGAGATGTTGCCAACACTGACCTCGCAACAACATTTCATTTAATGTGAAACACACCAGAGTTTGTTATATTCCACGAATCCAGAAGAAAGTCACTATCAGTTGTTATTGAAGTTATTCAATTACGAAGGAAAAAAATGTACATGGACACACTAAAGAGTTCTGTAATCTCTTTCGGAGACTGCAAATAACCGAACAAAACATGGAATTTGTGTTGAGCTCGATTGTCTCTCTGTTATTCCTGAGATGACGCTGATGTGTTTACATGAACAAAACAGCATAATATTTTTCATGGCAATCCAAATGCTTATTATGCTGCTGTTGATCCACTGATGAGAACAAAAGGTCTTCACGTTCCACCTTGCTAGTATTTTCTTGCAGCTTATCCCCTTTGTATTGTGTACATTTTTTTTAAAAAGGATACTGCGTCAATAATATATGTGTTTGTTCATGTCAGGATGGAGCGGGATGCAGATTTCTTACACAAGAAGGCAGAAAGGGCCACATTGAGGGTGTGCCTCAGAGAAAAATACAGGCTGCCAAAGGTAAATACTTTTTATTCATACAGTTGTGTAATTAATAGTTTAGAATTTCATGTATTAATAAACCCTCATTTATAGCACCACAAAGACATAAAGTTATTACACGAAATAGTTAATAACACACTATAGTTGTAGGTGGACAGAAAAGCGTTTTTAAATACCAATTATAACTTTCAATATGAAGACGTGTTTTATATTAATACTAAATCTATTAACTCTATTTTACCACGTTTTCATTCATTATCTGTTCATACGGTGGCCTCCTCATATGCATCATTCTTGATAAATAAACACTCATGTCTGCTTCCATTATAAACATATAGATGCTTCAATTCAACACTTTCTGCATCAAGTGGTTGTTTTTGTTTACATCATTTCGCCCAGTGCTCATTAACAGCCATGAGGGAAAGCGTGGTCAGGTGACGGAGCTAGTGCTCTCCAAATAGACGCTTCGTGGTTTCGGTTATCTTTACTTAACAGCGCCACTTGGCAGCGGCAGCTCGGGCGGCAGGAGGCGGACGCCATGCCAGTAGATTAGTGGGAAACAGGAAGACGTTGGCCCGCGTGGCCCGTGTGTCCCGTCCTGCGCCTTGAGTCTTACGGGGCTAAGTGCTGGCGAGCAGGTGTCCCAGGCTCATTAGGCTGAACTGGCTTTAAGCAAGGAGCTACACCCACTGTGGTGGATGTAACGCGCCACGCTGAACGCTTTCAAAGGCCCGATAGAGACAAACAAGCTGTGATGGAGGGAGCGAATAAGGTATGTGAGTGTGTTTTGTTAGCGATCCACAGACCGTGGGCAGTTTCGAGTTTGTTCTATTCAGGTGAATTATTCTAGAGGTGAAAATCTTGCTTGTGAAGAATTGTTTGTGTTTTTGGCATCTGATTCATAATCAATAGTGTTTGCATGACGCGCTAGTTTGAAAGGACAAACGACAAAGTGACTTTAAAAGAACCCGGATGTGCATTTTAAGTGGGTTTTGAAATTAAGGCACCTAAAGGGATCTTGTTGTGTTGAGTCTTTCGGTTGAGTAAAGGCAAGTTGAGAACACACCTTCACGCCATCGAGAGAAAGTTAGAATAAATAATAAGGATATGTATGTGTGAGTAGAAACCGTGAGTTGTTGCCGTTCGTCTAATGGAATTCGAGTCTCGTGCAACGTAAGAGAAGATATCTTTAGACTATCGTTGGGAGATAATCCCACGGCTTGAAGTTTAAAGCGGTCCCAGTACACTGCCTGACTAGATACTAAGTGATTAGATTGAGTCTGTCTGAAGGACTTTAAACGTGGCATTTCTACGACGCAAAAGACACTTGTAAGTAAAGTCAAAGGAGACTTGAATCTTCTTCGTAAAATGTCCAGTGCAGGTACTCGAATGTGGATGATATTCAAATAAAGACCAATGTAGTGCATCTTAAAGCACTTTAATATGCTCCAGTCAAACTGAGGTAACAGGTGACAGTAATTCAAACATTGGTTCAGGGATTAGGTTTAAATTGAGTTCATCTATATGTGGTCATATACATATATATGTTGTTATTTTGTGTTTTTTAAGTGAGGCAGACAGCCAATCCTGGAAAAGCCTTCAAGTCAGCCTTCAGTTGGTTTACTTTGCCAAATTAAATATAATATTTTACAATATTATTATATTTATTATAAATATTTGAAATATATTTGTCATAAATATTATAAATATTTTCTAATAGAAAGAGAAATAATGAATCTAAAAAGGTCTCAAATATCCACCGTATTTTAATCTCAAAAAGAAAATGCTGTGACTTGTTTCATTTGGATGTTGGAAATATATGTGGATGATACAGAGACATCTTTCAACTGCATGTGTGATTGCAAAGCAGGAACCACTGTGGCTTTCAAGGATTTCAAGTCCGCCTGAACCCAAAAATCGTGTCTGCGTGTCCGGGCTCTGACCATGTTTCCTCCCCGATGTCGCCCGCAGAGTGAGCAGGACGAAAACATGATCGAGATAGCCGGGGACGACGTGGACGTGCCCGAGGAGCTGCTGAAGATGGTGGACGAGGACGCCACGGAGGAGGAGGGCAAGGACTCCATCATGGGCCAGTTTCAAAACTTGCAGAACATGGACATGGACCAGCTGAAGGAGAAGGCCTCGGCAACCGTCACCGAGCTCAAGACCAAAGCAGAGGAGAAGTGCTGCGTCATGTGACCAGTCAGAGAGGGTCTCCTGCGTTTGAACGCCGAAGAAGAGGAAGAGGAAGCGCATGGCACAATTCATTTCAAACACTTCCTGGGAACCTGCAGACTGAGCTGTGTTAATAAATGTGGGATTCGGTTACAACAAAGTATTCACTAGGAAGGCATAGAAACGCGTGTTCAGGTCATTACGTCTTCCATGGATGCTTTGTAACGTCTCCCTGCTAGAGTGTCCCTGAACGGATAGTCATTTAAAACGTAATCTTTGCAGTAAACTGAAGATGATTCGATTACAACCTGCGACCGTTTTCTTAGTATAAGTGAGGTTCACAAGACAATGACATGTGATGTCATGTTCACTCTTTCTGTTTGTTGTTAAATGCAACGGCTAAGTCTCTAAAAACTCAGTCAAACAAATCACAATGAAACCTCCTCCACCCCGACAACAAAAAAAAACGTATGTGAGTTAAAACTTATCCTGTGTGAGTGTTTAAACTTTCCTTTTGTTTTGATGGTGATGTGATTGGTATGTGATCTTTGAATTAGCTATGACGTTAACTTTCTTTTTCTTTTGGTGTTATTAAAAGGATGTGATGATTTATTTTGAATTTCCTCATATACACATTTCGGGTGTAATAGAAGCCGTTGAGCCTGAAACTGTGATATATGTATATTTTGCATATTGGCTAAAATCAATACTTTAAATATGGAATAATGTCTTTAAAAAGGAAATCCATTATCATAAATACTGATGAAACATATGGAGAAGTTGTAAATATTCTGTTCAAATAAAGATGTATATTAAATACGTGAAATATCTAAAGTCATAGTGACGTTGGTTGGTCATGATACACGTTCAAAGTCTAGTATGTCATAAACAATCCTGAAATAATATTAATAATAATATGTAGACAAAAGACTGATACAAGTCTATCATGTCAGGAAAATAATAAGTCATACGTTAGTATATAATTATTAAAATCTGTGAAAATACTATTCAGTATACAGAAATATATTTTTTCAGTAAGGATGACTGTTGAGAAATTACATAAAACAACTATGATAAACTAAGAAAATGTCACGGTATGAGCGTGTAAAGAAATGGACGGAAAAAACTAATTAGTTTAATTTATCGTAAAATTGAATTACAAGAGTTTTATGTTAGTATTTCATCAAATGTATAAATACAATATAAATCTATAAAACATCATAGTTAAGTACGTCCTAAAAGTCACACAAAGGTCCTCGTTTAGTGTTTGAGGAAGAAATGTGTCGTCCGTGGATCGAGCAGGATGAGAGCTGAGACAGCGAGGACGAGGACGCACAGAGGACAATGACAAGGACCGGTCTCAACATCGCAGAACATGGACCAGGTGAAGGAGGAGGAATCCTCCGTCATTCATTTCCACACTTTCTTGGGATCTGCAATTCAGTTACAACCAAGGACAAAGTATTTCCTTTAAAAGACAAGTGATCTCTCTGAAAACTTGATTTCAAAGTGTGATGTCAGTCACATGTTGAGGTCTTATTACAAATATGTCAGTTTGAATTTTGAGCTGCAGAACATCTTACATTTCACAGCAAACAGCCGTATTCAGCTTTTGCATGAATGCAAATGTTCGTGCTCCAACCCAATTATTATTCTAAAGAACTTTTCTATGCTTATTGACTGTAACGTTAATAAGTCTGACACTCAAATCATCTTTGGTTTTCTAAAAAAGGCCACAGTCACGCTGAATCCTGTTACAGCTGCTGCAACCATCACACATTAAAAATCAAGCTAATTAATCCTATCTACCTGGACCAGAGCTAATGCAGTGAGAGAAAAAAAGAAATTGGTCTTAATTTAATTGGGCATTAACCAAACACTTGTTCGGGATGATTAGACAGAATGGGGGGTATGAAGGAATCCTCAACATTCAGAGTTTCACATGAACCCACGTTTAAACGGCTGAGGATTTGTGAAGTCTGGAGATTACATCTAATAGGATCAGCAGAGCCAAGGTTGTCCGCCTGCTCTCTCTCTCTCTCTCCGTCTGTCTTTGTCTCACCCTGTCTCTCTCTCTCTCTCTCTCTGAATTCCATCCATGATGATATACAATATTGCCAAAGACATTGTACTGTACAAGGCGGTGGAAGCACAACAAAACACCACTGAGAGCAAAAAACACAAACCTCCATGTTTACAACAACAACTGAATCGGGAGCAGTATCAGAATGATAACAACTATTATAATAATAAGGAATGTGAGCATGTGTGTGTGTGAGTGTGAGGGTCTGTGTTTGGTGCGTGAGGTCGTTCACTGTTCCTCAAGATGTGGGAATTCGCTGCATTTTGCTTTGTGCTTTTGTAGGTTTTTTTTTCGATTCTGTGGATCTGTGGTCCCACGTGGGACTGAGGAGGGTTAGACTGGGCAGGGTTAGACTGGGCAGGGTTAGACTGAGGAGGGTTAGACTGGGCAGGGTTAGACTGGGCAGGGTTAGACTGAGGAGGGTTAGACTGGGCAGGGTTAGACTGAGGAGGGTTAGACTGGGCAGGGTTAGACTGAGGAGGGTTAGACTGGGCAGGGTTAGACTGAGGAGGGTTAGACTGGGCAGGGTTAGACTGGGCAGGGTTAGACTGAGGAGGGGAGGGTTAGACTGAGCAGGGTTAGACTGAGGAGGGTTATACTGAGGAGGGTTAGACTGAGCAGGGTTAGACTGAGGAGGGTTATACTGAGGAGGGTTAGACTGAGGAGGGTTAGACTGAGCAAGGTTAGATTGAGCAGGGTTGGACTGAGGAGGGTTATACTGAGGAGGGTTAGACTGAGCGGGGTTAGACTGAGCCAGGTTAGATTGAGCAGGGTTGGACTGAGGAGGGTTAGACTGAGGAGGGTTAGACTGAGCAGGGTTAGATTGAGCAGGGTTAGACTGAGCATGATTGGACTGGGCAGGGTTAGACTGAGCAGGGTTAGACTGAGCGGGGTTAGACTGGGCAGGGTAAGACTGAGGAGGGTTGGAGAGTAGACTAAAGCTCAGAGCCAGCTGAGCGAGGACACTCTCTGCCCAGCGGTTGGCATTGGAGGCCTCTGTTTGTGTAGATGAATCCAAAATATGATTCTTGACTCTTTTTGGGGATTTCTCTCTCTCTCTCTCTCTCTCTCTCTCTCTCTCTCTCTCTCTCTCTCTCTCTCTCTCTATCTATCGATCTCGTGCGGTTAGCTTACTTAGGCATAAGGCTGGAAAAAGGAAGCCTGGCCCTGTCTGAAGGCTGCAAAATAGAGGCACTTGTAAAGCACGCTAATCAACACTTTGTAACTTGTTTGTTTTACTTGTACAAAAATGGGCTGTTTTTACCAATTTATTTATTCTGTGGGTAAAACTAAAACACATATGTTGTGTTAATTAATGAATTTGAGGGTTGCTGAAACATTCATATTTCTTTGCTAAGCTTAAACCAACCTGCAGCGTGCATATTGTAAACTGCACAATCTTTTCATTTAAAGCTTAGACAGGACAGATTTAGTTTGAGTTCCTATCACGACTAAGTTTAAGAAACCGGCAAGACGTTTCCTCTTACTGTCGACACTGAAGGTTGTTCTACTGATGCAGAAGATGAACTCCGTCTGTGCGCCTGCAACCAACCAGCTGAGAGCTTATGAGATAAAAACTTAATTTTCACCCTGATCCAAAACTTAACAATAGAACTGAATCCATTTGAACACAATGGAACTTTTTTTCAGACAACGTACAGCTTTATGCTCACGCGTGGGTGCGTTAGCTCCTCAGAGCACGTTTAGAAAGTAACTTTTTGCATGTGCTCAAGTCACAACTTTTTTTTCGGTTCACTAAATCAGTGCTCAGTTAGCTTCTCCCTCTCTTTGACCCCCCCTCTGCTCTCAGTCAAACAAAGGATAAGGTCACCTTCTGTAATTAGGAAAGGCTAAATAGTTTCAGGGGTTTTAACTCTTTTGAGTAAAATAATGTAATCCCCTTAAGAAGGATTACCACACTGCTGTCCATCTTTGTTTGCTGTTAAGTGGTTATAGCCCATAGTTGTTATTGTTTGGGCTTTCTACCATCTTCGACCCAACACCTACGGATATGGTTAAAGAAAGTCCCCATAGTTTGATTCGTATTTATGAATAATTAAGCCTATAAAATGACTTGCGTGTTTTATTCAACATGTGTCAAGAGGTGCATCACTTCTCCTTAAGGGTCAATGGAAAATAATTTATTTAAACTAAATGAAATATATTTGGTTTGGCAACAATATCTTGACGCTTTGATTAAATATTAAGCCGTCATCTTGCAATCTGTGTCCTGACCAGAAATCTTGTAATTATGATTTTGTTGTACCTTAATCTGTGCGCCTAAGCTTCCTTTTTCTTTTTCTTTTTTTTTTTTTACAGACTGACATGAACATGACATCTGGAGGAGTGGAAAGATGCTTTTAAGATTTATGTAAGTAGGTTTAGCAGCACTGACGGATGCACTTGAGATGGGGAGGAGTTAAAGGGTGGGTGTGCGCAGACGGTGCCTGTTTGGCCGCAAAGTTTAAGTTCCACGTTTCGAATCCAACAGACGTTCCTTATCGACTGCCTTGAGTTGGGGGGTGGGGGGGGCATGAGCTGTCTTGTAGCGGCCACTATTTAAAAGCCACCTCTGAGGATGCCCCCACATCCACTGAGCCATGACGAGCCAACGGGTGCGCGTCTTCCGCTGCGGCTTTTCCCCCCCCACTGCGCCCTGGTTGCCACTTTAACGCAGACAGCGGCATTTGCAGAGAAGTTGGTCGTATTTGTGAGCGTCCGAACCGATGTGGCTTCTCGGATCAACTTCCCAAGTGATGATGATGATGGACGAGCGCCTTTCTCCCTCCGCGCGCTGCGTCCAGAGCCCGGGGGACAACCCGTCCACGGTCCACAGCATAGAGGCCATTCTGGGATTTAAGGAGGACACCATCTTCCACAAGTCGGCCTGCTACAGCCTGGCAGAGAAAGTCCTGGTGAAAGACGCCGAGCGGAATGCGATGATGAAGAAAGGACACGCCGCGGAAAGTTTTGACAGTGAGTTTCTTCTTTCCCCCCAATTTCTGCATCAAGTTAACTTAAAGTGGGAAATTAAAAAGTTTGCAAGTTCCAAAAGTGATTCACTTTTATTTTAAATCATGTTCCCGATAGCGCGCAGTAAGTTCACTAAATATAAATGGAAAAGCAACAATTTTGCAATTAAAAACACGATCCATTAAACGACAAACAGCAGATACAAACGTGGCCTAAACTTGACGTGTCCAAGTTGTTGTGTCGGTCCTCACGCTCTCGTGTCTCCGCAGGTGTGTGTTGCGCCGACGGCGCCGCTGACGCGTCCGCGTGCCCGAGCTCACCGGACGGAGACGGAAAACTGTCCGACGATGAAAACCCGAAGAAGAAACACCGCCGGAACCGAACAACATTCACCACCTTCCAGCTGCACGAGCTGGAGAGAGCTTTCGAAAAGTCCCACTACCCGGACGTGTACAGCAGGGAGGAGCTGGCGCTGAAGGTCAACCTGCCGGAGGTCCGAGTGCAGGTATGTCCCCCCCTCCCCCGAAAAAAAGGACCACTTCCGTCGCCTTTCTTCATGCGCGCGTGTACTCTGCGTGCGTCAGTACCGCATAAATATGTATTAAGATATAAATCCCAGTAGGTATAGCTCCAAACATTTGTAACAGTTTAAAATAAATAAAAGAATATTAGTAAAAAAAGAATATTTCCAAAAAAGTAATATTTTTTGGAAATATTGGAGTTTTTTTTGCTAGATTATTACGTTCAATTTGCTGACATTTTGTAAAACATTCTTAAAAATATTGGTTTATTCCATCAAATTAATTTAATTTGCAGGTTTATTTAACTTTAAATCCCATTGATCAATTTAAACTTTAAAAGAAATTCTATTTATTTTGAAAGAAATGATTAATTCAAATTGATTTTCAAAATAATGAACTTCAGTCATGGCTTCTATCATCGATTCAAAACTAAAAAAAACTGGAAAACAATCATCTCAATACATGTTATTTTGTAACAATTACTAATCGTTAATTGTTACAATTGAATGTGAAAGTGCTTTGTTATTTTCACTTATTTATCTCATATTGTCGTCCATATTTCTAAATATTCGAACACTTTCACACAGTATTATATTTAGTTTGTTAATAGGGTTAGGGTTTTTAGCCTTTAAAGCATTTTCTCTCTCTATTGGAAATCTGTGCCTGTCTTGAGTAAGTTTTTTTAATTTTTTTAATTGATAATTAAAAACCTCCTCTTTCTTCTCAGGTTTGGTTTCAAAACCGGCGGGCAAAATGGCGTCGGCAGGAGAAGCTGGAGGTGAGCTCCATCAAGCTCCAGGACACCTCTTCCTCCCTGCTCTCCTTCAGCCGCTCCCCCACGGGCTCGCTGTGCTCCAGCCTGCAGCTGGACCCCTGGCTCTCCACCCCGATCACAACCTCCGCCTCCCTGCAGTCGCTACCGGGCTTCATCACCGGCTCGCAGGGCCTCCCGTGCACTTACGCACCTTCTCCTCCCCCTTCCATGCCCTCCTCCTTGCCGCCGTCCTTCCTCAACTCCCCGGCCTTGGGACACGGCCCTCACCTGCCCCACATGGGCTCCATGTGCCCCCCGCCCCCGGCCTACCACTGCTCGGTTGACCCCAGGAACTCTAGCATTGCCTCGCTGAGGATGAAGGCCAAGGAACACATTCAGTCCATCGGGAAGACGTGGTGATGCCGGGTGGAGATTATGAAATGGACAATGGGAACCTGGAGTGCGTCGTCCGGCATCTTTTGAAAAAAACAACTTCATGCGGACGGGATTGATATTTTTGAGAGAGTGAGATCTCCAGTTGACATCGGAGACACACGCGGCGCTTATAAGGGTAACCCTTTTCCTCTCACGTTAACGATAACAAAAGGGGTGTATAAAGATTGAATAAATGGTTGTTACTGAATAAATGGATGTACTGAAGTAAATTTTAAATCATAAGAGTCTGGTGATGATTTTTAACAGATAAAAAAGTAACAAGCTGGTACGTTGTTTTCATAATATGGCTTCAAAACTGTATTCATTAACTAATTATTTCTAAAATGCTCACAACTTCAATATAATGTGTTAGAAACCACTTGTTAAATGTTTCTAGTGCCTATAAATGCATGAAATGGGGCCCAAAGTAAAGCTTTACCCTTATAAGTATCCAAATCTTTGACACTAACAGGAAATGTAAAATTTTGAACACTGATGGTTTTTCTTGTAATTTTCTTTCTCTTGTGTTATTCATTTGTTGGACTTTTCTTATCCAGTGTCCATTAGTACCAATATTTATTCTTCTTTTGTAAATGTAGCACTCCTCATTTTGATCAATCCTCCCCTGCTGCCTTTTGATCTTCATCATGAAACAGTTAACAAATGTGAATATTTGTCTACGCAATAAAGTTTATACGTACAATTCCTGAACGACATTGTGGCGCATTGTGTTTTCCCAGACAATGTTTCACATTGGAAACAAAGAAATAAAGTCTTTAAATCCCCAAATTCAAGGGGATTCAAAGCATACAGAAGAATACAAGACATTGAGATTTGTCAGAAGTGTCGTAGAGAATGAAGAATATATATATTTCCCCCCTGGTGGGACTAATAAAGGAATGTCTTATCTTATATATGCGTACATCAGGAATGACGGTGATGGACAAGTAGAGCAGAACAGCTGTGACCTGCTTATAAGGTACATTTTACACTAATAGCAGGTAAGATGAATGACATGTTCATCTGTTCGTCATGTCATAATGAAACTCTCAAAGAACCAAACAAATGATGTAAATGCAACTTTGTTCAAATCCATATGACCTCTTCATGGAATCGATGAACACCACCTTACCGTTTAAAAAGTTCCCTTAAACCACAAGAGTGGTGCAGCTTCAACTCCCAGACTTCCTCCTTTGGTTTTACAGGTTTGTTAACCCACTTATTTGCTCCTCATTACCTTTAAAACGTCATCCCAGTGGCTCCTGGGATTAGTCTCATAATGACGGGGTGAAAGTGGCTTGTACCGGTATTGTTTGCCAATCATCCGCGACAAATGAGGGAAAAGGGCCGAAGACAAAACTTTCCTTTGGCTTTAAGTGAAGACATGTGTGTAATCAAATTGTTTCAATTAGCATTTCCTATTGTCTGCAACCCCATGAGGGCTGGAAAAAGTCCCCGTCAGCTATTCTACTGTAAGTGTTTACTCTGGATGAGACAAAAGAACCATCAAAGCTCACTTTTTCTGTAAGTAAAATCGTAATAATGTTGTCTTTACTATTAAAGACGATATATGTGCAATATACTGGGTAATAAATGGTTCTTAATAAAAAAAATACATGTTTTCTGCTGGTTCTCCCATCGGGTGTTGTGCGCCACCCGGTGGTACGAACCGGTTACTGTACAGGTGGAATGAGCTTCAGAAGCATTATGCATGTTTTAGAACAAAAACTCTGAATGCGGTGTAAAAAAGAAATGCAAAGCGTGATGAGACATCCACAATGCAGTTATCACAACGTTACATTTCTTAAACCTCCCCAGTTCATAAAACATCACCGTTTTCATGCTAGTCTGTAATCAAACTGCCTGATGCAAATATTAGAGATGTTTAATTATATGCAATTACATATTTAATGAAATATTAAAATATGTGATTACAGGGTGCATGTTTAGTAGGTGATGAACACACTCTTTGAACGCACTCAGGTGGGTTCTTGGTCCCGCAGTTTCAAAGCCATGAGAAGCAGGTCAGACATCTACAACAGAGAAAACACGTGCAACCATATCAATCTATTTCCATACAGCGTTTGATAAAGAATCACTGAGAAACTGATCATCCTCACACTGACCTCTCTGAGATACTTGTCTCGTTCCTCTTCTCTCCAGCCACTGCGCATGCGCAGCAGCCAGCCTGCGGCGCGGGGCATCGTCCGTTTCTGGCTCCTCTGTGGCATCACAGCCTCCGTCAGGCGCTGCGTGGCCCCAGGGGCCCCTGGGAGGCGGAGGTAGTGACCTTCGGCGTTGGTCTGCCGCAGCACGGGAAGGCTCTCGATGCTCTTCTTCCCCATCAAGTGACCTGTTGGACGTGACGGGATGCATGAAGTGCGTCGGTCGCACGAAGCAGCTGCATTAACTGAGGTTACATTTCATTTGGCTACTTCGGTTCAATCCCCCGTAATTTATTCCTTAAGCGAACCTGTGCAGCAGAAGAAGATATAAACTGTATCTGACCCAGAGTTGAGCCAATTGTCCCTGCAAGATGGATCAATAACATGATTCTCATTGCTCATACAGAAGCAGGATAAATAAGGTGATGACTTCTAAATATAGTACAAATATTTACCGACCCTACGAGATGTTGTGTGATTTGCTCTGACTATTCTGTTGCCAAATATGGTGCAAACTAACAAAATCAATCAAGCAACAAACAAAAAAAAGTTGATCTTACCTACTGCCCAGTGTTTTCCGCGTGGATACACTTTGCCAACCACCGCTGCAGGGCTCCCCGCAGAGAGCAACAGGCACGGCACTGTGGCCAGAAGGATAAAAAGCCGCCACATCGGTCTGCACGACCACGAGCATCCGCACACTCCGCCCATGATATCGGACTGAATGCCGGATTTTAAGTCCCTGCCAGGTGCAGTTATTCAGCTTGATGCAACTTCAGAAAATCCGCACCATAGTCTGTGTGGTGAACACGTGAAGTGGTGTTTCTGTTGCTGCAGACTTGACGGAGTTGCACGCCGGTGCCTTTGGTAGAAGTGGGTGATGGTGAAAGTCAAAATGCCCCCTTCTTGCACGAGTCGGACGTCAGCGGTGATGTGGAAGTCCCGATGACAAATGATCATCAATAGCCTGCAATTATTACTATTGCTGCCCACTGTTTGTCCAGAGCGATAGCGGGAGGTGTCAACGTCATTTCACGAGGATGGACGCGACTTCTGCGTAACTGCTTCCTTTTTTTTAAAATGATGGGGGGTTGGGGGGGGGGGGGGGGGGGTGGAAGGGTTAAGACTGTTTAAGTAATAAACAACATGAACATGAAGTGCATGCACAGTTATGCAGTATACTAATTGTGCAGAATGGCCCCCTATGGACTAATTTAATCCTAATTACTGAACATGTAAGAAGCAATTCAATGTTGGAGCTTGTGGTGAGAGACTTATATAACGATGCATAGCAAAAACAGGTGGGCAGCAAAACGTTTTCAATCCTAAATGTCACAAGTTGTATTGCTGCTAGATAAATCTAAAGTTCAACATTTCCTTATGTAATGTGCAGAAGGTATTAATAGAAGAACAAGTTCCTACAAATTGTACATAAGAGTCTGGCTTTAACTTTGTGAATCCATCCGTCCTGCTTGAATAATCCGGATGCGCCTACATTTCCCACAATGCTCTAAAACTTTGAGTATCTAGATGAAGTACATTCAGATTCACAAAACTATCAATCGCAAGAAGACGCAAGAAGTTTGCAGACCATTTTAATGGTCTTTTAAAATACGTCTATTGTGTAATTCAATTTTATTGTGCGGCAATACTAAATCCCTGGTTCATGCTCCCTTTTATTACAGCACCAACATCCTTAACCACCATTGTCATTGTCACAGTGAAGATGTAAATACTGTGCCAGTACTCATCACGCAGAATGTTATGTTGTTATTCGGTATATAATGCTAATGGGTTACTGACGCATTCAAATACCACTGACATTTAAATGTGTTTATTATGTAAAATATTTAGCCTAAAACTGCACTTACAGACATACAAACATACAACTTCAAAAAAATATTTACTTAAATGATTATTCAAAGGGTGTGTTGGAACCTGCAGGCTGATAATCTCCATCTGAGCAGAATATGATAGAAAAGTGTGATTGATCACACCACAGCATAGAAAGAGAATTTAATGAAGAATTTTCAAAATTCTTATACCTCTTAAGTTCCTCTTGGCGTGAAGTGCTTTGTGACATTTACCGCGTTCGCCTTGTTTTTCGGAGCAGAGGAAATGACGCAGCAGTTTATCGATGGAGGCCATGATGCGTATTTTTGCCGGCGGACGACACCTGTCGTGCGATCAGTTACAAGAATTTGACAATGCAGCCACCGCCGGCACGTCATGTGTAGTTTGCCCCATTTATCGGTACAGTTCATTACAGTGTTATTTATCCCCCTGGAAAGGTCAATAGCACGAATCAACGAAGCGGCCGTCAGACGCGGTGTTTGAAAATTCTCATACTTGAATGAACGCTTTCATGATTGTGTTGACAGACAGATTGTAGGAGGAAGAGAACAGATGAGGACGGATAAGGAGTCCACGCAGGTAAGCGACATTTTGTGTTGAAAAGGTCGTAGGTTTCCTGCGGGTACCGTCGGGTCAGAAGCCCAACACACATCCCCCCTAGTAGATGTTGGAGTGCGTCTCTGGGCTCCTTATGCTTCCTGTCTTCGTCCCAGGTTGACCTTAACAAAACTGGATGAGTCACTTATGGCAAAAGGGCAGCACCAGGCGGTGCCATCTGTGAGATTTGTTGGTATATTTTCCTTGTGAGACAACAATTTCCTGCATATGATCATGGAGTGCAAAATCACAAAAGTACAGGAATATACCAGTAAAATATAGTTTATGGAACATTTTGATAAATACTTGATTTATGGCTACTTTAAAGCATGACATTATGATATTGGTGAGAATATTATGAAAGCAACTTATCTTAAGACGTCAGACATGTCAAATCCTGGAACAAAGCTAGAAAAGCGCAGACTGAGTGTTCAACGCCCCGGCCTGCGATTCACGATTTCACTGACAATCACTCATGTCTGATTGACCGCAAAATTAATGACTAGTTAGAAACTTGGAAAAAGCCACGACTGCGTCATGCTGTTTTTGGTAACCATAAGTTGTAATTAATTTAATTTGAAAAGCTATATTTCTCCGTACATTTGCTTTCCCTTGCAGGTAAAACCTCACACGAGAACCGCAGTTCAGCCTGAAGCTAAAAGCATGGAGCAGGAACAGCAGATGGCACTGTGGTGTGAGTTATGGAAGCCATCATGTGTCATGTGCCAATGATTGTGTACGTACCATTCGTCTATTGTTGTGTTTGTCACTGCGATCTATAATGCCTTATTTACATGTTCACACAACAGTATAACATGTGATACAACTATTGTAATGTCACTCGTTTCTTCCGCTTGGTTGGATATTTTTCATGTACAGCAAAAGAAAAAAAAAAGTTAATCTCGCTATTAAATCAATTGAATGCCCTTTCTGGTTTCTATTCAGGCTATTCATTCTTTTCAAATGCCATCCGCTACATTAAGTGTTCTGACGCTGCTGTCAAGACTGCAATAATACTGGCTTAGTGAGAAGTAAAAATGAGCCATTAAAGGAGGAACTTTCAACAGGAAAGAGTCAATTAAAAAAAGACAGTGTGCCATTACGAGGTCTTTGGATGTTCGTCACATTTTTAACAAAATCCTCCGTCTGTCCAAACAATTCCTGACGTTGAAGGTAAGGACTCAAAGAAACGCGTGCCTGCGCTTTCATTTTGTTACACAACAAACAGAGAAAGAATAGGAATGACTCCCAGCTTACCTCATTCTTTATTTACAACATTGCTCTTTATTTATATAAATAATATTTATGTTCCTTTTTTCAATTATGTAATGCCTAATTCTTTTGTCAGTTTAAAATAATAACAAATAAAATAATAAAATAATAATGATCTATTATTGGCAAATTCAATCAATCAAATTCAAATCAAGAAACAATTTGCCAACAGCGAACATGTGCAAATGCCACAGGTTTCTCCACATACAGTCCAATGTGTCCGACAGTATCTCACACACATTTAAATATATGAATATCCTAACAAGTCAAAAAGCTTGTGTTGTTCTGGGTTTAGTATTAGACGCCTCTATTGTGCAAGATATCAATGAGCTAATGTTAGCATCATGCACTTTTTATTGAGCTTAATATTTCTATCTGCACACATTATACCGTCAATGCTAATTTTCATATTCCATAGCTTTCTATAATCATACAAGAAACATACGATGACAGGACCATTTGATCCATCATACATCTCCGCATCCCTTGCGATTCTTTAAGCAGCTCCTCTTTGCTGCTCCTGTGTTTCGACGTGAATGGAGACAACATGACGTCATGTGACCGTGCCTCTGTTAGGGGTGGGGGAGCTCATCCACCTCAGCCTCCTCTGCACTGAATCTGTCACACCGTAGAGAGGCAGGAGCCGCCATGAAGGCCTTTTATCAGATCCGGCTTCCCTGCAGTGCATAAAACGCATTTGTGTTGTCTGGTGAATAAATCTGGCAGGCTCATTTGAGTATTTAAGGATGATTAGTTTACGCTGCAGCAGTCATGGCTGTCTTTAACAGGTCTGCCAGAGGTATCAAGGACTGGTAGCAGGCCAAAGGGAGACAGCATTACTCAGCTGAAAGCCTCCCTCTGCAGTCTCCCAGGTAGGTTATTGCGTTTCGCTTTTCTTTCTAACCACACGTACTTTTAAGTAATGACTCAATTTAACTTGATGTCCTTTATGTGTACACGTCACATTTGCATTCGTGAAATACCACGGTCATGAGTTTGAATTCTTCATCATAATATTTTAGATTGAAAATACCTTCTCTCTAATTGATTTGTGATTGTATGTAATTATGCATGTTTATCTTGTTGAATATGTTAACAGATTATTTTTGAAGAGCAGAAACATAGACCTTGGTTAACCTTGGCCGACACAACATACAACTGGGCAGTTGGAATTAAGCAGACCTCGGCTATTTATACATTATGTTATAAATGTATAATGTTATCGATCCTGTCAGGAAAATGTGCAGGATTTATTCAAGTTCATCCCCACAACCATAACCTAATTTGCTCATATGGCTCAGCTATAGCAGTGGCCTAAAAAATGAACCCAGTTTACACATTCAAGCCTTTATTATGCTTCCCTCCTGCTCATTTCGCTTTCTTCCTTTCTATCTCCCCCCCATCTCATTCTGTCTCCATCTCTCCCTCTCTCTCTCTCTCTCTCTCTCCGCTTTCTCTGCACCAGCTGCTGCTGCTGCTGCTGCTGCTCCGGAGCCAGAGAGGAGAGTCCCCTCGCCCCCCTGCACAGACAGAGACAAAAGGCCTGATTCGCCTGCTGAACACTGCCCCCTTTCTCTATCCGTCCCTGCATGCACGGCCGTAGGGTGGTGGCTTCAGGAAAAAAAAAAAGCTAGGCCCGGACTAAAGGCTAAAATCTAGGACTGACCCAGTGAAGGAGAGTGGGAAGAGGGGGGAGGGGTGGAGGAGGATGGGGACTGGAATGGTTGGGGCTGAGTAAAAGCAGGTGCTGAGGCCTCTGCAGGAGAAGATTTTTTTCTTTTTTCCTGAATATCTCAGTGGGAAACAATCTGACGAGGGTATGCCACGTTTACCTCTGTCTATGCATGAACGTGCATGTCTGTGTTACTGTGTGTCTCTGTGGTGACATATGCGGGCCCGGGGTGGCCATGTCTTCGAAGGCAATCCGGGTGCATGAATTGCCTGTGTTTCCCCACTGCAGATTCTCTGTCCTGGATGTAATGCTGCTGCTGATGAACGTTTGAAAACAAACCAGTGTGTCTGGGCTGAAAGCACTGAGGAGGAAACAGGCCAAGGTAGCGGACTGCGCTTCTCCTCCCATCGTGGTTACCTCATTCCGCCTCATCATTTCCATGTGTTGAGTGTGCTATTCCTCTCGCCCAGAGGGGTGAATCTCATTCAAATACTGTGCTCCGGTTTCAATAAATCTTTAACAAGGTACATGTCGTCTGCTGAAAAAAAAAGCTTGCAGTGTTTCCAGGGAGGTGGGCACACCGCTTCTGGCCGTGTGTTTCTGAGGCCGTACTGCAGCACGGGGCTTTGTGTTGGGCGACCGGAACCAGATGAAACCGGTTTGAGGGAGACAGAGGGCTGACAGGAACAATGCCGTCTCTGTGCTCCACCGAGGGAAGACGTATCCCAGGCGATCCCCATTGCAGCCCTCCGCAGCTCTGCCTCTGGCGAACCAGGCAACAGACAGGGACGCTGCCGCGCGCTCGCTGGCTGCTGGCTGGATGTCGGCGTGCAGAGGGGGGGGCAGGGAGATTTGAGAAGGGATGAGGGCTGGGGAGGGGAGTCGGGTGAGGGGGGGAGGGAGGACGTGGCGCACTGGGAGTTTGTAGATCTGCAGCTTGGAGTGTCACGTACACACGCACTCATGCAAGAGCACGATCTCTCCGGCTGCTCGCATGGCTGTGTGCTGCTAGTGGTGCAGAGAATGACTAAGGAGGATCCTTACACGGGACCACCACCACCCACCAGATCGCTGGATGTAACCTGACCCTGTATTCTGGGCCTTTGCATGGCTGGGAAGAAGCAGGCTTCCCCCCCTTCCCCCCCCCCGACAGTGTGGGGTGGGTGTCCTTTTTGTAGGATAGTAGTGTTGTGACTGTGTTTGTTGCAGGATGGAAGAAGGAAGGAAAAAAGGTTTGGCTAGTGTCTGAAGACAGATGGAGGCAAGAGGGTGAGGAGTGGCTGATTCACTTGCATGTTTCCACCATTGTTGTTTTACGTCAGGCTGCTCTGGCTGTCATGGCTGTGGCTAGCTGTTCTTTTTCACCAGGCCTTTCTCTCTGCTGCAGCCTCGCACAGCTCAGCAGCCATGTTTTGCCGGCCCTTTTCCTCCATAACATTTCTCTCTGTCTCTGTTTATTTTTCCACCTCAACTATTCCGTCTGCCGGATTGAACTGAGAGTTGTTGTATTTTGAAACCCGAGACGAGGCTACAGGATACAGATGTGTGTGTGTGTGTGTGTGTGTGTGTGTGTGCGTGCGTGTGTGTGTGTGTGTGTGTGTGTGTGTGTGTGTGTGTGTGTGTGTGTGTGTGTGTGTGTGTGTGTGTGCAAATGTGTTTGACCATGCATTTGGATCAAAGAGCAGTCCTGGTTTAACTGCATGCATTGTAAAAGCAGAGCAGCTCCATGGCCGTGCCTTTGTCCCCAACAGCCTCAACACACGGAGATGGAGACACAGCATTTCAGTCCCATGGTGGCTCTCTTGCATAGCTCATCATTTAAGAAAAATAAAGTTTGTTTTGAGTTACAACCCATCGAAAGTATTTTCTAATATTGAATAATCTGTATCAGACAATTCTTTTGAAGGCTGAAAAACGTGTCTGAAAAAACATGGGTTGTGTGCAATTAATAAATATGTTGTATTTGCCGGAGTGACTGTCCTTACATTTTCCATATCACCGAAAGGTTCATATCTTAACTTCAAATTTGTTCATGTGTTTTGTTCAACCACAAAACTAGCAGTCGGACGATAAGAAAATAACTGAAAGTATTGCATATCTTCAATATTGTATTAATCATTTGAACCCAGTTAATTATCATCCTCATACATTTTATATATATATACAAAAAATACGAACTCTGATGCCTTGAAGTCTGGCTTTGATACGCCAGCAGCTTATAAATAAAACTCAAATGGATTACATTAGCACACTGGAATACACTTGTTTCCTTCCTGTAGAATTTGTTTAATTATAGAAAAGCTGCCCATGTTGTGATAAGTAAGGACAATGTTTTGTCTTGCATGTCATGAAAATACCACATAAATGTCTCATGTGTACTAGCATGTGGTTCTATCAGAAACAGTTCAATGCAGTTGACTAATCAAAAGACAAATGAGGCATAATTAGAGCTGGCAGGAGTCCTGAAGTCAGAACCTCATGCATAGAATAAATATCAAATATACGAAAGCTGCAACTAAGTTTTGTTGGACACCAGTACACTATGTGGAGACAACTGAAGCCCAAAACCAGAGCTGAATGATGTGTCCACTATGACTTACATCCACTCAAGTCATACTGTAATGTACAACATGGGAATATATTCTGCCTTAATAACAAAAATATCCATAAACACATCTTGTCAATTAAGTTGATCTGTTATTGTCCAGTATTGTTGTGAGGAAAGACACAAAGAAGCAGGGCTGAATATGAATGAATCACATGCTTACCACCTTGTTTTAGTCAAACATATTAGGAGCATCTTCCAATGCTGGAAACCTGTTCTGTGCAACACTATTAATCCAATTCCAATTTGGGATACAGAGGAAATTTGGGATATCTCTTTGTATCACTAATCATAAAATATTATCAATAGCCACAAGAACCATATCTTTAGAAACAAAATGTTCTAAATATCAGGTTATTAGTGATACATGAACAAACCACTCTGTGAAAAACTTTTACAACATAGAATTCAAGATACATCTACAGACAACTGTAGCGAAACAAACCTTGTTGTGTATTTTGGATGTTTTATTCCACCTGTCCAATTGGAAACATGTGGAAGCAAAAAAGCCCACACTCTCACGCATCTGTTTCCATTCCAGTCAAAAACCTACAGTTTGATAGAGGTGAAAAGAACTGTTAGTTTCACTCACTCAAATGCACATGCACCCTACTTGTTTCCTTTAGTGGATTAGACCGGATTGTTTTAACTTCATCTACGATTTATTTCTACACATCTGTATTACAGATACAATGTTAGTCCGTGGGCTGTAGTCATTAATTACGTTGATCAGAAAATTCATGTCAAGAAATATATGTACCTTTCAATTGAGGACACTATGATCCATGGACATTATCTGCCTGTTTTTTTAACCAAAAAATCAGTTTGACACACAAGAAATCTCATAATCTAATGAGAAAATCGCTGATGAAAACGACAAGAAACATCCAAACAGATAAAATACATAGGCGCATGTTTATACCATTTCCTCTGTGTTGCCCAGGTAAACTCCTCCGACCAGGAACAGGACCATGGGAGATATGAAGACGCCAGACTTTGATGACCTGCTGGCGGCTTTCGACATCCCTGACATGGTGGATCCTAAAGCCGCCATTGAATCTGGCCCCCATGACGACCATGATGGACAGCTCAAGCATCCTAGTGGTGAAGACGAGTCCCACGGCGCTTCAACAGGACTTGATGTTGGCGTTAGTGTCATTGTCAAAAATATCCGAAGTGCGGACACTAGGGAGCGTGGTGGAACCATATCAGAGAAGGATGGACATTTTCAATCCCCTTTTGTTGACATTGGCAGTGGACTTCATAATAGCTTCTTAGCCGCAATACAACCACGTGCTCATTGCACCACGAATGGATGGAAAGCTTTCAGCGAGGAAGGACAATCAATCAACAGCGATTCACCAACCTTCAATGAATTCAGCCCCATCTCCAGCGTTGAAGAGTTTGATGATGATGATGATAAAATTGAGGTCGATGACCCCACGGACCAGCAGGGAGGCCAATCATTCACTAAATTCACAGCCAAGACAGACGACCAGAATCCCACCTATCATGTATCGTTAGACAATGCTTCTAAGCCCACATTAAACAGGGAGGACAAATCTGATCAAAATAATAACCCCAATGAAACTCTGGGATGTTGCAAGTCCAACAAGGTCCCTCAATCAAGTTTACCTGAATGGGAGTGGAAAAAAACTGTCCTCGAGTCTCAAGATCAAGAGTTCAAGGAGACCGGAGAGCCGACGGAGCACGTTAATGTGTCCAGTACGTCTCAAGTCAAAGCCAAGTCCTCTGCAAAACTTTCATCTTGTTTAGCGGCCATAGCTGCCCTCAGTGCCAAAAAGACTTGCACTACAGATGTGGGTGTTTTGGATTCTCCTACAAAACAGAAAGATTCCACCCGTGCCAATAAAAATTCCAGAGCTCTGGAGAAACCACAGGAGCAGGAGTCAGCCCTGGAATTTGCAAAGAGGCTGCTAACAAGACCACCAGACAGTCCCTCGAGCGTCATCAGTGAGGGTAGCAGCAAAGGTTCCCCTGCCTCAAGCACGGACACCACACCGGTTATCCCGAAAGTCAGGATCAAGACAATCAAGACGTCAACCGGCCAGATCAAGCGTATGGTGACCCGAGTTGTGTCAGAGTTGGATCCTGAAGGTCTGAAAACAAGAGAGAAAAGCGTTGCTGTGATGGCGACCACCAGTGCAAAGCTCTCCTCCCCTACAGGGCCTCCTCTACCAACCACAGTGTTTGCCACCGCCGGAGGCCCTTCAATGGAAATAACCAAGCAAATGACTATCAAACCTGTGGCAACAGCTTTCCTGCCTGTCTCTGCAGTCAAGACGGCCGGTTCCCAAATCATCAACCTGAAGCTGGCCAACAATACCACAGTTAAAGCGACAGTCATCCCCGCTGCATCAGTGCAAAGTGCCAGCAGCGCCATCTTAAAAGCTGCCAAGGCCCTCAAGCAACAGACCGTCATGGTACCTGCCTGCAGTCTGGCTAATGCCAAACTTGTGCCAAAGAAAGTTCATCTAAGTAACCTGAACCTTCTGCCTCGGACTGTGTCCTCCGCTGTCTGTGATCCCAAAAAGGCCCAGTCCTCCTCCAAACAACCACAGCAGATCAAACAGCGTACGATTCTCGCTGGCCGGGCCTCAAAGAAACTCTCTAGGATTCAAGTGTTCAACAGCTCTCAAAGCTCTGTAGTGGACGCTTTCAACAAAGTCCTGAGTAGCATAAATCCCGTCCCCGTGTACGTCCCGAACCTCTCTCCCCCAACCTCAGCTTGTATCTCTCTACCCTCACGTGGCTACAAGTGCCTTGAGTGCGGAGATTCATTGTGCTCTTGAGAAGAGCCTGGCGCATCACTACGAGCGTCGCAGTGTGCGGATCGAGGTCACCTGCAACCACTGTGACGAAAGTCTGTTGTTCTACAACAAATGCAGCCTCTTGTCCCATGCCAGGGGACACAAGGACAAAGGGGTGGTCATGCAGTGCTCACATCTAATCCTAAAACCCATCCCCGCAGATCAGATGCTAGCCACAGCACCATCATCAGGCCCACCAAACATCACTGGCCCCACCTCCGCCTCCCGAGCCCAATTAACCACCCAAATCCCGGGGAGGGTTGCTGGTTCGGGGTCCCAAAGTACGGTGGTTTCCGCTCCGAGCAGCGCTCCTCTTGCCGCAGCCATGCCCTTGGAGGATGATGCATCGAAGCTCTGCAGGCACAGCCTCAAGTGCTCGGAGTGTAACAGAATGTTCCAGGACGACGGCTCGCTGGCTATGCACTACCAACAGGCACAAGAGTCCAGTGGGCAGGTGTGTGTCGGTAATGTGTGCACCACAAACATGGTAGTGCACACAAAGGGTCGTCGTCGTGGCGCAGGGGGTAGAGCGGGTGCGCTGGGAACCACAAGGTTGGTGGTTTGAGTCCTGGTTGCCCCATGTCTCAAGTCGAAGTGTCCCTGAGCAAGACACCTAACCCCTAATTGCTCCCTGGGCCAAATGTAAAAAAAGCCATGGGTTTAAAGTGTAATGTTAGTCGCTTTGGATAAAAGCGTCAGCTAAATGACCTGTAATGTAACAGTGAGGATCATATTGGGGGGGGGGGCTCACATTGGGGGAGCCTCTGGTTCCCATTTATTTTTCCGTTTAAAATGTTTTGTTACTTTGGATCCACAATAGAATATAATACACCCCGAGCATGAAGTATCCTTTATGCAAAAACAGATCCCCCTCGTATTTCGGTTGCGATTGTTCCAGTGCAATGATGAAAATCCAATTGATGATTTTCTTTATTTCCTCTTTTTAGAAAACATGCAGCATCTGTCAAATGCTTCTACCAAATGAGTGCAGCTTTCTGTCGCACCAGCGGATCCACCAGCACAAGTCTCCTTACATCTGCCCCGAGTGTGGCGCCAGCTGCCGCTCTGTCCATTTCCAATCCCACGTCACAAAGAACTGCCTGCATTACACGCGCAGGGTTGGCTACCGGTCAGTCAACCATGATCACATCTTAACATTATTCATTTGCATTCAATTTTTTCTTTTGTGCTCATGTGTAACTTTCCTCAAATTTCAATTCCGACTTTTTTTTTTCAAATCTGAATGTAGTTTTCTTTTTCTTTTCCAACTAGCTATACTCAGACTTCACTTTACTTTTAAAGTGCCACTTAAAATGTCAAATCTAATTACAGTTATCATTCAGTCATCATTACTTCACGAGGTTTGCCTCATCTTGACAATTCCATTCAACCAAAAGCGATATAATTTACAATTGACCTTAAGGGGGGAATTAATTTAAATTCTTGTCAAACTCCAGAGTTATAATTGTTTTGCAGTCTGGTGATACTTTTTATAGCCCTTCCTAGTAAACGGTGCTCCTGCTCGAGGAAAGAGCTACACTGAATTCCTGTATGTTGAAATTCCATTTATTCTGCCTTTTCCACCTCTTATTCCTTTTCTCCCCAGCTGTATCCACTGCAGTGTGATCTTTGCTGATGCCGCAACTGTAAAGTCCCACATCCAGAGTTCTCACTGTGAGATCTTCCATAAATGTCCTCTCTGCCCCATGGCCTTCAAGTCTGCACCTGCGACGCACTCTCATGTGAACACACAGCATCCGGCAATGAAGGCTGGAGAGCCCAAGTAGGTCAAAAACACCGTTGACACTTCTAATGTATGATTGTCACTATAAAATAAATGTATTTCATATTTCCTTAAAGACATAATTCATAATACACCAGCTTTTTTTAGTTAAAGTATCATTAACACAAATCTACACACATTTTTTACTTTACACACACACACACACGTACACCAATATAACTTAATAATACCCACGTCCAATTCCCTTTTCAAAGAAAAATCCTCCTCGCTGCTTCATCAGCAGTAGGATTTGTGCGTTTTAGATGCGGTGGCTTAGCTGGTCTTTTCCACATGGAAACCTTTGAATGACATGCAGGCGATCATCAGCCCCACTGGTGATACAAGGTGCTCAGTAGCAGGTGTTCTCGTGCCATTGTTTGGTATTGGCCTTGTTTTCGCCCCAAGCTTACAGCTAAATAAAGATATCTGACAAGGAACAACATTCAAAGGACTAAACCACCGTTATCAGAATGTTTAAATATTTGATCTCATCACAGTATAAAATTGAAAATCTGAAAAGATTTGTTTGTTTCAAGTGCAATAATACAACTGCATGTTCTTTAAATGTGTGCAGTAAATTCACATCGGTAAAGAAGCCTATTTGTTTTTATGTCTTTCAGGTTGATCTATAAGTGTTCCATGTGTGACACCGTGTTCACTTTGCAGTCCCTGCTCCACTCCCATTTTGACCAGCATATCATCAATCACAAAGTCCCAGTGTTCAAATGCCCCGACTGCTCCATGCACTACGCACAGAAACAGCTCATGTTGGATCACATCAAGGTGGGAATTAAAAGCAGTTATTTCGGGAATGCTTGACAATAACTTTTTTCTGCATGCATGCATCTAAAATCGAAATTTTCGCAGTGACTTAAAGAAATTAAAATACTGCCACACATTGTTTTTTTTTTCGCATTTCCAACTAATACTAATAGTCACACCTTACGTACCAATGGTCAACTCTTTTTGTTATAATCAAAAATGCATCTGCTGCTCCTTTCCAGGCCATCCACGGCACCCTGAAGAGCACCGAGGGTCCACCAAACTTAGGCATCAACCTTCCTCTCAGCACCAAGCCCACTAACTCCAACAGCACAAACAGCCCCGGCAACAATAATCCCAAGAAAGATGGACGAAATGACAAAAGTCGAGACAAGGGAGAAAAGAAGCCTTCACCTTCCCCGCTAAAGAAAAGCAACCGTAACTGCTCAGTGGACCTCAAGAGCCCACCGAGCTCAGGATACACATGTGGAGACTGCAGCAGTGTCTTCAGTGCCAGGGAGGTCTTTGTGGCTCACATGAGGCGTGAACATGGCAAGGTGAATGTTGACAACCTTTGTCACTAGGAACTTTTTTTAACATTCTGCCAACGATTTTTGTTGTTGCTATCAACGCATTCTCCTCCCATTGCAGATGCTGAAGAAACACCCGTGTCGGCAGTGCGAGAAGTCCTTCAGCTCCTCCCACAGTCTTTGCAGACACAACCGTCTCAAGCACAAAGGACAGCGGAAGGGTTACACCTGCCCGTGAGTACACACATCCACGTCAACAACAACAACAACAATACTTGTAGGTCCACGCCCTCTGGAGCGTTTCCTGATGTGAGGGCCCTATGGCTAAGGTTCAGCCATAAAAAGGTAGGTTGTAACGGTTATTTTCTGGTACTTTTGACAGTCACTGTCCGGCTCTCAGTCAGCTGTTCACTAAAAGAGTGCTGCTGGATCAGCACATCCATCTGATGCATGGAGACAAAGACCCAGATGGGACAACCGCAAACTCTGGTCACACGGAGGCTCTACCTGACAAGGAAACGGTACCGTGTCACACATCTGTAGACATGCATTCATTAGGAAGGAGTTCACGTCTTTTTTTATCATGCATCTTTCAATCCTAACCGGGCGTTTTTAACCCTCCCGCAGCCCCGCGGCCCCAAAAGGAAGCGAGAAGAGGATGAGGGGTCCCCAGGCCTGACCAGCGACTCACAGCCCTTAAAGAGGCTCAAGGTGAACATCCTTAAAGTTCACAAGTGCGCCGTCTGCGGCTGGACCGCCGAGGACGTCGCGGCTTTCCGCGGCCACATCCCCCAGCACAAGTGCGACGGCTCGTCGCACCAGTGTCAGGAGTGCGGCCTGTGCTACACCTCCCGCCGCTCGCTGGCCAGGCACCTCTTCATCGTCCACCGGCTGAAGGAGCCGCAGGGCCTCGCCCGGTTCAACGGAAGGGGCAGGGACGACGACGACGACGAGAGCCAGCGGGAGAACCAGCTGGAGGTGGCGGACGGGACACCGAGCACCAAATGCAAAGTGTGCGGCAGGATGTTCGAGACTGAGGGCAACCTGAACACTCACATGAGGACACACGGGATGGCGTTCATTAAGGCCAAGAGACTGAGCGCGGCGGAAAAGTGACGCTTTTAAACCATTCCAAGTGATTTTGTACTGATGGTTGTCTCTCTGGTGTATATATACATACTGTATATATTATGTATATGTGTGCTACAACATGTACGCAGACATAAACACCATAAGTCAGTCACTTTTTGCGTTTAAGTAAATTGAAGATAGATGGATGATTTTCTACAGGCTTTGAATAGATTTGTTTTGTACAGAACATTTATTTTGAATAGAGTTTCCATTGTTCTCCCTAGGACTAGATAATGTATGCATAATTGGTGTTATGGGATTAATCCTCATGCAGTTGACGGTGAATGTTTAATGTTGTTAGTTTCAAAACAGAAAAAACACACATACAGTATATAAAACTTTTGGCAGCTTCGAGTTTATTGTTTCTACAATAAATATCAGAAAACACTTAATTGAAATTAAATAAAAATCAGAAGTATTCAGACAAAAAATCCTATAGTTTGAAATGATTATGATGACTACGCGATTAATGTGGCTGAGATTAATGCGAAGAAATATTTTAACGCAGTTAACGCAACTTTGTTTTCTTCCGGAGTGCCGGAAGTAAACAAAGTTTACCACGGGAACAAAACTTACTAAAGTGATTACTCATAACACGGAAGATTTAGTCTTTAGAAGAAAAACAAACGTTTAATCGAAATTAATTGCGATTAATCAAAAGGGAATTATTCACACAAAAGGACCAGTTCAATTAAATTAACAATGACTGAAAATTGTGACAACCACAACATTGTTTTCTATTACTTCTTTTAGTAAAAATTTGTATTTAGACAGAAGATTTTCTACTCTGACAATGAAACGTGTCTGGCGCTAGAAATGCGTGTGAGAAGCAGTCAGTGAATTGTTTGTTGAATAGAATGTATCTTGCTGCTGCCGCAGTTTTCAGCCATTTCTGATGCTTGTGTACAAAGCTGTTCTTTACGTCAATAAATGATAAATTATAAACCTGCCAGAAGTAAAATCTGATGTCCACCGCATTTGATACACCAGTAAACCTCTGATTATTCACACTAAGGCTCTTAATTTGCTTTTTGCGTCACAGGCATGCATTTATTACCTGACAACAGGTGTGTGACCTCTAAAAGTCTTACAGCTGTAGGGTTGACATGAATAATAGGAATTTCACACAGGCCTATTTTTTGAGTGGTAGTCGTTGTCTCATTATAAGTGATATCACATCATACTTTAAATCTTAGATGACACCACTGTCAGCTAAAAAATATGTTTTACTACTAATTTGCAATAGAAAAAAGGTTTTCAAATGAACCCAATGGCTTCAGGATTCACTGCTACTACTCACTGCTTTCACTAGAATATCCCTTTAAAAGTGACACGATGCATCGGTCTTTAGAACAAGGGCACCTTCTAGTGGCCGCGGTTTATTTTTGTAGTAGTGCTGTTCCCATATTTCTATTTGAGAAAAATGGTTCTGGTAAAAAAAAATTCAAGACTAGGAAAAGCAGGAGGAGACTAGGAATTAAAACCAGAAACTTTTGTAAAACTTGTGTTGTTGCATAGCTGATCATCATCTAATCCTGTTAATCGGGTCTTGTGACCATAATCAAAGCCTGTTTTTTTTTTTTTGTCCACCTTTTATACCCTCATGTAACCAAATCCCGTTCACACCCGATAGAGAAAACCAGGTGAGCGCGCTCTGCTGTTTCCGCGGCAGTTTTTCAATCCCACCATGCAAGATGAATTTCACACTACCTTCTTTGTGATGACGTGTCCTGTGTTATTTAAACACATTCTCCAACAAAGAGGTGCACTCAGTCCTAAGAAATGGCCCCGTGTTTGGTGGCGTTCCTTCTCTTTGCAGGTTGTAGTGCAGCGCTGGAAAACAAGCAGGCCACCACGGTTTCTCAGAAATGTTCAGAGGATACCGACACTTTCCTCTGGGAAATTAACCAGGACAGTCCGAAGGAATACGCTGTTCTCAGTAAGTGTTGCTGAAGTTTTTTTCTTTAAATTGTTGAGTCACTTTCAGTTGAGGTTCACGTCCACTTAAAGTCATTTGAGAGGAGATGGTTACGTTGGCTTTCAAGCCAATAGGGTTCATTCTCAAACCGAGTTAGAGGCCATTTACAGAAGTCTTTTAGAACAAGATAATACCACTGAATCACAGTGCAGTTACATAGAAATGCTTACAAACTCAACAAGATTTCATTTGACAAAAAAAAGTGAAACTATCAAAAAATATCTTTTATATCTTTTTAAACCCCGCTCTGCATTTGTATATGAACGGGTTCTGAGCAGATAAAGTGTATTAGCAGAACTTAAAACCCCAAAGGAATAAATTAATTGTGACAATGAACTAGCTTCTGCTCAGAGTGTATCAATGACTGACAAGCACCAGGTAAATCAAACACCTCTGGATTGGAAATGAAATGATTTAAAGCCCGTGTGCCCCGCACGCTGTATAACTAACTGCCTCTCAGGGTCCACATTATCTCCATGGTAACTAAGGCCGTCAGGATTTGACTCACCGTCGGAGGCCAGTCCTTCTTCCATTAATGGGGATGAGGTCACACAGTGTCTTTACAGTTTTTGCTTGGATCACCATGTAGTTTGTTTTTTTGTTGTTTTTGCTCATGTATGCAGATGTGAGCATCGCTCCACAGGTGGGTTAACAAGGAAAAAACATGCTCTAGCCTACTTTGGTGTCAATTAACCCTGATATTAACTAACCTGTGGCCGTAACCACAGCGTGGGGCGCTGGCTGTTTCACTCTATTAATGCAAATAGGTGGAAAAGATGCGGAAGACAGCGGAACAAATGGTTTGTCGCCATATGTTTTTATTAAAAGGACAAGACTGAGCCATTAACAAGTCCAGGCTTGCCCATGTCATCGTGAAAAAAGTCAGTAAAAATATAGGGAAAATAATTTAATTTATTTGTTCAATTTCTGAGTCCCATTTACTTGTTATTTAAATCCGTACTTAGTAAAAACCTAATAAAGTCATTCCCTTTTTGAGATATATCTTTTGTTGAATCATATGATATCTTCTTCTTGCAATTCATAATATTGGTTAAACAAATAAATAGTCAATTATTTAAAGTTGAGCTTTAAATTCACTAGATTTGTTTTATACTTTAATCAAGAAAGCAGATAGTGATCAATCATAATCAATCTTCAGTACCACATTTTGTATGGTATATTCTATTTTATTAGTATCTTTATTATGTATAAAAGGGCTGCGGATTGTCTCCGTTTGGTTCACTAACCTTCTTTTGTGCTGTGGTGCTTGTGTGTGCATTGTCAGTGTATGATGCATTTGGAAAGATGGGCAGTAATGTCAAAGGAGGCAATGCCAACCAGCCGGGCCTCCTGCAGCAGTGTCGCTCTGCACACAGCCCTGCCTTCTCTGGACAGTACTGCCAGGTGTTCCTCAGGCAGGTAAAACAAACACATTTCACACAAGATAAAATATCATCCTGACGGCTTGGATCTTGAAGTGTTTTTACCATCATAGGAAACCGTCCAGTACTTTGTTGGTATTTGCCTTCCTGACTCCTGCGGAGAAGAAGACGTTCAAATGCTGGTGCTGAGTGGTCAGTGATTTCAAAATACGTTTCCTCTGGACCTCATCGTACGGTCAAACCGATATTTGTTTTTTGTATAACTTGTGAACGTGTTTCATCTTAACAGGGAAACTTGAGTTTGGCCAGAATTCTCTCATTCCTCCTTCGCCTTCCATCCTGGTCAATGGTTCCACTCAGGAGATGATCATGACCCACTGTTTGTCCAACACCGTTGCCCCTGATGCATCCGATGTCACCTGTCTGTCAGTATACGATCAAATGTGCCCCTTTGTTTCCCATCTCTTATATGCATGTGTACTCCCACACAGGAGAAGTACATTTTTCACTTCTGTTTTTGTCTTAATCTCTCCTTTTCTCCTGCAGGTTTGTGTGTTGTGCGATGGTGGCGATTCCCCTTGCGGCTACACTGTTTACAGCTATGATAAGATGGCAACGCAACAGAGAGGTCAGACCCACAGTGGAGTCTGCCTGTCTAAACACCGGCCTCAACCTTTATGGGACCATAAAGATCAACGGCTCCTCCAATAGCAATATTAATAGTGGCAGCTCAGAGGAAAATGGCAATGGTAAGTACTTTTTTCTGTTATGTTCCCCAAGATTTCTCCATAAATATGCATACCGTATGATGCATCACGAGCTGGTCTCCTCGTAGACGGCAGCGAGCACACTCCCGTGGGTTTTCCCGGAAGCGGAGTGCGCCGGTGCCTCGATGCGTTCTCTCTGCAGACCACCAGCCAGGGCATCTTTAGCACCTCCTCGTCCATCCCGGGAGGAGGCTACTCCTCCCTCAACGGAATCCGTGTCCTCAGCCTGTTATGGATCATCTGTGGACACTCAGCACAGTTCCCCGTAATAAACAACCTGGGTACGGCAGTACACTATTTCGGTCTGCGGGGGGGTGCTTTTAGTGACTTTTTTAAATTTATTTTTGCAGATAACTACAAAGACTGGAAGAAAACAGTGGAGCACAACCCTCTGCATGTGCTCACCATCAGCGGGCCCGTTTTCCTGGCCGTGGACACGTTTTTACTGCTAGGGTGAGACTGAAATAACACATGGTTTTAAAGCACAACGTGTCAGTAGAGGAAAGACCAAAGTGAGCGTTGGGTGGTGGCTTACGGCGGTTTGTTTGTGCTGCAGGGGTCTGCTCAGCGCTCGCTCTCTGCTGGGCTCCATCAACAGGGCGGAAGACAAACTGAGCCCGAGTTTGGTGGTCAGCTACCTCTGCAGGAGGATTAGACGGTAGCGTCCGATTATCCGTCTGTCATTTTCTCTTGGTCATACCGATGTTTTGATATGCTCTGGATTGTTCGCCTGGTCTTAAACAAGCGTGATACGTTGGATTTTCCTTCTTGTGTGTGTTCTCACGGTCACAGGATTCAACCACTGCATCTGTTCGTCATGTGTCTGACAATCGGCCTCATCTCGGTGGTCCATTGGGGACCCTACTGGTTTCCCTTCATGGATACTATGATGGATTGTAAGACGTACTGGTGGGCCAACTTATTGTTGATAAGCAATCTCCTCCCAGTCCACGAGATAGTAAGTTCAAAGAATAATTTAATGGCTCAAGTAGTCTTTTATATTATTCATGAAGCTTTTATTTCTCAGTGCATTCCTTGGACGTGGTACCTGTCTCTGGACTTCCAGTGTTATGCTACAACTCCTCTGTTGGTCTATTTTTACAGACTGTATGTAATGTTTATTTATACCTGCACAAATTTCATTTATGAATCATGGCCACAGTTCACAACTACGTCTTTAACGTATTCGTTCTGTCTATTATTTTCTCAGAAACAGAGGTGTGTTTTTGATGGTTGCTGGAGCCCTTCTGCTGATGACCACTGTGGCCAGCGCCGTTATAACTGCACTCCTGCAGCTGCCGGTCTTTCAGCCATCTACACTGTAAGATGATCCAGTGTTAACACAAACAGCATGCAGGAGCCCAATGCATGAGATGTAAAATGACTGGAATGTCAATATTCTGCTTTTAATGCAGGGAACTTCCAATGTGACGGAAGGTCGAGCCACCGATCTGATTATTTTTGTCTCCTTTTTGCAGAACATCCGAGAATTATGTTTTGTCTTACTACGTGAGACCGCACACAAGATATGGGCCATTTTTAATTGGAATCTTGATTGGAATATATTTAACAACAAAGAAAGATCAGCTGCTGAAGCAAAAGGTGAGAACAGTCCTGCCGTTCTGCATCAGTTCCGTATCCATTCAATTCGCATCAAATGCCGTTTTTCTGATATAGTCAAGTCAAGTCGATTCGGTACTCGTAATCCTTGTCTTGCGGTCGATCCAGTGGCAAGCGGCACTTGGTTGGTTCTGCTGCCTGTCAGTCATGGCTTCGCTGGTTGGATTGGCCTTCATCCTCAGGGAGACCCCGGCCCATCCCTCCGTGTCACATGCCCTCTACCAGGGGCTGCACAGGCAGCTCTGGGCTCTGGCTGTGACCTGGATCATCCTGGCCTGTGAGGAGGGTTACGGAGGTAAACCAAGAACAAAGTCCAAAAGTCAATGGAAGACCATTTACATATTGATCTTAACAAAATATTCAGAATTCTGTCACTATTTATGATGATAAATAAATAACCTTCTAATCTTTTTAGATGAGAAAAACTGTACAATGTGGGCAATAACAATGAGTAAAACAAAACCAATAACAACGATTTAACAGATATTGTTAGAAGTGTGGTGGAAATTTGTGGATTTAGCCCATGTGAGAAATCAAAAGTATCTTGAGCTTGCTTTGTGATTAAGTATTTATTACTAACTAGAATATAGAAAAAAGATAAAGAATACAGAAATCATCAGCACAAGTCGTAAGCACAGACAGAAGTCAAATGACTACAATTCAGCTGAAAAGGGACAGATGTTCCTTCCCCCAAAAGGAGCAGGAAGATCTGACCAAGTTGAAGAGGAGAACAGGAGCTTATATACACTTCAGGGAGGTTTGTGCTGCCTCAGGACAGCCCACCCCTCAAGAGGAATGTAGGAAAAGTAGCAGATGATGTAGGGGTGACCCTGTGACCCTCCCTTTATGGACCCAGACAATCAACAACATCTAAAAGGTCAGTCAGGGCACGCATGTTTTCATCTGTGTCTTATCTCACCCTGGACTGCCTTAAGTCACCGGCTCACATCAAGGGTCACATTCCTGAGAGCCTCACCCCACGCAGGCTCAACAATTTTCCCCCAACAAGAAGTACAGAAGTAGCACTTATCTGTAAACTAAAAGCTTAAATATCTTAAGCATAAATGTATCGGTGCTACATTTTCTTCTGTGTTTTGTGCTACCCAGGTTTTATCAAGAGCCTCTTGTCCTTGGGTTTCTGGATCCCTCTTTCCAACATTAGTTTTGCCTGCTATCTGACACATCCTGTCTTCATCATCCTCTACATCGGCCTGCAAGAGACCCCAATTCACTACACGGACATCAACTTTGTGAGTCAGCACATTGCATTAGGTTTCATCATGCCCGATGTGCTCTCTAATGCCTTGTGTGTCCCCTCTTCAGATGTACCTGTTCCTTGGCCACTTGCTGCTCACGCTGGTCGCCAGCTATGTGTTTACCGTGCTGGTGGAGAAGCCATACCTCCTCCTAAAATGGGGTAGTACATCATTTTAAAAAAAGGTCTTTATCCAGTAATCCCCCGTTTGGTATATGTTCTGTTTGCTTGTGCCTTGTGCGCTACGCATAATGCCACTGCTCAATTACGCTTTTGCAGAAAATAAACTTTGTTTCTTAAAAAAGTAATGTTGTTGACATCCTGCAGAAGTCACAAAAATTCAAGAAAGTCAAGATGGACACATTCGTCAACCATCACAGTGGTAATGGTGTAATTATATTTAGAATGTATTGGCGTTTCCATGTCCAGAACCGTTAACTTCAACAAATCAGAAACCAAGAGTTGGATATTTGAAAAACAGAAAGGGATGATATGATTTATTGTTTCTCCACACGGGCTTATTGCACTCGAGTTGCGTGGAGCAGACAGTAAGGCTCGCTTCCCTGTAACCCAAAGTTCATCGTATTCCTCTGCTGTCCTCCGCCTCTACGTGTTGGAAGACATCACAACAACGCGGGACATATTTCACTGCCCTTTCCATGGCAGCGAATCAGAACTTACAAGTGACACTGACTCAGCCGATGACCTCACAACAAAAGGTTCTCAGTTTCTAATGACGCATTAACGCGCGGCCACGTTTCCATCGTGGCGCTGGAAGTCACTGCATTGCATTGAGCTGAGTAATGGGTCACGTACGGCCTCAAAGAAATACCTCGAGAGCAACTGTTTCTCTCCCGCTTCACACAGAAACTAACATCATTGTGCAAAATGTATAGCTGCTTATTTAAATCAGGCTTTATCTACCGGCTGAGTCCAACCTGCTGTGTTCAGCGGCGCTCTGTGGGCCTCGGAGGTGTCGTTGGCCTGCTGCTGCCCTCCTGCCCTAATGGGTCCTGGAAAAACGCGCTTCAGACTGACTCTCTCTGGCGGCGGCAGACAAACAAAACGCGGTTGCCGCGCGCACTTTTTCTCCACTCGGTCCTGGCGCCGAGATCATGGAAGCCGAGCGGAGGCAGACTGTGGAACAACACGGGGTAAAAATACACCTCGCTGTGGTAAGACGAAACTGCCTTCACCATGACAACAAGAGTCCACGGGGGCCACGTCCAATCCGGACGCCCACAACAACATGCTCAGGATGGTGTAACACGTCCGAGACTGATTCTAATGATTAACGACATTGTTTTGGAGAAGGAAACAAAAAAAAGAGACATGTTGATCGTTCAAGAAATACTGAGCGCGGCTGAGATACCTTCATGCGGCACCACGTTGGGTTTTTCCATGTTGACATCCAAGCATTATTTCATCATCTGTCTCCCGCAACTGTGAAAGAAGCAGTGATGTAAGAGGCAGGCATTTACTCACGGTTACAGAATTGTCCTCAACCGCCGTTATGAAACAACATTTTGTCAGCGGTTTTCTGAATGATGAAACTTGATAATGAAAGAACTCATGCATGCAACGCAAAGAGACCACCGTCTGGAGTTGAATCAGGTCTAAACAAAAGTTGGAAGAAAATTGTACGGCATGAAGTCAAGACAGTTTGTTGGAGATGTTTAGGGGCTTGAGAAATTTCCCAAACCAATTAACCAGACTCACCGAGATTTCAGTTAAATAAGGTTTAAGTCCGACGTTGAGGCGTGTCTAGAAAACGAGCGGTTGCTTTGGACGGTAAAATTGCTGGGTCAAAGGTCATCATTGGACACCTGAACAGCCGTGATTTTGGAAGAAAGTTATTACAAGGTTTTTCAATGGATATGCCAAATTTATCAGACTATTCCAGTATTGTATTAAACATTTCTCTCAACTTTGGATACAGGAAAGCAAGCTTTTCCCCCCAATTTGCAGTCTTTTTACTCAGCAAAGCTCAGCTAACAGCCTTTTGGCAGATGGACATGACATACACCTTTGAATCAGAATCAAAGCATCATCACATGACTCCACTGAACGTAAACTCCCCTTTTCAAAGCATATATGGACAATTGTTTCATGCCTCAACTACAACAGATAATCATTTTCCAATAAATTAGAGTCATTGGTCCATTCAAATAATTAAAAACTGACCTGCCATCCTTGTCAGTAGGGATTTGTTTGTGTCCACTGTGAGGTGAGTAATGAGAGGCAAAGTCACATGTAATCACCGTCACACCCATGTGAGATAATTGACAACTAATAATGTTACATAAAAGACCAAAAAGTCTGTCCTCATTAGGTTGTTCTGGCCATCGACAACAGCACATTGTTGCTTTGCCAAAACAGCCAGAGAGGCATCGATGGTGCCAGAAAAGTGACCCATTGAAAACACAACATTAATATCAAATCTTACAGTCTCATATTGTTTCACTGAAACTTGGCTTTGGTTTATATTTTGCTGCATGTTTTTCCAATGCGGGCTCAACTCCAAGCACCTTTTTTATATATATACTTCATTAAAATAAAAAAATAAAACTTGTGTCAATGTTGTATTCTCTCTTATAGTATGTTTGTGCTGAACAGGCCTACAGGATGTCTACAGTAACATTATTACAGTATGAGCTTGCTTAGTTTGTTATTATTTATCTCACTCGCCCACTTAATTAAATGTCAAAAACACCCACAAGTTTTCTGTCTCTGAACAAAAAAAAACATTGAAACAGCTTGTAAATATAGATATTGAGGGTAAATGTCTAAGATTGGCTCACGTCTCCAATATCAGGTAACTGACTTTGTACTTGTGGGGGACTGCAGTTAAAAATAGACTCATACCCCGAGACCTCCGGCTCAAGCCCGAGCTCATACTCGAGTCCCGCATCACGCGTCCGCGTCCTCGACCACGGGGCTCTGACACGGGTACGTACCGCATGTGTGGCTCAACGAACCACCTTGCTTTTCCTCTGCGAGGTGACAACACGTTGGACATTATTTGGTGTTTTTCCTTTTTTTGGCGAAGAGTGAATGTCAATGCCAACGACAGGTTGACGACCTCTGCTGTGCTGCATGACACACACACACACACACACACACACACACACACACACGATCCACTGTCCAACAGCGGAATTAATCCCACGGAGGGATCACAAGGAGTATTTGTTCTGTTCTCCGCTCTCTTGAGGTCTGTGGTGTTTGGAGGCGGCACGTGTTGTTATTATTTTCAGAACTGCAGTTTTAATTCACTCAACGCTCATGTCTGTGAAGCTTGAGATGCAGAATCTTTAAAGATGCAGCGGGCTCTTGGGGGGGTGTTGTGTGACCGGAGATACATCTATTTTGGCACCAGCAGTCGGGATGAAATCAAATTACACTTTCCTGCTCTCAGTCACGCGGGTGCTGACATATTTATTCATTTTTTCATGCCAAATTTGATCTAATCAACATTGATTTCTGATTCGAATAAGCTTCTAAAAGTGGGTCACAACTCAGATATTTGGAACATTTGATATGCATGTGTCCATAATTAAATCAAAATATGGAGTCAGCGTAGTAAATGTGGGGTTTTTTTGCAGCAATTGCAATCATTTAAGAACCTTACCAATTTTGTCACAGTTTGAATTTATATTCAAGGTTTTTGTAAATAAATTATAAAAGTTGGGGTAATTATAGAATAGTCAACGTCTCTGGCTTGAGTTCTGTCCTTCACTGCAGCAGGAATGTCACAAACGCAGGTCATGGGGGAAGATGTGCTGGTATTTTTCCAGAGTCGGTGCCACTCGTTTTCCTCCCGCAATCTTGTATATCAGGGAGCGTGTTTTGAAGATTCCCCCTTCAACACTTCATAGCAGGTCTCTGTGTCAGGCGGCCAGTAGGGGGCACCACAGGGAACGCAGTTTAAAGATTTTAAAGACCCTCTGTGTCTTTTACAATCAGTTATAAGTAGTATTTATAACAACTGCCAGGGGGTTTCCTGATGATAAGGTATGACAAGTGTCCTTTGAAGCTTCCTAAATAGATGCAGCACATCATGTAAAGTGGCATCTCCCTCGCAAGATAAACAAGGAGATAGTGGCCTCTGCTTCACATACTTCAGAACAGAGGGTTTCTTTTCACAATAGGCTGAGGAAAGAGATTATTTAACTCTCTAATTTCCCTTTGCAGGTAATGAATCTGAGGATCGAAGGATGTAGTTGCGCCAATGAGAGGATGTCAAACTGAGGATTCCGCCTCACGCTTTTAAACCGTCCCACAGGAAACATGCTGTCTGCGTCGGACACCGGAGCAGAATCAGAGCTCTCGGAGCCCAGAGACGAATCCACTGAGCCTTCATCAAACGTCTGCGAATGCCTCGCTCAGGAGAGAAGCACCGAATTGGACCGTTTGAAGCCTTCATCATCATCCAGCTGTTGGTCCATGTGTTCCCAGCCTGCACCAAAGGACGATGATTTCAGGGTGTGCCGGTGTTTCGGCTCATCGGAACCTGCGTTCCCTCGTTTACCTCACTTCTCTCGTGACCTTATTTCAGCTGTATCTGAGTCTTTTTCCGAGTTACGCCATAATCGAAACACAGCGGCCTCCTCTTCTCTCACACAAGGAGGTGTTACACCTCAACCTTTTGGGGCCATGTCATCTGCTTCGCAGGGTTTGATGGAGCCATTTGTCACTGAGCCTCTTTCCAGCTCTGAACACAGTCCAGAACCGTATCTATTGAGTTCGTTTTCACCTCAGTCCGACAGCTTGGAGCGTCATTCAGCTACAGCGCCTCTTCCAGAACTTTACATCTCTGAAAGTGAGACGCAGGACTTCATCCTGAGCCCTCACCAAGATCCCCGGGAATTTCAATGGCCCGAATACCACCAGTGGGAAGCGGGGGGGCGAAACGCCGACTGCCATACACATCATTTCCCGATGCGCGATTCAGACAACGAGGTGACGCGATGTCGTCTCGGCTCCAGACGAGAGGAACGAGCCACGCTGGACTGTGAGTCAGACGCGAGAGCACCTGCTGCGGCAGCCTGTGCGGAAGCCTTGGTGCCGGTAAATGACGAGAGGCCAGGGAATGCACAGACCACTGACTTGACCCCCCAACCACAGCAAAGCCCCAGCCCCGTCGAGCTGTGGCTGGATGCATGCCAGTATCTGGCAGGTGAGGATACGGAGGACCTGAACGTTTTGGACAAGGCGAGGTATTCCGTGATCCAAGGAGGCCTCGCCAGGGACTCGTCTTTCCCCCCGGGGGACACAAAGGTGTCAGGTTACAACCTTGACGATAGCGAGGGGATTGGCTGGTCCAGCGATGACACCATATGTTGGGGGCCACCGGTTGAGAGGTGGTCATCCGTGGACAGCTGGGCCAGCGCACTCTCAGACTGGAGCGGGATTATCGCGGCTCCGCCGGAGGACTTCGCGGCTGCCTTCACAGAGATAGGGGCAGAGATAGATGCTCTGACACAGGCGCTAGCTGAGGTAAACACTCATTTAGAAACAGACCCCCCCAAAGAAGACAAGGGTCAAGGGCCAGCATACAGGGCGCAATCACAGCCACCCATGGGCCTCCAGGATCAGCATTTAGAGGCGCAAAACCCGACCGAGAGCTCCATCCTCTCTGGGCAGAGCTGTCGCTCCTCGTGCCCGGAGGCTGCAGGACCCGAGCTCGGAGACAGAGAGAGATGTCAGAGCGTCGAATCGTTGTGCGATTCGACAGCCGGCGCCCAGGACGAAAAGGAGGCGGAAGAAATCCAGAACATCCGGGTTGAGCGCTCGGCGCACCGGCGCTCTTCCGCCGGGTCATCCTGGGAGACCGTGGCCGCTCCCGGAGGAGGCGGCGCAGAGGTGATCCCTGGATCCACTCCTTCCGCTGATCTGAACCCTCCTCGATTTGGCGAGCCAGACCGTTTCTTCAACAACAAAGTAGTTTCCATCCTACTGAATATAGTAGAAGATACCGATTTGGAGGGACGAGATACACCTGGAGATCTGATGATTGAGAAGGTAAAATCCCTTATAGGTCATCAGATCCATTGTAATCACCGATAAATAAATAACTTTATTTGATATGCATGAAATAAGCGTGCTTTGGGGTGGTACGTTCTGCGTGTCGGCTCAGAGACACACAACGTTCGCTGAGGTACGTGGGACACGGACAGTTTGAGCAGTGGAAAGATTCAGCTTTTATGTTAGAGAGAATAACGAGCACCTTCACCTTCAGAGTTGCGCCGGCCAACGGATAAATCAGTCATGCGCTTTGGAAACATGTCCAGAACGTTAAGAGACATTCCCGCTCCTGCCCTTGTCGGTGTTGACATACCTACAGCATTGACTGACAGCGGGCAGGTACTTTGCGTGTGTGACTCGCGAGTGTTGTCGCCTTAATTTGGATCGGAGCCACTCAGTTTACACTTTCATCCAGTCTTGATTCCGTATTAGCGGATAAGTCCTTTGGCTCCCATCTCAAAGACCGACAGCTGTGTGTGCTGAAGGAAACGCGACGCATGAGACGAAAACTTTTCAGATGGCCAGAAAAGGCATCTAATAATAGCGGGCAGTTCAATAATAATAGCATGCATCCCTGGCGTGTCAGGGGGGAGAGGTGAGAGGAGAGCACAGCTGAGGAATGAAACATGACCCTCCCTTGCTTTTTCCTCTCTCTCTCTCTCTCTCTTAACACACCCATCCCCACCGCATCTCCTTTAAAAACCCCAGGACCAGGACGTCGACAGGTCTGCGGATCTCGGAGGCTGCGTTTGATTGGTTTAGTTGTGCAGGAGCTCCTGTCTATAACGGCAGCGGTGTAGGTTTCTCTTGCATGCTGGACATATGGACTGTGGGATAAATAGAAGCATGGTGTTTCATGAACGTCTGCTTTGGGCCTCCATAGAAAGGTACGTGTCCAGCCAATTTCCATGTTTGCAACGTACGTACGTGCAGGGTCTGCCTTTAAAATAATCACTCGTTTGAAGGTTATTGATTGAAAACTCACGTCTTTGTTGCCGTTTGTCCTTTTTCCCGATACAGCCCTTTGGAGATGAAGTGTGTGAAGTGACAGACAATCACAGTGTCTCCCGGCCGCGCTGGTCGACTGAGCGGGAAGTCGAAAGGAGCCGCGGGCCAGCTGAGGTTGATCGGGAAGGAACTCTTCGTTTTCACGCCACGCGCGCTTCGGCAAACTCACACGTGCCAGGTGAGCACGCGGGAGCTGGCTCGCGTACCAATGTTGGCACACGCGCGCCGCCTGACACTTTACCAGACCTTGACGAAGGGCGTCAGGTGGAGCCACGATGGGCAAGTCCTAAGTTCATAATGCCCTTAGCCCCGCTCGGTATCTCGGCCCTGGCACCCCACGTCTGTCGGACAAGCAGAAGTTTGGAAGGAGATCAAACTAGTGCAAAAAGGTCCCTCAATGACAACAGGGACCCCAGTTGTGACCGCACACAGGCCTGCGCTCACAGGCCGACCTCGGAGGGGATCGCTGATATAAAATCTTCGAATGGTGATGAGTTGAGTCATGAAAAGGGAACTAAAATAAAGTATACTGAGAAGTCTTCAAAAAAGGGACAAGTGGACTTGATCCCGACATGTAAAACAACAACTGAGGAGATCCACGAGCTCAGCGGAAGACTATTAGACCTGGCTGATGCCCCCGCAGATCAGTTCTTTGTCTCACAGAAGAAGCGCGTTGCATTCATCACTTTAGATTTGAATGACCCATTTGTCTCCAGGGCTGCAAAACCCATCGCCAAAGGCACACAGTCCGACTTGAATCAGACGAAAGCTGAGAAGATGCCACGCAAAACACACAAAACTACCTCGGAGAGCAAAGCACGCTCTAAAAAGGACAAAACAGCTGGTCATTATCACGGAACACAAGCTTGCAAGAAACAGGAGGCTTTATCTCATCATGTTTCCGCCCAGCAGGTCTGTAAACAGCAAGAAACTCATCCTCTCACCGGGGAAAACCACACTGGCGAGAATAATCAAGTTGGGCTGCTGGATATGGAGGCCAAATTGGTGATTGACGCTGGTTCGACAACTGAGAAGGCTCCGAGCAAACCACATGGCAAGAAGAAGAAGAAAAACACTGGGCTGAATGGTGTCGGGGAGCCACTGGTGGAGGTGGAGAACGGAGCGAAACCAAAGACAGCGAAAGGGAGGATTGAAATGTTTGAGGCCAAGCTGGGTGCGAAAGCTGTGAAAGCTCCAAAGGACGGCGATCACTCAGAGGAGAAAATGTCACAGCAACCAGAAGCCAAAGCTAGAGCTTCCCAGGGAGAAAAACCTCAACATCACGCAGATCACAAAGACCACCAGCCGAAGAAATTCACCAGTCCGCCGAACGACGATATTATCAAAAGACGACGGCTGTCAGAAGACAAGTTTGGGAAATTATCCAAGCCGGACGTTTCTACACAGACAAAGGGAGAGGAGCCCAAGGTGAACACGGGGGCAACTCGCAGGAAGGCGTTTGGTGACGTGGTCAAACCGAAAATCCCCCCAAAGGAAGGTAAGCGATACGCATACAAAAACTATTCACCCATGACAGAATACAAACACACGCGCATGAAGGCCTCATAACCAAAACGAATGGCAATGTCGGCAGACCCCAAGGTGGTGCAGCCCATTCAGACGGCTCCGGTGAGCGGGGACCCCCGGAGCCTGTGCCTGTGGTGTCAGCTTACGGCCGCCTCCTACCAATGCACCGTCACCTGGAGCAGGGGGGGCGCTGTCCTGTCTGAGAGCAAGAGAAGGTATTGGGCTTCATTTTACAGGATGTTTCTTTACACTTACACTTTACCTTTATAATGAAGTTGGGACTCAACAGATGGAACAAATCAGCGTGTGGAGGACAAGTTCAACAAAACATGACACCTGTGAACAAGCAGGGAACCAGAAAAAAAGAGATAGATAAAGGCCACTGAAAGATACAACGGAGAGACACTGAGCGAGGATGATGCTAATGAGCCTTGATGTGTGTGATTAAATGTCACAGGGAATCAAAATGTCCTTCTGAAAATGCATTTTGTGACACTGTTCCTCTCTCCGAAGTGCAGGGGATGACAGCAGAGTGTCGCTGACCATCTCCAATGCTTCTCACAAAGACTTGGGCAAGTACCAGTGTCAGCTCACCAGTTCACACGGATCGGTGACCCTGGACTACCTGCTCACATACGAAGGTTTGTAAATCGTGGTTTCACTTCAGTTTTAACTATTCATAGCATAAATGTGGTTTTAAAAAAAATGGCACACGTTTTAAAAGCATTGCTTGTTTTTGACTCTTTTACAGTTCTCTGTGAGATTGTTGTTCCTCCCTCTCCGAACACAATCGTATGTAAGTTTTTCTTTTATTAATCTAGTTTTGCGCAAAGCTATTAACGTTACGCTGCTGTGTTTTTTATGGATTTTGACTGATCATATTTCCCTTTTTGTTATCTCCAGCAGCCCCCGTAGAAGACGGGAGCGAAGAAGAAGACGTTCACTGTTCCAAGTTGATTTTTAGGGAGGATTTTCTATCCAACCAACACTTTGGCGAGAACCAACACGCCAGCATAATCACAGAGAAGGTCCATTTTGGGGAGGGAATGCACCGGCGGGCTTTCCGGACCAAGATGCAGTCAGGTCAGATACCGCTGTTCCTACCCGGACACCCCTGTGTGCTGAAGGTACACAATGCTATCAGCTACGGGACAAAGAACAACGATGAGCTCATTCAGAAGAACTTCAGCTTGGCCGTAGAGGTGAGAGCATCACAGCAGTCCTTCATAGTTACGTGTCCCTCTGCTAAACGGTGGAAATGAAATGAAGCAACTCATAAGGATTTGAGAAAAAACAAAGGATTTTGGGACACATGTAATATACATATAATTGTTATAATGAGATACCTCATAAAATGCGTTTGTAACACTTTCTTTGTATTCCTTTCCAGAAATAATTGTATAAAAAAAAGAATTGACATTTTTTGTGTTGCTTGAACGTATTCTAGATTGAATAGCATGTTGTTGCAAACATTATTTGTAGGGTAGAATGCAAACCAAGAGCCATCTAAATACTGTATGTTCTTGTGAATTTGCACATAAAATATTAAATATTTGTTAAATTTCCAGTGGGATATTTGGGGCCTTTTATGAGAATGCCATTGAAATATTATAGCATGCGTAAATCTTATAATACGGAAAGTAAGTGTATTGTAATTTGTTTTTTGCTCCGCAGGAGTGTCACGTCCAGAACACAGCGAGAGAGTACATCAAGGGGTACACGACCGCGGCCCGGACCGTTGAAGCCTTCGGAGAGGTCCCGGAGTAAGTTAAAGAAAAAACACACAATGAGCCTTCGTACAACTTCAGAATCACGTCAAACACTAAAAGCTCTCGGGCCTCTTTGTTTCGTGGCGTTTCTCGCTCCACCAGGATCATTCCCATTTACCTGGTCCACCGTCCTTCCAATGACATCCCGTATGCTACGCTGGAGGAGGAGCTGGTCGGAGACTTTGTCAAGTACTCGGTGAAGGACGGGAAAGAGGTCAACTTGAAGAGACGCGACTCGGAGGCGGGACAGAAATGTTGTGCTTTCCAGCACTGGGTGTATCACAAGACGGAGGGCAACCTGCTGGTTACTGACATGCAAGGTTTGGGAAAAAAATACATATTTAAAAAGATGGAAAAGAATGTTTTATCTTGAAATGATTGTGCTTTAAATAGCTGTTTTGTGGTTTTCAGGAGTGGGAATGAGGCTTACTGATGTGGGAATAGCCACCTGTAAGAAGGGGTGAGTTTGCATGTTAATTCGTCAGAAATGAGAGATGCAAATGTGTTGATACGTGCAAACTGATTGCATTTATCCCTTATTGCTTTGTAGATACAAGGGCTTCAAAGGAAACTGTGCCACCTCCTTCATTGACCAGTTCAAAGCGCTGCACCAGTGCAACGCGTTCTGTGAGCTCCTGGGCCTCAAATCCCTGCAGCCCAAACCCAAAAAGCCAGTTTCTGCTCCAAAACCCAAACCACAACCTTCTGCTGCGGCCAAGAAGAAAACATCTGGGCCATCGGTGAAGGGCAAGTCATGAGAGGACGATCCGGGATTACGGGCGTTTATTTTTTATTGAGGGTCTTCTGTGATTTTCTTTCCTCTCGTTGAACCTCGTCGCGCAGAGTTTGGTAACTGCAGAAGGACGGACGAGGACGAGGAAAAATGTATTTGACCTCCAGGAAACGCGATGGTTGACTCACTGTCGCTTCGTAGGAGGATTATTTTTCATTTCATGTTTGACATTTGAGAGATTTATTTTATTTCACTGAGATATTCGAGAGGATACTTTATTTTAATAGTTTTTGGCAAACTGTGACACAATTAAGAAACACTTGAAAGTGATGATGTTGATGCCGAGTTGGAGGAGTTTGATGTCTTAGCGATTGCATTATTGATGAGGCGGCAGATTTTTTTTTTCTACTTTGGTGATGTTTTCAAACAATTAGTTCATTAAATTAATGAACTTGTTAACTAATTGATTAGCGTAAATGTCTGTGATAAAATAACCACAGTAGAATGTGCTGTATTGGATTCGGGGTGAGCAGGTCACTCTTGTGTTTGACCTCTGAGGCGATGAAGGTTATTTATTTATTGTTCCACTATTATGACCTTTGTTCATTTAGTAAATGCTACCGATTCAGAACAAGCTCATATTTATATTCTGTAGACAACACAAAGACATTTTGTTCACGTAAAAACTTGTGCAAAGTATGAAACTGAATGTATTCACTAAAAGATGTGAGATTTATTGATTTATCATCATGTTGTCTGGTGCAATACCGCCTGTAAATATTTATTTCAAAGATCCATACTGTCCTGGTTCAGCTCGAGCTAAGAGAGAGACATGCAAGACTAAAGACAAACCTGACACGTTAAATCCACACATGATCCCACAAACATACCAGCAATACATCTTTACGTAATAACCATCTCTGTGTGTCTTTGCTTTTTAAATTCCTGACCCAAAGTGCTGTCAATGCTCCCAGGTTCTAGCGTGTAAGCGGAACATAGTAGATCTTTGTTATTAAAGAGCTATTGGTTATAAATGTGGTCTGATTTATTTCTAATGAAGTTCAATCGACTTACAATTCCTGTACAAGGCCTCTTATCTGCAGGATTGAGAGACGTGTCGACGAGAATATGTAAACATCTCCCTGACTTTGTGTATTCGGTGTGAAGCTGCTTAAACATCCCGTATTATTAAATTCCTCAATTTCCCTCTATTACAACCGGAGAAAACAAAAAGAAAGAAGATTAACTGTTGGAAAGAAGAACAAGGAATGTCGGCAGCGTTGAAAACAAACGGGTCGTCTATTTTTATTCGTGTCGCCGGTCGAAGGTCTCCGGCAGCAAATTAACGCCTCAAACACGAAAGCAAGCGGGTCACCCTCAGAGGCCCGAGAACACGTGCTCCGGATCCGCACACGTCTGTTTCCTATTCCTGCCCGTCCTGCCTGCTTTAGTGTGTCCCCGTCGCGTAATCCTAAACACATCGAAAAGAAAATGAGAGATAATGCAGAAGCCACTGAGCAAACAGAAGAAGACCAGGAACACACGGAGGCCCATTTCACACCGTAGCTATTTAGTGTGATAATGGCGTTTGATACACAGGACACAAACACCATTGTCACACTCCAAAGCTCCGCAGGACAACGTTTGACGGTGGACGCCGCCGACCGGAGAGACGAACCCGCGGAGGGGAGGCGGGCAGCGACCTGGCGAAGGAACGGAGGAGAAAATGAGTCGACGAAAGTGAGCAAAGACAATGTTGAGGTGCACGCGAGGTCGTCGTTCCCCACGACGAGCTGCGCTTTGATATGATCTGTCAAATCTGAATGGGAAATAAGGCTGAGCGAGCAAGCGAGGCCTGACGAAGGTGCCACAAGCACGTGTTTCTAACCCGCCGTGTGGGATGCTGTGCAGCTGTTTGCGTGTGAGCGAGTAAAGACGCACACACCTGTGTGATTCAAATTGGTCGGGTTGTATTGGAACAACTGCTACACACAAAACCTCCCGGGACGTGAAATGTCCAAGTTGAAAATGACATAAACCGTTGAACTCGTCGTGGTTCAAATAAAGCAGTGAGATAAAAACATTTAAAACACACAAACTATTGTTAACAATTCAGAACCTCACCTGGATTCTCTAGATTCCCCTTGCTTCACTCATCTCCTGCTCCGGACCCTCACGCCGTCACTTTTGCTCTTTTCCAAGCGGTTAAAAGTCCAGTCGTGCGCACGGAGAGCAGCAGGCCCGCCGGGCGACGCGGGCTGCGTTTCGGGTTTGACGCTGCTCCCCCGTTCCCGAAGTCTTTATGTAGACAGAGCAGAGTTTGGACAAACAGCCGGTTCCACATTAGTGATAAGCTACGGGGGAAGTATCGATCGACCCTGACCACAGGCAGAGGGGGGGTGAGAGGTGGAGGAGGGGGGAGACCAACAAACAAAAAAAGGAAAAACTGCTGCAGTGAGGCAACGGGGGCCTCGGTGCCCAGTGACTAAGTCAAATGTATTTCCGTGTGGCTTTTCACAGACAAAAGTCACAAAGAGGGCCGACGCACAGTCGCCATTCAACGGACCCTCATTTACAAGAACGGCTGGTAACATATGAATATGATATTTAAGGAAAGTCCAGAGTTTTTTTCTTTTTGGATGGACAGGAAGGGGAGCGAGTTTGACCTCAGAGCGGAGCGGTTTCACCGTGAGTCCAAACGAGCTGAGCGTGATGGTTCCTGACGGGAGAACCGACTGGAACGTCTGTGAAATAAGAGATGTGGTTTGGCGTCCGTGATTAGACGCTCGTAAAGTAAAAGCAGGTCTGCGAGTCGAGTCAACAAGCTTCCTGTCCACAAGTTGAGACCCGACTGAGTCCAATTAAAACCTCTCAAATAGTGAACGTCCACATGAATAGATCCCCTATTAGTAGTGATGAGTGTTAGAATAAAACCTGAAGCAGACGGAAATAGGAAATAGCTTCTCTTCAACTGGAAACTATTGCAATGAGAAACCCATCTGCTCTTTCTGAAGATGTTGATGTTTGAAGTGAAATAAGTTAGAATGTCTTATGGCACCTTTAATCATATTATTTATGCTGTACAACTGTGGACAGATCTTACGGTAAAATTTACCACACTAGTTACTATTTCTGTTCACTTTAATTCTATTCCCACTATTAAAATCCCCTGTGGTGTTAATCATCTAGAATCCAGACGGCTGTGACATGTCATGACCTAATATTTAACATCCAGCAGGTTTGCCCAGGAGACTTTTTTCACCTTTCAAGCAGCTCTTTATTTCTTTGTGTTAACGCCTTAACTTACTATCTGATCTACTCATTATTAGTCCAGCAAAAGCTTCGTCTAGATTCACTCTAAAGTCCACATGGTTTTGGAGAAGCAGTAGTGCTTTAAAGGGGGATCTGAAGAGGAGTCTGCTCCGGGTTTGTTTGTGAGCAGGTCGCAGTTGGCAGAGCTCGATAAAATGTCCCCGGACAGGCAGGGCGGCTTTTATTTGCTCGGCCTTGGAGCCGATAACTCCTAGATTGCCTGTGTGAATGAACTGAGGTCCCTTCACCACACACTCTGAACACACACACACACACACACGATAAAGGATCGAGAGAGTTTAAGTGTCATTCATTTATCTTATTGTATAACTCTGAGCAGCAGCACCGGTCTACGAATGAGTACAACTTATTCCACGACTTGACTTTGTCAAGATGTTTGTGTTTAATATTACATTTTAACTTTTGAGTCACCAATAACTTTTTTTTTTTAAAGTAGAAGTTTTTCCTCTGAAATGTTTCAGTATAAAGCGATTTAGTGAAGTATAATACCTAAAAACAAAACTTGAGTAAGTGATACACATTATACTGTGGAATAAGTTTTTATACTTACTAACAACCAAAATAAAAGTATTTGTACAAACGGACCCTACGGACTCGTCGGGTCCGTTTGTTTGAATGTCCAGTCACACAAACACAAACGACACACTCTGAGAAGTTTCATTTTTATTTGACGGAAGTTAAAAGGAACCACAAAGACTTGCGTGGTGGTGGAATCTTTAACAAAAGTGATATTTCCTGTCATTCGTTTAAAAAAAAAAAAAAATTAAAAAAAAGACAACATTTACAGAGTGAGTTTGTTGGATCACAGCAGGGAGGAAACACAAGGGAGAGAAAACGTAGGCGAAAAAGGGAGTGAAGTCTCTGCTTCACTTCAGTCAACTTGATCTACCTTAGCAGCAGCGGCAGCCCAGATTTACAGACTATTCATATTTATATTGCACCAGGAAAGTGCTCTGAATGAAAAAGAAAAAAAAGAATCACATTCAAGTTAATGACGCGAGACGTAGAATAGGCGACATGACCTCAGAGTGATCTGTAAAGTGCCCTTTAGGTTCAATGGTGTTAGAAAAAGGAGTGAAACAAAAACATAGAAAAAGAAGAAACATTTTTGTAAGAAACGTGCTGCTTTATATTCAGTGGCAATCACAGCTTTTTCTCTCAAACACCCGCGCGCTCACACACACAGCTTCATTTTAGTGCCGTTGATCAGTAATACTTCTGTTAAATTCATACGTATATTTATATATAAATGAAACTTAAAATGCGTTCCCCACGCCCCAAAAGCCCAGAACAATTTACAGCATTATAAACAGCAACAGGCATGAGAATATTAAGATAATCGTGGCGCGAACGTCTCAGGGAAATTACCCTGTTGTTCGTCCTTCTCGACCCAGAGACCCATTATACGTATAAAGCAAACACAAGATACGTTTTCATGCTGCTTTCATAGTACTACAATATAAAACATGTGTTTCAACACATTTGCTATCACTGTAATCAATGAAAGGGATTAATTCATTCCCGGACTAGTTACACGTCACACACCATGTCATGTAGCGCATCGTCAGAATAGTAAACATTGTTTATCAGTACAAATACGTTGAGTATTTTCCTGCAAGAATTAGAACAATGATTTTTTTTTTTTAAAAGCAAAACTCTTATGACAAAAAACATTTAAAAAAAATAAATCAAAATCCTCGGGGATCGTTTCATCCCACGTTAATGAATTCCTACCAGTAGCTAACGATCAGAAACCATTATTCTACAAAAAGGCTGCAGCGGCAATTTCTGATCAAACGACATACAGACAAGGCTCTACGGAGGGGTGTGGCCGATTTCCTCTAATGCGATTGGCTAGCGTTCCTAAGGTAATCTGGTGTCTAAGGATTTGAGAGAGTGTTGTGATCGCAGTGTCTTTGAGAAATAAATGCATGACGAAGCCAGACTACGGCCATGCTAAGTCCCCTCCACTGGCGGGCGCTCAAATACTGTGTTAACGTGAACATAACGGAGCTGTTGAAATGCATTAGTGTTTTCCAGCACTGTAGATTTTCACAGGACGAGGATAGAGGGGAAAGAGACGGCAGATCCGGGGCCAGCTCATTCATCGCTCACGCCTGTGGAGCGTCTCTCCCGTCTTCTTTCCCCAGCACCTTTGAGGGGCCGCCCGCCCGCCCGCCCGCCCGCCCGCCCTCGGGGGAGATTTAAAGGCGCGTCGGCTCGTCAAATCGCCGTTCAGTCTCAAGCCACCGGGTGCTGCGGAATGGGGCTCACAGGTCACAGGCATTACAGTACGACATGCTTGCACAGAACGGCCACAGCAGCCGGTTTTGAGATCCCCGTGGCTTTTTCTTTTCTTTTGTTTGTATTGTTGTTTGGTTGTGGGGGGGTTGGATGCGGTCAGACGCCGCTGCCTTAGTCGACCCCCTCGAAGCCCTGCGCGTTCTCCACCGCCATGAGGAGCTTCTCTCTCAGGTCCTCAAATGAGTCATAAGTGGGCAGATCCAAACGGTTGAAACTGGGGAGAAAGTCATTTGACAAGTTACATAAAAAAATAAGGTTCACTTTACTGGCTGCTGACATGCAAGCTGTGTAGCTGTTATGCACAGCAACTGGCCAACCATAAAAGATCTAAACCGTCACGTAATTTATTGGCACAATATTTAGTCAAAGGAATTTGGGTTCTTAGTGACGGACTTGATCCTCTGACTCTTCTTAGAACGTTTCCAATACTTTGCACATGACCACAGGCATTTGGCCAAAGGCATTTTAGCAACTGGTAGCATGCAAACATTCTAAACTGTGATGGTGAACAAGTTCAACTTTACTCCCAGCATCAGCATGGGAGCATGTTAGCTTGCTGACGTTAGCATTAAGATCAACGAGCTGCTCTGCCCAACTTTAACCTAAAAGCCGCCAGCGCGCACATGCATGTTTTTTCCTGTGTGTGTGTGTGCACGCGTACACACAAAGTAGTAACATACCACGTGTGAGCTCTTGGCAACTTCTCTGGCGTTCCCCACTGCTCTATTGTGAACAGCTGGGGTCCATTAGAACCTGAACAAAACAAAACAAAGACGGTTATGGACACACCGGTTGAGATACAGTATAGATGAGATTTTATTAACTTAAGCTTAAGGTGAATTCCATAGATTCAATGATCGGTACTACAATCATTTTGTGCAGTTCTGTGGTCTATAAAATGGAATGCGTGTACGAAACATTGCAGCATTCAAAAGGTATCTTGGCCATTCATCATTTGTTATGTGCACATCTGTATGTGTAAATAGTAGGATGATAGTAAGTCAATTCCTGGAACTCTTCACTTGTGTCACACAAACATCAAATTTAGGCCCTGCTGTTTCAACAGATATTTGAGATCAAAGAGCCATTAGTGCTTTACAAGCAAGAAATAAAAGGAAAGCTGAGGTTATCTGGCGAGGTAACGTACCATAGAGCTCGGCAAAGCCGTTCATGGGCACTCGGGACGTTCCCGTAACAAACTGGAGGAGTCGGATCCTCTTTTCAGCATCCATCAACAGGACGACCTGATGACAAATAAACAGTTCATTCATTTATCAAACACCAGTGACTTCATTTCAACACAGAAAGATATGATGAAATCCTTCAAAGCCGCAAAGCATTTGGTGACATTTGTTGCCCCGGGTGTGTAAGAAGTTTGATCGAGTTCACTTAAATGACATGACATTGTTGTCTGTGTGCACAAGCATGCACACAGACAAACGGTGGCACGTGTGTGCACGTGTTTAAGCTCAAGTCAAGACAGACGATAACCAGCGACCACTTCAGTCCCTTTCATCAGTGCAAACAAGTCCGTTCTTCCAAACGGACTTTGATCTACAAAAACGAGGCCAGCAAACCTGCCACGCGGGCTGCAGGGCTGCGGGGAAAGAGGACTGGACCCAACTTTTATGGTGAAATATCCCGTTTCCATGACTACCACTGGGTAAAATGTAGCTGGTGGTCGACACAACAGGTGGGCGTGCGGGAGCATCGCAGGCGTACCTTCCAGAACCACTGTATGACAGGGTGGTTGGGACAGTAGCCGTTCTTGTAAACCGTGTGTTGCCGCCAGTCGTTGACGTCGACGTCGCCGAGGCCGCACATGAGCAGCTGCACGGAGACAGAGGGCAAAGAAAGCGTTAACAACCAGTTGCCACCTTCAGTTGAGTGAAAAGGTATCCGCACGGGCACAGATGTGATGGTCGGGGGAGAAAAAAGACTAAATAATAACTTCATATTTTACCTCAAGCTCGTTTTCGTCAAAGATCTTGATCAGATCAATGAGAATGAGCTCAGTAAAGCCCTGCAAACGAAAGAGACAAATAGTCAAGGAAGCGGTTTAGATACGGAGCGCTGAGATGTCTGCGGTCACGCTGCCCCCGTGTGGTGACTTTGTTATTGCACATAAATACCTCCAGGAAGGCGTTCATCTGCTTCTGGACTCGATTGACAAACCTCCATTGGATGACCAGGCTGTGAGAGGGAAAACCGTTAACATTAACGTTATGTTACTGTATTGCGTAATCATACGCAAAAAAATCATTTACGCGAGAAGAAAATGACTTGTGTCCTCACTCAATGTATTCCTTTTTGTTCTCGTTGGTGACCACCATGTCTGAGCCGCTGGGCTTCAGGTCGACCTGGTACGTCTGAGAAACATGAAACAACGGGAGCAGATGAGGCGGGGACACCAAACTAGATTACTCCACTGCAATTAAAATGTGTTTTTACAGAAGATGCAAAGTCACTGATTTTGGGCACCTGTCCAAAGTTGTCCTCGTCGATACAGAACCTGAGGTCCAGCTCAGTGGGATCATTCTCCAGGATCCACTTCAGAGAGTTGTAGTATTCACTGTCCTGCAGGGATGCAACGGGCAGCAGATACAAATTACACACAAAGAATTAAGAGGCATTCATTTGCATTTTATTTGTGAGAAAGCATTATTATATTAATTATTTGCTCTGCAATGGAGAGCTCTTTGTAATCAATAATGAGATCAATCTTTTTAATGGCTCAATTGTTTTACAAGACATTGCCGAGTGCCAATATAACAAAATGTATTTTGCAAATTAAAAGAACATTCCTTAAATATATATTTCAAAGACAAATGTGGCTCAGGGTTAGGGTTGGGGGTTAGTGGCTCAGAATGGCAGCTTTCTCAAAGGAATCAGTAAATCGGATTATCTGATCTTACCACAGACTCCATGTCTTTAAGGGAGATCTGTTTTCCCAGCATCATCTTGTAGAACGGTCGGATGAAGAAACCTACAGTGGAAAAAAAAATAAAAAATGAAAACAACGCTTTGCTTTAACTCACTGTGTGTAAAAAAGAAAAAAAAATCTGAAGCTCAAAAAACGTTGCAGAAATGACGAGATTTATTCAAAACGTAACTTATTGTCAAAGAAGGGCTGAAACGTCAAACAGCTTACCATCCAGGAGTTTCCCATGAAACACGGCCATCCCCGCCACGCGCCCGATGAACTTGAAGTAGGAGAGGTGGTCCTCGTTGCACAGGCCGGAGTTGGGGTTGATTTGGAGGGTGTAGTTGTCCCTGCACAGAAGAACAGAACAGTCCCGGTTTAAAGGATTACTCTTTCTTTGGGAGGTCTAGTTAGTGAAGCTCAGAGCAGTCGGTTTCATTTGTGTGTGCAAATTCATGGCCTTAAAACAAACATATGGGATGAATTTGATAACAGTCCAGGAAGACGGTCAAAACACCACTCAGCCTCGCCTGCGTATGGATGTGATTATTTCACAGCCATTTAAAAAAAAAAAGGGTTCTATTATGGTGTGCCGAGTGACAGGACACTCAAAATGATATGAGCTCTGCAAATGATGTTGTATTATTTTGTTGATCCATTACTGTTTGCAGCTAAGGTAAGTAACATTTTTTTGGGGGGGGTTGCAGATTATGTAAAACATGCTGTATTTTTCGCTCCTCTCCATGGCAACAGAACCCTGCATGATTCACACGGATGCTGCATTTGGAGCATCGTAAATCTCATCTTGAAAAACGGAATTCAAATATTGTATTGTTTTACCAGAACAGTTTTTTGGTCTTGGTTCAAGAATGCATTTTGTTTATGCACGCAGGAGGAAACACTAAAGGGAGACAAAAATACATTCAAGGTGGTTGCTAAGCAGCCACTTTTCAGTTCAGCTGTGCTACGAGGTTGAACCCAAACATTGAAAAAGCACATTATGGTTCAATTTCAACAGTTTGAAGTTGTAATAATAATAACCCATTGTTTTACTGAATACTGTTGATCAAAGCAAGGCTTTGTTTTTGAGTGTCGCTTCATTTTCAACAGCTTGGTTATTATTTACCTTCAGCTACCTTTGCCCTATGTTTGAAAACTAAGAGCGAATCATCTGCTGATGATGGCGCCAAGAAATGGAACAATGCGTACCTCACTTTTATTAGCTTAGTACTCGCTGGATGTGGGAAACATTTGTTCCAGGATGGCTTTTTAAATGAGAGGAAAAGTTCATCAGAGTTACGGGAAATCTTTAACAAGTCTCACAGGGATACAACAAGGAAGCTCCGACTCCTTTCTGCATGTTGTGGGATTTTTCCCAAGGCTGCAAGCATTACAGCGCCGTGTCCTGCGTCATATCCTGTCTAAACGTCGGAGACTCACGTGGCCGAGTATTCGAACAGGCCGTAGTACGGGTTGAACATCTCCTTCGAAAGGAGGAAGAACCACTCCCTGGCCACGCCGCCGTAGTCCAGCCCCTTCTCCGACTCAAACTCGATCCACAGTCGTGCCTTCAGCACATCGGGCCTCTTCAGGGACATGATCCGACGGTACGACTCCTCGAAGATGTTGTTCCTGTGTAACTTCATCTCAAACCGGTTGGGGATGTCGGCCTGGAACAGTTTACAAAAAACTCTTTGACTGTAATGCGAATAAAAAAATATATATTGTTGTAAAATAAGGAGAGGCGGGACGCTTATTGAACACACTCAGCATTACAAGGAATATTGAGGTGTGTAATCAAGCTGAATCAAAATAGAAGCTGGGAGGTTTGAACCAGATTCATCTTTGTAAACAGAAAGTGTCCCCACACACACAAACCCAGAAAGGGGTAAATGTATTTTGAAAAGTCGCTTCTTACCGGTTTCTTCAACTTCTTCCTGAAGTAGTCGTACTTCTGCTTGAACTCCCTTGAGTAGGGAACCGCCTGCACAGGCGAAAGAAGCAACACACCTCATCAATGCCCTAATAAACATTTTGCTTGAGATGTAAGGGTTTGAAAAGAGGCTTCTATGGAGTGTGACTTGTGGAAGGGAGACACGAAGAAAAACAATATCTAAAAAGGCGACGCTGAGGCGTGTTAAGTGACAACTGCAGCGACAGAGTGATTTATCTCTGCTTAACAGTCACCGAGGCTGATGAGAGACGGATAAAGATAGAACCGCAGTGTTAAAGAGATTCTCTGAGGAAACACTCACGGGTCCTGTGATGGCCGGACTCTGCAGGCGAGGATCCTCCCACTGCGTGTTCTTCGTATCTGGATGGAACGAACACAAATATGAAATGTGGTGCAGACTGTGGTGCAGTCTTTTGCCGGAAAAGAAAAATCTAAAAAATATTAGAATCATAAATGTATTCATTGCACAAAAACCTGAAAGGTTTAAATGAGAATGTTTGCCGTTTTATATCATGTCACTTTAATAACAAGATATTTGCAGGGGTCACATTGGAAATATCAGACTTAAAACAAGGTATTCAAGCAGTAAGGAAACAGACCACCAAACATCGTAGTAAAAAGACACTGTTGCTCTTCATAAAGCCATCATCACACATCTTAAACATGACCACAGAGTTTATGCTCTAATTGAGGAGATCCTTTAAAGTCCGTCAAAATTTGCTTCTGCGGGACAGAACGTGGTCAGATGGAGTCGTCTTACTGTGGTCAATGTAGAAGGTGCGTCCGTCCGAGTGAATTCTTTCTTCCCATCCAGGCTGAAAAGGAAGGAAGGAAGAGGACGAGTGAGAACAAGCACACAGCCCCCATCAGACGGCACCATCAAAACAGGCCATGCTCAAATAGTCATTTAAATCCATCAACTGCGGCTGTCCTTTATTCTTTTATTTCATGTTTGATTGAACTTGACCGACCTTCAAAACGGTTCAAACCCCGACTGCAAGTTCAATCACACACACCACAAAGGAACTGCACGGATTCGAGTCAAGGCCCGAGACGTCAGCGGGGAGGGGGTGTACCACCACGACGTTAAAGGGTAACCACCATCACCCACTCGAACCGGGACACCACCACTGACGCAGTGACACACACACACACACACACACACACACACAATACGTGCGCGCTTTTCGGCAACAGCAGTCAGGCGATTAAAACAGTAGATTGAGAGTAGAGGGGGTGGGGAGGGGGGGATGGGCGAGTCCGACAACAAGTCTGACCTACTGTGTGCTAGTGGAGAGACCAGATTGGAAAGCTGATAACACATGCAGCACACAGACGGTTAACATCCTCTAACACGCGTGTGGAGCTCCTTTTGTTTCTCTCTCTCCCCCCTGTCCTTATTCGACCTCCCCTCCCACACTTCCGTACTAAATACCCGGCGCCTTGATAGACTCCCCCCCTCGACTCGTCTGTCTGTCTGTCTGTCTGTGCCTCAGGCACTGATACAGGTGCAGGGCGGGCGGGGTCACACAGAGAGAAGAAGTGGGGGGTGAAAATGCTGATGAAAAAGGAAGGGGGGGGGGCAGTCCATCCATGCCGGTCATGAGAGAGAAAGAGAAACGATGGAATGAAAGAGAAGAAGAACAAAAAAAAAAAGAAAAAGCGCAAGGCTGTCTGCAGGCATTTGACCGGGCTGGACCAGACCAGACAGGTAGGCAGGCAGGCAGAGGGAGGGAGGCACCAACCAACCTCCTCTGGTAGGTTCTGCCAAACAGACATGGCCAGGTGTGTAGAAGAAGTAGCATACATTAGATCCACCAGAATGGAGAGAGAAAAAAAAAAGAGAGAGAAAGAAGGAGAGAGAAGACACACACATGCACACATCACACAAGCCTGTGAGATGTGCAGACCTATGGAGCTTTGATTAATCAACATCTGGCTACAGTGCCCCCTCCCCCTTGCTCGGGTTCATCTCATACAGGTGCTGTCTCCACCTCGTGATCAGGGATTCTCTCTCAGCCCACAGACTTCGCTTTCTCCCCCCCGCCAATTTAGACTCTGCCACTGACCCCCCCTGATATCCAACGGGACTAAAAAGGGACACGTCTGTTACATTCGGATCACAAGATCATATCTCACCCTTTCCTGCAAAAGCCACATCATTCGTAGCTCAAATTTAAACATGTTGAGTTAAGCTTTTGTTTGTTTGTTTTAAAAGGTGATCTTCAGACAAAGAATATCATGTGACTAAATACCTTTTCTCATTCAAAACTACATCGGGGAGTAGTTATGCAGTTATAGCGATATGAAATACACTCTTGTCTTGTAACGATGAGTAAATGAGTGAGTGAACAAAGCTCTAGCAACGATTGGGATTAGTGAGGATGTCGTGGGCTTTACTCACAGGAAGAGGACCAAGTTCACCGGGCTCAATGGAGTTCTTAGTCCTCATGTGGACTGGGTATTTCAATCTGGGATCCTCCTGGTTGGCCAAGGAGAGATACAGAAATGCAAAGGAGTTATTCTGTTATTTCATAACAACATAAATATAAATATTTATTCATAGGAGCTGAATCGTTCAGTAAATGTCCAGTTGACTTTCTCACCAGCAGATGTCACTACAAGATAAACACAAACCTCTGCCTCAGATTAATAATAAAAATGAGTCTTTTCAATAACTAAAGCAGTCAAATAATGTAGTAAACCATTGGCTTTTTTCACGTTATTTTAGGGTCCCAGCGTGTTTTACTGGTAAGACCTCTGTAGATTGTTTCCAGTTTCATTTCCACACAGATGGGGGTTTTGAGAGGATTTTGTTATAATAACTATAATAATGTATTATTCATTTTTTATTGTAATCTACATTCACGCTGCAGCGTATAACTGCGTGCTTGATTTCCATGCAAGTAGTTCCGTGGAACAGCACCAGGAAAATTTATTTCATTCCCTATTATTATCACCAAATAATGGTCCGTTTCCTAGAAACAGAAATGGCCACCCTCTAAAAAAAAAAAAAATAATACATTTAAAAAAAAGACGCTTTACCTTCAGTCATATTTCAAAAAGTACTTTCACGCCAGTCCACTTTCAATTGGACTGAGCCTGATGCTTTAGCTCACCCAGGTGGTGACTCTGCTGTTGTGGTCGATGAAGAACGGCCGTCCGTTGGGGGCGATCCTCATCTCCCAGCCCGGGGGCAGGAAGCTCTGCTGCGTCTTTGGCTGGGACTTGGGGGAGCTGTAAGGGGACGGCTGGGGGGACTGCGGGTTGGAGAACGTGTCCTTCACGGCCCTCCGCGCCTGGATGTTGTTGGCTCCCTGAAACGGAAAAATAAAAATGAGAAATAAAGGCTAATAGGATCACATCCCTCGGACTAAAAGGGGGGAAGTTGTAACATCAAAACATCACTGATCCTTTGAAAAACCAACACAAAAGGAAGGAAAGCAGTCTGCCTCGGTGCTCCCGCAGAGGGTGGCAGCGAATCAGCACCCATGCTGCGTTCTGTCGTCGCCCCGTCAAGTCGTCACTCGAAATGTCAAATCAACATTCCATAGATCTCAGCTTTTTGTGAATCCCCGGATATTGCTTGTGAGGCGCCATGTGTCACATATGAATTTCTTTGTAGATGCTCCTTTAGGTTCCCTAAAAGAAAACAACTGAAGATAATATACTGTTAAAACTACTGACACCTTTTATGAATCTATTTCTGGTCATAGTCACATATTACACTCCTTCACAAATCACATATAAACAGAAAACTCTTTACTTTAGATAAAAGTTGCACAGGCTGATTAATGTTCCCACCTCACTTTTCTATTTAACATTAATTATCGCCGACAGATCTGAGAAACGACCGCATTAATTAATCCTCAGACCTCCTGAAGTTGTACTAACAACTTTCTGTATTGCGCGTTTCACTTCCTTTCACCTCTCCGATGCCTTGTTAAAACTCAGGTGTGCGCAGACACACAACTTAATTAAACCTTCGTGGGGTCTGTTCCCTTGGTGGTAGCAAAGAGTCAAACCATTAAATGCAGGTCGAAGCGACACTCTGTTGGTTAGTGCGGCGTATTTATAGCCACACTGCATGCGTTTCATTTTAAATACTATTATTAACATAGTTGACAAACGTGCACAGACAATTATTAATTAAACCAAAGGTTCTCTAGAAGCGGAGCTTACGGCGTTGTGGTATTTCAGCCAAAGCCAAAGTTGATGGACAATGTTTCCCAGCGTGCCGGGAAAATGGTTCCGTTAACCTTTCTTGTCCTGATGCAAATTCAAGACAGGCACCACTGGTTTTGTTTAGTTTTGCGTAGCAGACAAACTACAATTGAATGTTGTGTAGTTGCGACAGTACATGACCCTCGAATCATTTACAGGCCAGTCCCACAAAGTTAACAATGTTCCACTCTTTTAAAAAGAAACGATGCAAATATTTAACCCGCACGCCATTCTGAGGCCGATGCAAATGTACCGAAGCCTCTTTGCAATAAAAGCCCTCAACGGAGGTCAGCCTGCTCCCTCGATTAAAAAGGTGGTGTGAACACACAAGTGTACATTTTCTACACCTTCCTGTTCAAGAATCAGAAACTTCGGGTGAAGCTCAGCTAAAGAAAAAGCACCAGCACACGTCTGCCATCTCATCTCCCGCATTGAGCGCGCGTTCATACCGCAGAAGATTTTAAGAGGTTTTGTGAGATCGCTTGTATTAAATAATAATAATAATAATAATAGGTTTCCTAAATGTTGTTTTCAGAAAAAGGGATTCACAAAAAGATGTCACGCCATAAAAATGTGTTACTAATTTGGCTTCTGAATTATTCTTTTTTTTCATTATTAATATAATTTGTTTAAATGTCACTAAGTTTGGAATTTTATCCATTAAATCCCCAAAAAAGGATTATGAAATTAAATCCTCCTCCAGGGAGATATGAGAAGAAAAGATCAGTTCACTTGATAAGATTAATATTTCCAAAATAGTTAGGGGATGAAGTGAGGGAAAAGTAAATACAGAATTAAACTCAAAGAAAGATGACAAAATGACTGTCATATTAAAGAAAGGTGTATGATCTTTAAAAGGGCTGGAAAATAACGAATGCACCATGAAGAGTGGAAGCGAAAAGATTGGCGGGATGACGGGACAGAAATAAAGACAAAAGAGGGTTTGAAAGAGATACGGGGGGGGGGGCAGGGTGGTACAGCTTCAGGAACTCATTCTCACCTCCAAGGGGGTGGAAAGGGTGACAGTGGGGGAGCTGAGGCTACGAGGTCGTCGCACTTGGGGCTCATGGAGGTGGTTGTTGGAGGAGGAGGAGGAAGAGGAGGGGGTGGATGCGGGGGCCAGGGCCGAGGCTCCTCCCGGCTCTGCTGCCGAGGTGCTGGCTCCGTCTTCAGTCAGCTGTCAGTGAGAATAGCACTTCTCAGGTTAAGTGACGTAGGGATAAGGTGCGCAACGCCGTCTGCGAAATAGCAACGCTTGTTCTCCTCATCCGTGCTGTCGGGAGACGCCTGCGTGCGCTGGAAAGGTCTGTTTTTCTCAGAGAGATTAGTTCCTAAAATTTGAAAAGCACGGGTAACGTAGGCCCGAGAATACAATCAGTCCACTTAAATATAATGATGAAGGTGTGAAATACATACTGGGAAAATAAAAGTTAGTGTTACGTACAGCCTTCAACCAAATTGGCTGTTACATACATTTCAAATACAAATGTCTTTTTCCATTGTTCTCGTAAATCATGATAGTGTCGTCTCCTACGGAGTCGTAACAACCACGGAAAGGTATCGGAGAATGAACAGACCATGGGATGAAAGACAGTCTGCTAAAAGCATAAAAAGGGGGCATTTCAAAGAGCAGAGGCATTAAGCGTACACCAGGGCCCATGTAGAAAGACAGGGAGGACGAGTGGAAAAACAGGGGAGAAATGGGGGGAAAAGGGAGGGAAAAGCAGTGGTCGCGCCGGCCCCATGGCCGGGTTTGGAAAGGCGTGACTTATCCAGATTACCAAACAAAGTGCTAGACGAGAGAAGGAAGACGTTCAGTACGGCCGGGCCGGAGAGAGAAAGAGACAGAAGAAGGAGACATCAAGCCTCGTCTCTTTCGGTCAATCGCTACGTCTTCACAGAGGAGAAACACAGGAGGAGAGGGGGGTGGGGGGCGATAGAGGAAGAGGACCGACACACAGGCGGCCGAAGAACAAGGTCCGGTGCCCATGCAAAGGGCCCCCGGCTCGGCCTCTCCGGACCTGCTGTACCTGCACAATTGGCCTAGTCCACGTAGTGGTGCGGCTGTTATGGTTGACGTAATAAGTTCGTCCCTTGCCGTCCTTCCGCTCCTCCCATCCAGGGGGCAGGCCGGGGGTGGTCAAGGCGTAAGCCGTCGCCGAGGGAGACTGGCCGAGTGCAGGGAAAGAGCAAAGCAAAGACAACTCATCAGTTCAGGCTGCACCGCGCGAGGACATGTGGAGGGGAGAAAATATCAAAATCCAGAGGGAGGCGAAGGGGTGGGGGGGGTGGGGGGTCTCTCCCCATTTATCGAGGGGTTAAAGATCAATTCCCAGATCAGCAACCGTGGTAGAAATATTTCAGGAACACCATGTGACAAAAAAAGATTTTTAAGACTCTGTGACTTCATCTGTGAACCTTCACCTACAAAATAAAAAACACAGTGAAACAGAGTCGTACTAAACTAAACACCACATGCAGAAAACTAGTGGATCGTTACAACATTACCGAGTGAACTATTAACCACCTGTGGCATTAAGATTAGTGAAATATGCGATCACAGCGTCAACACCGGTGGTTCTTAGATATCCCCACCGAACGCTCCGAGCTGATCGTTTAACCAGCTGATCAAACTGCGCTGATAAATCTCCTCTAGTGGATTGCGTCATGATGATTCGCGCTTTTCATATTATATCAATAAAATAAAAAATAAAACTATATATATATATATCTTTTTTTTAAAGGCTTTTGAAAGCAGCTCCTGAAAAATTAGGTGGGACACATTACAAAGTTTACAGCCGTCACAGTCTCTCTGATACAGGTTTTATCAACATTTGAGTAAACACAAAGATCAGATCAGAGCGTATTAAAAGATCAAACTTTGATCCACAAAATACAAATTGTACACATTTTATACTGCTGCTTGTTATCTAGTTGACCCGTGGCGTTTCATCAGGAGACGGCACACTTGCACGCACACATTCTCCACACCATGTCGCATAAACTGCAACTCTACAGGTCTAAGCACTTCAAGATCCGATCAAAGTCGGCGGAAAGCCATAGCCCTTCCTACGCGGTGTATGGGAACTACGACTGACTTATTAAACGGTTTATTAACTGAGATATTACCATGGACTCCTCACCACCTGAGACTGTTTGAGCTCTTGTTCTTCTGGTCTGGGAACCCTGCTGGTGGTAGACAACAGGGGAAGATGGTCTTTAGTTCACATTATGTTTATGTTTTAAATACCAGGGTGAAGATAATGGGGCGAGGTGTGTGGAGCCGTGGGGAAGTGAGAAACAATCGAGTGCTCAAAAGGGAGGAAAAGGCGATTCACTTTAAAAATGTGGTGAGTGAGATTCATCCACTGAAGCTTTTAAGCTGTGAGGTTGACCGTAGCAGGAAAAGGCACAATGCATTTGGAGGAAAGTTTTGATTGGTTGATGCCATTACACAAAATGTGGGTATGGGGAAATTTTGGCAATTTTTGAGCAAGTAAAGCAAGCAAATCAACTTTGATTATTTTCCATGAACAATAAAAGGTCATTTCCAGCCGGTGCAGCACCGTCGATCTCAACCCAAGTGGAAAATGATGTTTAAGCTACAGAAACACCAGTCAGAGAAAAAGCTCCTGAAAATCTTGGAGCTGAAGTTCAGAAAGAGTTTGAATCTCAAACATGACCTGTATGAAAAAAAAAACAATTGTTCTTTCATCGAAGCGATCCGACAGTTAGCGTAGTTCAGCCAGGAGGCCCTGGATGTTGTTTTCCTCAATCTAAGCTGTATAACCTAGAAGTCCTGATGACATGATTTGCATTTACAGCATAATCACCAGCTGTTTCACAACTTCAAAGCAGTAAATTACCTTAGTATTACCTTATAACCGTAATAAATGAACTCTGCTGTTATTTCTCATGTTAAAACATGAAGAGAAAGCGTTCATGTTGACACACATTGACTACGAGCCATTCTGACGTTTAGAATCACCAAAGAAGCTCTTACTGTGGAATTGTTTGATGACAGTGGAGGCGAAGTTAATGGTGCTGTATGCATTGGTCGGTACAAACAGCACTCACCCACCTACTTACACATTTAATATCATTAGCCATTAGTCAATCTGAACTGCTACTGTCCCCGAAGTCTCTGCGCTAATACATGCTGATTACATTTCCACCTCCATGGCTTCCTAACGAGCCTCTTCTCCAGTCCTCAGAGGCTTTCCAGTCAAAAGGAAACGGTTCTTTCCCTTGGCTCGACAAACGCCGAGCTCAGTGCTGTGACTCAGCTGTGTGACACAAACACGTGACTCAGATCTTGGCAGTTTGTTTGAGCCGAATCCCCACCGATGCGCTGACTCAGGACTCTATTGGGTGAACGTCTGATCCGACGCGCTGCCGTCCTTTATGTCGGCGTTTTCCCTCGCCAGTTTTTTTTTTTTTTTACTGGAAGGCCCGTACTGTTGGCGCAGAGCTGTGACGCCGACACTTCTACAGCACGTTAAACGTTACGGCGAGTGTATCACACAGAGCAGAGGGTTAGTGGTAAGGGAGTGGGAGGAGGAGGAGGAGGAGGTGTGGTGATCCTACGGAGGCAAGAAGGGAACCGTGAAATCAAAGAAGAGCAGAGAGCGGGAAGGAAAGGTGACGAGGAAGCACGGACGGGTGCAGAGTGGACGTTTTTAAAAATGCAAGGAAGGAGCAGAGGAGGCGATTTGACCGGTGGTTTCACCCGCAGCACCGAGACATGCCGAGGAAAGAGGAGGAAGTCAAGGAAGACAAAGAAGATGTAACACAATGCGGGAGTTGAAGAAATATGTACCATAAGAGGAGGAGCCTGGGTCTGATCGCTGACACCATCCGTCATACTGGAGGACCGGAGTCGGCTTGACAGCTGGCTCTGTTAAGAAATGAAAAAATAAATAAATAAGCGGCCACTCCGATACCCCAAACAAAAAGACATTTACACCGTGTATGCATAGCAACGTGGAGCGATTGAGACTACTCGAGGTCACGCTCTCACCAGAGCGGCGCTGGGCCCCGGCACTTCGCCGTTGGTGTCCGGAGCGATGGACAGCCGCAGGCTTAAATCCTCAGAGATGTCCCGCTCGACGGACGTCGGCGCCGGCTGTGGCGTGGAGACGGAGGAGGTGCCGGGCTGAGACTGGGCCAGGCTCTCGTTGGGATCCTCCTCCGTGATGAGCTCCCAGGACTACAGGGGGGAGAGGGAGACGCAGCAGTGAGACGAGGACGACGACCATTCAGCGGCCTCGTCACTCCAGACAGCTGCGGCTCGGTGTTCGGGAACACGCGTATGTTCTTTGCTCACATTGTCGAGGTCCCTCGGCTCCATGTGTTCGTTCTCCAGGTCTTCACTGATGTGGCGTCTCGAACGGAAAACGCGGTGCGCTTCCTGATTGATCTGCCGCTGTTGATTGTCGCTCTCTGTCTCTGAGATCACATCGCTGAAGGAGAAGAAGTTATTTCATACAGAAGGCTTTTAACTGGGGATTTCAAATGAAGTTGTCAGATTTTAGAATGTCACGATTAAAAAAAAAAAGTAACAACTGTCAATATAAACAAGAGATAAATCTCATTAAATGAGTATGTAAATATGTATTTTTTTTAAAACGATCAGGCGTACATGTTGGAGGGCCGTTTCCACTGCGTGTGTGCGTTTGTTGTGGTTGACATAGTAGGTGCGTCCCAGGTTGTCCACTTTCTCCTCCCAGCCGGGGGGCAAAGGAGGAAGCAGCTGCTGAGGTCGCTGGGAGCCAGAGTCCGCCGACTCATCCCACCCCTGGAAGAGAAAGTGCAGATTCTCAGACATGAGGCGCTGTGAGTAACTCGCCGGACAGCTTGTCAGAGACACACACACACACACACACACACAAGACCAAATTTAAGAAGGGGGTCAAGCGTGGAATACCATCAAGATGTCCAAGCCACTTGTGGTTGGTTAAACTTGTTGCTGGGGTTAAGAGTTTAAATGTATTTCTTAGCATTTAGAGGAGAGGGGGGGCAGGGTGGGGGTTATTTTAGTTTGACAAGCTGCCAGCTGGGTGGGATTGCTGCGATCGTGTGCATCAGCGTTGACAAATTGGAAGTAAAGAAGAATCTACAGATGGCAAATAAAAGAACTTGTACCAGCAACAGCCTGCAGTGAAAGCTGGAGAGGAGAAGCTCCTATTTCACTGAATAACAGGCACTAGTGTAAATGGCTTTTCCATACCCTGGAAAAAAAGACTGCTGCCCAAATTCTTGTAGAAAAGAATAAAAGGAAAAGAAAAAACACATTTATTTTGGTTCAAATTAGCCCACCCACTTTCATCTAGAAGCTTAGATTGTGTTTTCTTTGTGAAGAACAAATAGAACTAGATCCTTGTTTGGCTTCAAATTACTAAGAACAAGACCTGAAAGAAGAAAACCTTAAGTAATCCTAAATCAGCAGTCGGAATGTACTCAGAACGTAACTTCCCAACAACATCAACAGCAAAGACCTTACCTCAGCTTCCTCTCTCATCTCCCCAGCCTCCTCCTCTGGGCCTCCTTGTTTGGGCAGATATGCCATTTTCAGACGCAGGTAACCCTTCACCCTGGACTTGTGGCTGGAAGGATACCAACAGAAAAAAACAGGTTGCGCGTCAAAACAACACATCGAAAAGCAGGTGGCATTCAAACTGAATTGAAGGGTGTTTTCCACGCTATTGGTACCAGATCTCCCCCCCCCCCCTTCAGAGCTCAACTGACCGTCACATGAACTCACCGCTCACATTAAACCAGTTGCAACCCTGATTAACATGAGCAAACTTCGCAAACACAAATTTGCAGAAGAGTGTAGTGGTATCTAAGCTACAGAGGCTGCTTATTGGTTTAAACGCTCCACGCTGTACGTCACATCCAGCAGAAACTAACCTTCTGGGCCGCAACAGGAAGTCTTTGAATGTGTACGGCCGCTCCATGGCAGGATCCTCCGTCTGCAAATTTTTTTAAAATGGTGGCATTTGTTGACAGTAATCAAATCGAACACACAAGCAAGTACACATGTCGGACAACATTATCAGAGTCACGAGTTTAGAGCGTGTGTGCATCCCAGGATCACGTAACGGTGAGCTTCTCCTGTTGCTCGCTGAGCAGCAGAAGGGTCTTTTGTAATCCACAGAAATCTCCCACAGCTCTCGTGTCCGGGCCAAACCAGTCCACACTGGCTGCTCCCCACATGCTGCTCTACCACGTTCATCCACGATAATGAGAAATGTGGTGAAAACCGTCCATCACGTCTAAGTTTTGTAAGTAATGCCCCATGCACTCTAGTGTACGTCTTAATGGGGCAAAACATGGCCTGGTCCCTGAACCGGCCCACGGTGTCATGAATAAGGTTCCAAGTAAGTTGAGGCTTGAAAAAAGCAAATGTAGCTCCCAGAGTGCTTAAGATGAGTCAAGATGCCGAATAGTGAAAAGAAAGAATGAGTAAAGGTATATTCAGGAACTATGAATAAGATTTCCTACAACATGTGGTCATTCATTGAACCAACAAATGAAGCCAAAATACACTAAACTCTCAGATCGCACCACTGAAACGAGCATTAGCAGCTCAATTCATGCTCGGTTTATTCCTTTAATGGCTAAATCAGTCACAAATATTCTCTATCCAGTCCACTGACTCAGCTGAGGCTTTTATCAGCTGCTAATTTCCTGGACATACTGGAGTCCAAGAGGACATTAATAATTAACCCCAACAATTTTTAGTAATACGCTTTCAAGGTTCACAACTTTGACCGAACTTCTGAGGGCCTCAATAGGTCCGATAGCTCTCTGCTCCTTACGGGAGGTGTGAATGATTTACAGGGAACGGTTGACTTGCAACCAAACTGTAAAAAACTCTGCATGTTATTGTTTTTTAAAGGGCAGCGCGCGTCACTGCGTGAATTTAACAGGTGCAGCTTTTTCCGCTTAGTTCTGATGGTAGCACGCCCACCTTCATATTCTCAACCGCCCGCTTTCCCCCTGGAGGAGAAGACCGTTTGATCACAACAACCCTGCGACTCGTGTGAGGCCAGCAGTTTCTCACACACAAACACGCTCCTTCCACGACCTTCACAGAGGTAAACTGAAGATAAGAAACAGCTGAGTATCCAGTCAGGTTAAATACACAAAACACACACACACACACAAATAACTCACCGGCAAGTGACTGAGAGGAACATCAACCTGTCCCAGGAAATCATCTCTAGTCTGGGAAAGAAAACCAGAAGGTCACCTTCAGCAGCTTTATTTTTATTAACAGCTTTTTTTGTGTGTTTCTGGGGAAATACCAAAGTTCCCAGCAGGGGAAGAGAGGGAAAAAACACAATTTGAAGGTGAAGAACTTAACGCTCCGGAAGGCATCACTTTGTGCTTATTTCTCACAGTGAAAAAGAGACAACAATTTTCATTTCATGGATTGCCTCTTCCAGAAATAACCTCAAGCCTTTCCCAAAGAACACATGCAGTGGTCTGAAAAATCTCAGATGGTGCAATTACGTTTGAGCAATTTCTACCACAACGCAATGGTTTGTGGTTTTGGCTCCAGTTTTGTTGTGGCGCTTTAAGCAAAAAACAAAATATCCTTTTTTCCCCAAATCAGATTTTCGAAAAGTGTCCTTTGCGGGAGGCTCGGCGTGAGGTTTCATTTTTTGGACGGGCCTTTAAGAATCATTTCATAGGAGAAGAGAACCTGTGAACCCAGCAAAGGAAAAAACAACACCACACACACACACACACACACACTGCCACCAGATTGAAGCCAAGTGAGTCGGACGGAGGGAGAGAAAGGCCCGAGGTGACGACAGGGGAGAACCAGGGGGAGGATTGTGCTTCAGATACAAGAAGCCCGTTGATCGGGGGCCAGGGAGGGAGGGAGGGGGGGTGTTGGCGAATGATTGAGCGGTTCATCAGTGGCCCCCCCCCAGAGGGAGCAATGATTACCTGTGTGAGATGGAAAATGCCATTCTTGGAAGTAGCCTGTGTGTGGGACACAACGGACGAAGACAACAGGCGTTAACGAACAATGCGGTTCGTAGACACTGGTTTGACAGGAAAGGCCCCCGGTGAAACAATGCGGGCCACTTTAACGAGTCCCCCTCTGACTTATGGTCCACAGGAGAACATGTCCAATGTTAAAAGTTGCTTTGACGGCTGTACGAAAGAACGCAGCCATAAAAGCAAAGCGTGAGTTATGAAAACAATTTCCACTTGAACCTTCAAGTGGGGTTCTTTAAACAAACACATTGCAATGCGTGTGTTGGTTCGTTCTCTGCTGCTCTCAAACACTCACGCTACGGCAACTACACCCAGACACACACTATTTATTCTTTGGAAAAGGCAGAGCCACGACTGTTTAGGTTACAGTAGTCTCTGCTTTCCTTTCCCAAACCAACCACGCTACTGATTTCCTTCTTGCACGACTCCCACATAATTCAAAACAACAAATCACGAGGTTCAGCGCATCGTGGAGAGCAACAAAAAGCAACCTGGACCGCAGCATTAGTTTGATGGTCTGTAACAACAGTTTTTTAGAATACCAAGACGCTTCGGCACTGATGAGTTACTGCGAGCCTCTAAGCTATGACGCAGCCCGAAGCGATGGCGGTATCTCGTGTAGTCGTGGCTGGTTTTTCTATCTGTTCATAACAATAACAAGCATTTTAAGCTGTGGGTATGTGTAAACAGAGGGATATAATTGCAGAGTCATCAAAGGGTCACAGTTGAGCCTGCAGCTGCCTCCCAGGGCCAGGTTACACCCTGAGGTGGGGGGGGGTGAGGGGGGAGCGAGGCTCTACCGCCGACCGACAGGAGGGCGGATCGTTGAAGGAGGGCAGAGGATGGACGGTGAAACTAGCTCAAAAACACAAAGGCAGGTCAGTTCGTTCCCCTCATCTCGCACGGCCTTCATTTAGTGGTGTGCAGGTACGTTTGGGGTTTTATAACTTTGTTAGATATGTGCTGCAACCCCAGATATGTATATTCTATATATTAGAAGAGGGTTGTAGCAGACTGAAGAGGCACTGAAGTGTGAGAAGGGTGTGTCAACTACTCACCAGCCCTGCGTGCTGACGCGACCGATTCACATCGCCAAGCACTCACTTCGGATCTGGATGATAAAGCCCTTCACAACAACAGCCGTTTGGACCCCTCTTCCTTGGTACTGAACTTAAATAAAAAGGAGAGTGACCCCCCCACCTCCCATCCATCCCACAACCCGTGGTAATATAGCAAAACCGTTTGCCGGGCAAGAGCTCTTTGTGAATGAAAACTGGGGGGCGTCGAGGCAGGGGCTGTAGCGGGTGTACTGTGGGAGTGTCTGTCTCCAGCTAGTCTCGCTGGTGCACACGGACACACACAGACAGCGAGAGAGACGACACACACACACACACACACACACACACACACACACACACACACACACACAGCTCTAAGAGGGGGCTCCGGGCTAACTGTTGGGGAAGACCTGTCATTATGGTCTAAATGAGGATTTCCTTGTTGTATGAGAAACAGGATGCCCTGAGGTAACACAGCAACACCTCTTTTTTGTTTTGTTTTGTTTTTTAAAGAAAAAAAAAGTATATTAAATGCATTAAAGTATGACCATCAAAATTAAACCAAAGATATATTAAGATTCCACCCTTGTGTTGGATTAGATTTAGATGAAATGTTAGCCATAGTTACCATACTGCAGATGTATTGTTATCTGGTCCCCAATTGTCAGGATTGTCAGACCAAGAAACTGGTTTATTACCATTATCATGAGAGCCTAAAGCTTCGCGTACACTACCTCAAAGTTAAGCTCATCTCCTTATTGTCGCGGAGTAATGTTTACCCTCAGTTTAACTCACCAAAAGAACATTTGTAGTCATGAGATGATGACCAGGATTAGGAGTAATCTGAGGCAACGAGAGAACAGACGTCAACATCGAAAGACTTCGGGTTCCCAGGGAACAGATCCCCGATCGGCTTGTTCAACTCCCTCGCCGCTTTGGCCCATAACGACGCCTCGCTTCGTAATCACTCGCGGAGCAGCTGCGAGGATACGGATCCATACCAGTCGGGGGCCAAAGACATGCCGCCCGCCCGCTCTCAAAATCAACAAGCGCACTAGAAGCAGACTAAAGATAGAAACAGCCAACTCTCAAAGAGCACTGGCTGCCGTTGAGGGTGTTACCGCATTTAAGTTCCACATTTTTGTGGAACAGAGGACAACAAGTGGATGGGGAGAAATGATCCATTCATCCTGTTTTCCTTTCATGACGGGGCCAATGTGTGTAAAACCTCAAACGCCTGCGGTTATGAGGTGAAAGAGCCAGTGTGTGCATGCGTGTGCATGTGCCATGAGTGTGCTTTTCACTTCCCAGAATGTCACCACCCTCTCCCTGCACCATGCTGATCTCTCCCCCACTGGGCTGGACTCATCAGGTACTGAAAGACGCCTTGTGCAAATTGCATGAATGATGTCACACTAGGGAGATAACGCGATTGTTTACGATGGACTTATTGAAACTCATTTCTTCATTACTAAAAACTCCTAATCGGTCACGTGTCTTTACAATATTCACAGAATGAGTTTACATTTAAAAACCTTCTCCCGTCTCATCAAAGATTGCAAAAAATATTTACCGTGGGATTATTCGCCGTGGAATCGTTGCCTGGGCTAACGTCCTGATCCCCACCGCCCCCGGGGGTAAAAAATATCTTGAAATGAGGCTGCCTCCTGGAAGAATTCCCATGGATCTTGAAAGTACAACCGTTGGACCGCGGTTCTGTTCTGTCCGGGTCCGTTTGAGTCTCCTCTATAGCTCGGCTGACGCCACCGGTTTCCTGGTGTGGACTCTCCAGCAGCAGCCTCGGTTGAGACGAGCGTCTCTCCAGCCGAATCCTCGGGTACCGCACCGCGCGACTGCCTCTCGGGCCGCCGCCGCCGCCAACATCTGGGCTTTCTTCCTGCGGCGCAGCGGACCGCGGCCTGCCCTGGCCCTGGTTCGGACTTTGCTGGAGCTGAAACACGACCCTCTGTGTTCCGCCGTTACCGACGGAGCACTGGTCCGAGCTCTGCTGCTGGACGGACCAGCCGGTACCGCCGTACGGCTGAATTCTGAAATGCTGGACGTCCGGAGAGTTCCTCTGGATACAAATGCCACCGACGCTGATATTAGGTTGGCCCATGCTATACATAGCGTGGCCATTGGAGCCGATGTTAAAGACCCTGCGCTTTGGCAGGTTCGGCTCCGTCACCAGTGCAGGCGGGTTGGAAGTATCTGGGCTGTGGTACGGAGGCGGCGGGTGTCGTGGAGCGTCTGCCGGGATCCACGGTTCGGAATAGGCAGGCGCAGGTCCCGGAGGGGTATAACAGGGTGGCGGGACGTCGTCCGCGTGGTCGCGGCTGTCTCCGTTACTGGACCCGTTGGCGCGCTGGAGGGAGATGTGCATGGAGGAGCTCTTGGTGGGCCGCGGATCGGCGCAGGCGGCGAGCTGGGGTATGAACATGGAGGAGCTGCGCTTCAGCGAGGGCTCCGACCACGACGCTCTCGGTGGGGCCGCCTCCCAAGAGGATGACGATAGCCGAGGCCCCTGCGTGGCCAGCACCGCGACCACGTCGTCCTCGTCTCCCCGCTGCTCCTCAGAGTCTCCTTCCAGTACCTCCGGCGCGGTGTTGCTGCGGCCCGAGCCAAAGTACAAACGCAGACGCTGAGCCATTTTCACCTTGTGTCCAAGCGCTCCCGTTCCCTCTCACTTTCCCTCTGACTGGCTGTTTGCTCCTCTCCACTGGCTCCAGCCTCTGTCTCTTAGTGTCGCCCACTTCTCTCCTTTGGCTGGCTGGATGACTGATCCCCTCTTTTTCCCCCCCTCTCTCTAACCCCTGCCCCTCCCACACAGTCTCCTCCACAACTTTCCTTCCACAGTAAACTCTGCGGAGGAAAGAAGTTACCTCGTTTTGCCGTATTCAATTTTGGTGTTGTGACGACTTTACGCGGCGCACTCTGAGGAATGGCATTATGGGGGCTAAGAGGGGGGTGAGGAGGGGGAGGTTGGTCGGGTTAAGAAGGATCCCTGTACGCCAGACTCTCCGCACTACCAAGCTCCAGCGACAGACGGCAGAAATAGCCTGAGCCCAGTGACGGCCAGCATTCCTGACATGATTGGATAAGAGCGGTCGGCGCTCCTGGTTTTCGAGGTGACAGTGGGGTTGCCTGTAAGCCATGTGACCACAGATGGGCCCCAGCACCTCCTATTACAGCCCCGTGCTGCCCTCAAGTGCCAACTGGGGCCTCCGAAAACGAACCCCACCTACCACCGTCCATACGGATGATCTTGTTCTGGCCGTCGGCCATTTCCTCGCCTCGGCTCCCTGATCGTCTCACTTCTCGGACAACGCGCTTCGGGAGTTTTCAGATTCCAAAAACGTTCGTTACCTTACCGGTTATTGAGTGTAACAGAGTTCCTAGTTCTGAAAAATGGGGTCTTTACCATCTAAACTATCTCTTCATTCATGTAATGACTTATGGCCATAATATCAGCCTTCTGCCAGCTTAATTTACCAATAAATCTGGAGGACAAATTGAGTCCCGTTATCTCTTGTGGGTAGGAAACAGAAAAGATAAGTTGTTGCTAAAAATGGACATGAAAAAAAACCCAGCGGCAAAGTGAAGAGCAGGAAGTCTGACAGATTGCCGCTTTGATAAAAGCAAATGGCACAATTCTCTCTGGAGTGAGATTTCAAAATCCTCAAACAGAATTAACTATGTGGTCTACCATACACAGCCAAACACTAAACGCTCTACTGGTCTCCTGAAAACGCATTGAAAAGACATGCAACACACAACTCAGCTGTCACACTGGAGACAATATATGTAGTGTAGTATTTGGCTAAAGCACAAGATGGAAAGAATCCTTTCAGGAACATTCAGCGTGTCGTGAAAATCTCTATGAAATGATCATTTTGCACTTCTATGACTGAGAGAAACCGGCAAAAGAAAAGACACTGCCGAGCGAAGGAATAGTGGCTTGGCAGTGACACACTGCCTACAGTGTTAGTCAATAAATGTGTGTGAAACGTTATGGAGAATGTTCTGTATAAAAGAAACAAAATGCCAATGTGTGGTCCAATGGCACCAAGCCCAGTTCGCCAAATGACATAACATGCCTGCTTTACACAAAGCACCACCCATCTCTGTAGGCCTGTTCAACACAGCTTTGCATTCGCTGTCAGCAGTCACAGCTCTCATACATTTAGTAGGAACATCAGTTGAGATGTTAGTGCAGCTGTATCTTTTCCCGGTGCACACGAGGGAAACACAATCGATCATTCCTGTTGTAGCACAGAGCGAAGTCAAACACTTCATGTCCTTGAGACAAATAAACCGTAAATTTAAAAAAAGATGCGAGAGAACAAGCAGCCCATTCAAAACAAATACCAGCCAGTGGTGGAGCAGCTGCCTTGGCGTGCACCTACAGATTCTCAGGAAAGCACCTGACATATAAGGAGAGGAGCGGAAGAGCGCTCCAACGGCAGCGAGGGGAAGAAACTGGGCCGCCCTTTACAGAGTGGGCTGCATGCCAGTGAATTCCCATCTATCAAACGTGCACTATCGTATGCACTGATTTTATCCGTAACATCCTGATTAAAGCGGCAGAACGAGATCTAAATCGTACATTTCCCATAGTTAAGTTATTAGGAAAACTGCCAAACGCAGTAGAAGGAAAAGCTCAGGATTTGGGACCTCCCACATTGGGCTGCAAACGGAAAGTCGTCCTGAGCCCCGGCCGGCTAGGACAGTATGTGCCTCATCCAGCTAAGGATATCAACACTATCTGGGCTGGCATTCGCTTTCACGAAAGATCAAACACCGAGACACGGACACCAAGATGTTGCTGAGAAGTGCAAACAAACGCACTACAGCCTTGTGTCAACCGCGCCCACCCTCGCCCTCTGTCCGCTCGGAGGGCGATCCGTCCAGGTGAAGGTCACGCAAAAGAGGGAATTAGCGAGTTGATGATAAAGACATATTTGTGCAGTTTTAGTTGTTGCAACCCTTGACGTTGTGCAGACGCTTGATCTCATTGTCATGGCAACAAAAGGGGCAACGGGTTTAATCTCACAATTCAATGAAACTAGTGTTCTCGGCCGTGGTGGAAATCAGAGATTTGAGTATAAAAGAGCAACGAAGCCCACTTATCTTCAATAACTACCGCAACGCATTTCTTTTGTTTGAGTTTTTTTTTGACTACAAGCCTACAGCTGAAATGCTGCGATATCAAATCATGCGACGTGCCAGAAATCACAAGAAGAGACTTGTGAAGACACGAGGGTGCAGATAAAAGTCAATACAATTCCTCAAGGTTGGTAATGATTCCCGCGGTGAAGCGAAAGCAAAACTATTTCAGGGGGATGGCAGGCAAAGCAATACAGGTGTGCATCGTCACATTTCACTTGATGGCACATTAATGTTTCATTTTAAAGCCCATTATTACCAAGAGACAAGGAAACGATGTTATCGCGGAAACACAATGTCCAAATAGTAAATCAAGAGTCATGAGGTTGGAACAAAGTAAATCGGCGGCCGGGAACAAGTGTATCAAATCTAAAAAGGTTAGAGGTTACAAAGTGTGAATCTTACCAATCGGTTTTCATCGAACACCTCGAAGAGGAGTCTGTGATTTTGCGGACACACCTGAGTTGGAAACAAAAGACATATACAGCAGTCACCCAGTGGTTCAGTGGCACACAAAGCAAATGCAAGCAGACAAAACAAGGGTTTCGCATCACAATAATTTCTTGCGGTGGAGCATTTGGGGGAGGCAGGGAATCTGAAGCACGCAAAAAGTTCAAAATGTTAACTCACTCTGAAGAAGAATTCCTCGTTCCATTTGGGATTGAGGGTCTGAAACAGAGGCATGAATTAACAGTGAACGCCATCATTGGCGCACGCAGGAAACGACTCAGAGTGAGACGGGACAAATGCCTGATGGGAAATCGGACGCGGCCTGCATGAGTACTACGTTAGAGGACGTTTGTGGAGAACTATATGTCCCGTTGATTGGCATCGGCCCACAGATTAAAAATCAGGATTCTCTTTCCCCTTTCGGCCTGGATCAGCGCAGTACGGGACTCTCGCCTTTATTAGAATGAGGACTATGTGACACATCTCATGAAATTACAGTAATACTGCAATGTTAATGAAGCCTGGATTTCGCAAGTCAGTCTGATTAATAAACATTTTTAACGACAGCTACCATACACTAACATCTCTGTTAAATCCACTGCCGAGAAGGCAGAAATTACTAATGACCCCGATGCCTTTTGACAAAAGGCCATTTCAACTCTGTCAAATTCGTCTTGGGGGAAAGAATACTGATGTCAAATACCAATGTTTGGAAGAGTCCAGCCTCTAGCTGCTGATATTGCTCTCTTACTACTGGCTCCTCGTTCGTCATCATGCTTCATGCCACGTAGCCACAAGCAGTACTCTTATCTCCGACGACAAGGACGCCGTCAAAAGGTGTCCTACTTAAAGACACATGGAGCCGGCCCACGGAAGAGCCGAGCGGTGATGCTTCATTTTCTGCTCCACATAGCACTGCATTGTCAGCTATTTATATCCAGTAAGGCAACCGTGGCCACTGGCAGCATATGTCTGCCTGCGCGGAGGCCCGCCCGGCTCCAGCAGAGGGTTGGCTGGAAGCTACACGTTTCGCTAACCTTAACCACCAAGGAAATAACGCTTCACGGTGGTTTCACACATATTATGGAACATGTTATGCAGAATGGCATGCATTGCACACATCCAATACAGATATTTCTGCAATTTTAATTCATTCTATTTTAAACCATAAAACATTCCACAACGCAAACAACCAGTATGGATATTTGGTTCAAAACCACAGCCCACGATCACAATACAATGTTGTCTGGGTGGAGTTTACCCTAATAACAACTAATAGCTCCCCCTGCTGTGAAAGGATTTCCTCCCCAAAATAGGCCGCCTGGGAGGGAAAGAGCTCGCCCATCGTCTCCATCTACACTCCAGCGAGCACAGAAGGAACCAGCGCCTTCCTGTGGTTTCCATCACTCAGCTAATATGACTGCCTTGATTCGAAGGACGGGTGGTGGCTGTAAGAGTGTGGTGACCTAAAACCTACGACTTAAAGGGGGAGTGATCAAAGGCCTCATAAAGTGGCTGAATGGTAAATGGAATGTCAGCTGTGGGCGGAGATTACCTCGGGCATGAAAGGCCAATCTGATACTGTCCAACCATTAGAGTTCATTGGGTCTGAAACTAGGAGCTAGAGGCTGTGTGCAGAACACAGGACGCCACGGACGAATGCATCAGAGGCATGTCTTACCTCGGGACTTACCTTTTTAATGGTTTTTGTTTGGACCAAGCCGAGCTCTTTGTTTTCCTCCGCAACGTAAAGGGAAAGTTTGACGTAAGGATCGCTGCGGGAACAGAATCAGTGGATGAATCTCAAGCCTTCCACAGATGCAGCGAGAGCTCAATCCAGCTCAGTCATCAAAAATACGTACAAATAGCATCACAGACAAGGACACTTTAATGCAATATCAAAACCATATCTTAGACACACTTTTCAGTCTTGAAAGAAAATATATACTGTATTTGTAGAGTCTCCGGGGAATGAACGTGGTTAGTCCTATTAACTGTGGACATGATGCTCGGCCACGCCGCTCGCTTCCAGGCCCGACACTGGAGTCAGCCTCGGCCACCAACGGCTCAGCAGGTAAAAGCTGCTTGCATGGCCATAGTGAGATAAGGCTATAATGTCTTATTGAC